TCGAGTAAATTCACTTCTTAATCTTTTTATTTCATTAAAAAATAAAACTGCTCTATCAATATTTATCCTTGCATTATTTTCTAATTTGAATGTATTTATTTATGGACCTGCTCTATGGCTTACAGAATCAATAAATTGGTGCTTATGTGTATTCATATGGGTGTCTTTTTCTGTATAATCTATGGCAATTAGTTGTTTTTGTGATGTAGTTCATGAATGTTATTTCTATATGTAGTGGCTCTGTTATTTCATGAGTGTACACATGCATAAGAAATCTCATTTGAGTTCTTATTTGAATATCTGTAACTGAAGGAGAAAGAAGATTTTTTTTGTACTTAAAACTTGTATGCAGGAAAAAAAGTGTACTATGATAGTTTTAGCATAAGATAATTGGTTCAATTCTTTATACTGGTGACTCTTGCTATTTCAGAGTAGAATGGACAAGTTGTATTATATGTTTAAAGATGGTGCATATTGAGAAACTGACTTAGCAAAGAAAAATTATGGAATTGGAATCCTGCATCTGGTGATTGTCACTTTTAATTACTTCATTCAACCCTTGGTCTTTGCTGCACTAATATATTGTCTATATATGCTGGAAAGAACATGTTAGTTATTGACAAACATGAGAATGAACTGATGGCTACAACGTAAAGGAGGAAAAATATTTTTAACTTTTTCTGTAAGTACTTTCAATTTGTATGCGGAATTTTCTTTTAGGAAGGTTAATAAGAGCCCAAAGAGATATATCTGTGCTTAATTGATTAGTTAATGCCTTCTAGAGGGTTTATACTGGTAAAATATTTTTAATATTTTTTGGGGAAATTAGGTACCCATGTATGTGTCAATTACTGTGTTATGTGATGGGTGTTTCCATTCTTTTATATAACAAACAAGATAGTCACTGATTTATGATCTTAAAACTATTTATTTTACAATCTTTCTGTCAGATTGCAAGGGAGGTTTTGGATGCAGCGGCTCAAGTGATTCGTCCAGGTGTAACAACAGATGAAATTGATAGAGTGGTTCATGAGACAACTATGTGCTGGTTCATACTTTATAATGCTATTTTCTTAATCTCATTTAAAATTTGCATGATTTGCAAGTGGGGTAGTATTATGTATGGGCAACTTGTAAACTTCTTTTAGTGCTTTGAACCTACTAAAGTTTTGGCCCTTGGGAGGGGATGGGTGGGATGCAGTACTCTAGGACCTTATGGAGAAAATGTGTTTATCAGTGGGGTCAGTTTATGCTTGATGGCAGTAAGACAGTTCTTATGGAGCTGTATTGGCAGTAAGACTGATAATTGGAATAGCTAATTCATTTATGGGTTTTTACTACTGCAGGGGGTTATCCATCTCCTCTCAATTATCATTTCTTTCCAAAGTCTTGCTGCACGTAGGTACTTCTTTTGTGTATGTTTGCTTAAGCTTCCTTGGTATTGTGCATATTATTAAAGATATTTGTCTTTCGTTGCAGGTCAGTTAATGAAGTAATCTGTCATGGAATTCCTGATGCCAGGTAAGTGTTTTGACCAGTAACACTATTTTATCATTCTCTTTACCTTCTTGTGCTGATTTTGGCATCGTTGACTCTCAACCCTTCTGAAACACTAACATGTGTCTCTTTCAAACCCAACTTTTAAACAATAATTAAATGGTTTTCTGTTTTTTAGAATTTTTTAAATAGATTTTCTAGTATATCAATTTTTTTTTTTTTTTGATGACACCATACCTCTTAAATTGCATTTTGTTACTTTTGGTGGGCATAACACTTCTCTGAGGATAGTGTTGTTTGGGGTGTGGCAAGAAGTTATTCAAGGTTGTATGGGCATTTCCCTTTTACAGAACTTTGCATATAGTTTCCTGATTTCCATGTATTGTTATATTCGTACTTTCAAATATTATATGCTGTTGTTTGATGTCTGAGAAAAACCTGAATGAAGCCAACTGTTTTAATTCTCAGGAAATTAGGGATGGCGATATTGTGAATATTGATTGGACTGTGTACTATAAAGGTGTTCATGGTAAGAATTCTAAAGCCTTTTTATAAAATAAATTCCAGTGCTACCTAGAAGCTTCATGATGACTGCTAGTTTTCACATAATGCAGGTGATCTGAATGAAACATACTTTGTGGGAATTGTTGATGAACTGTCTCGTCAATTGGTCATGTACATATGAGTGCTTGGAGAAAGCGATATCTATCGGTGTCTTGGGCTCATTCAAAGTGTTCTAGGGCAAATGTGGAATCAACTGTAAGAAAGAGGAATTCTGTGGCTCGTAGAATGATCTCTGATGGTTTTCTCAGTGCACTGTTAACTTCTATTTATAATCAGTTTTCTTGAAATTGCCAAGCATGCCACACTTTTGTTTTTCTTTTTCTGTATGAGAGATCCTTTTTAATGAACTCTAATGGCCATTATATGTCAATTCTTTCAGTGAAACCTGGGGTGAGGTATCGTGAAATCGGTGAAGTCATTAATCGCCATGCTTTGATGTCAGGATTCTCTGTGGTAGTGATTTAACTTTGAGTTCACAATTGCAAGTCATTGCCATTGTTATCAACACTGATAAACAACTCTTTTCTTTTTCGCTAAACCAGGTAAAGTCATATTGTGGTCATGGTATTGGAGAGCTGTTCCATTGTGCACCAAATATCCCCCATTATTCAAGTATTTAACCTTGCTTTACAATTTTATATTTTCTACATGACAATCCTTTGTTCCGTGGAATGTGACATAAAGCATAACAACCAATTCATTTCTTAATTGGGTCAAAATGCTCATATTATTTTCTCAGTGAATTATGTTTTTCTTGACCCGAGCAGGAAATAAAGCTGTTGGTGTGATGAAAGCTGGACAGACCTTTACAATTGAACCGATGATTAATGCAGGTACATATATGACTTGTTTATCTTGGTAAACTACCATTAATATGCTTGCTACATATTTTACTCTATTTTATTGATAGGAGTTTGGCGTGATCGGATGTGGCCTGATGGTTGGACAGCTGTGACTGCTGATGGTAAACGAAGTGCTCAGTTTGAGCACACGCTTCTGGTAATTTCTCATATTCACTGTACTTTATTGGATGACTTTTCTATATGCATGGTTCAGCACTGTTTCTTGTAAGGCAATTACGTTGGGCAGTTGAGGTTGCGCAAAGTGTATAGGAAAACCGATGACAATTTGACCTTTGACCCGGGTTTCGGTTTTGTACGGCAATGTCATTGATAATTTAATTATTTATGAATCGGTATAATATGTCACTAAATTGCTCAGTGGTTTTGGTAAAGTCACTATATTTAGTTTTATCTTTAATGAAAATATTTTTGCAGGTTACCGAAACTGGTGTTGAAGTTCTGACGGCAAGATTGCCTTCATCGCCCAATATGTTTCCTTGGCTAAATGCTTAGGTTATGTCGGCAACTTACACATTGTAAACTACTGTCAGAAATAGGCATGGCAATGGGGCAGGGCGGGGCGGGGATCTCATTCACCGTACCTATCCCCACCCTCAAAATTATTCCCCACCCCCGCTCCATCCCCGTTACGGGGATAACAAGAATTCCCCTTCCCCGCCCCAAAGGGGGATGTTGGAGGCCCATCCCCGCCCCGTTACTTTTATATAAACATAAATTAATTTGAGCATTACCAAACACAATAGCTAATTCTCGTCCAGATGATAAACATTTAAATTAATTATTTAAACATAATTAATTATACATAAATATGGGTCAGGGTTTGTTCTTGTTCAATTGTTTAGTGTGAGAGAAGTTAGGAAAATATGGGTTTGTATAGGTAGGATAATTGTGTAATTAGGTGAAATAGAGGGATATTAGTGAAAAGTAAATATATATATACATTTTTTTAATTTTATATATTATATACGAGGCGGACCGGGGGAAAGGCATCACTCACCCCCGTCCTATCCCCGAGAACGGGGATTAAAACACCCCCCACCCCCGCCCCTATGGGTAGGACGGGTCCCCGAAATCCCGAGGAACATTGCCATGCCTAGTCAGAAACTAGCAGTCTTGCATATTTTGTTGAACCATGTAATTTGTGTGAAAATAATTCTTCAAATTTGAATTTAGGTTAAAAGTGTGAAATGGATTTTCTATAGACTATTAGCCTTGTTAAGTGTCAAAAATAATGAATTTTTTTAAAAATATATTTTAATTTTTTGAGCAACACAGTTAATGGATAATAAAGGTGATATTTCGCTACACATAGCTATTGGGCAAATTATTGTAATTAAACTTTTTCTAATGAGGTAAAAATTTCACTTTTCCATGGGATGTGATAATGATAAATTCATGTAAAAATAAATCTCAATTCTTTTTATCGGTTTTGTATACAAATATTCTAACACAGGTGGAAATTGATACTAAGTTAAAACGCTTAAGGGAAACTGATACTTACATTATGATGCCCAACATTGCTCATGCATCCTCTAAATGCATTCACAACGAACCATGCGAGCTGAGTAAATCTCACATGGTAAGAATGTCGAAGAAGTTATGTGCTATTCCTTTTGCAGTAGAGAAAACGAAGACCAGAACTTGTAAAAAGACAAAAAAAGAAAAAGTGTAACTCATGAAAGGAGATAAAAAAAAGTGTAAATTATAGAAGGAAAACAACAAAAAGAAAGAAAATCAAAAATTTCATTCCGTTGCCGGGAATCGAACCCGGGTCTCTCGGGTGAGAGCCGAGTATCCTAACCAACTAGACTACAACGGAATCCTGAGAGTAGATGTTGATTGAAAAATATATATCAAATGTTGGCTAGGGTATTGGAATCGCTGCTTGAACCCCTGTATTTGCGAGAGTTGCTTCAGAAAAAATTCAAATAAGCTTTGTCAAATCATCAATAGGTGATAATGATGAAGGTAGAATCTATAAATTTTCAGCTATATTTTATGGGACAGATAAATTTTAAATGAGATCTGATAATCATCCTAAAAAGTATCACTAATCTAAGAACAAAAACGGTTTTAATGTAACTTTTTCAGAATGGTTTGAATTTATGTCCTTGTAATGGCTCACTTACAAGGCGATCTGGGCTAGTTGTTGCTCAAGTTTAAGAAGCATTAAGATCAGATCATAAAAAATTAAAAAGCAAGTAATAGGTACGCTAACACAATGATAAACAAAACTGCAGATACAAACTCTCAAAATTCATTCTCGAAAGTCGAAACAAACAACTACTAATCAACTCCAAGAGCTCAACGAAACCTTCAAAATGGAAGAAACACCACCTAAAACAAGCCCATAAAAATACCAAGCAAATAAGCTAAAGAAAAGGGTTAAAAAAATAAAATAAAAAGAAATGTATAACAAATTCATACCATATTAATAATTTTAGATATCAGAACCCAGTTGACCCAACCAATGAGGAATATGATGCATTTTCATCAACAGCTGCAGGCTTTTTCTTGCCATCCTTGTTTGATACTTTGTTACTACTGTTGAGTGTTCCCACGTCCAGACCAGCCAAATCATACAATTCTAACCTTTGTGGCTTTATTGCTTCTAGGTCACCTTCCCAGCAAGTTTCAGCGATAATTTCTAATGCTTTCTCTAGCTTATCCTCTGGTAGAAGACTTCCATTTTGCAAGAGGACAAGGTAAACTTGTTCAGCTGAAGCTTTACGAATCTGGGTAGAAAGGGAAGAATAATAAGAAAAGGATAAACCAAAACTATGTACCATCAAGTATAATGGGTTTAACAGGGCTGCTAGAGTTATACAAAGTTACAAACAAAATAAGGTGATTCTAGATGAAAAACTAAACAATAAGGAGAGATGCCTTCTAGGAAAAAAAATGATGCACGTCAATTTAAGCAACGAAAATTTGAGAAAAGAGTGATGCAATTCAGTTCTAGCAGAAACAGATGAGGCTTATGATTAACCAATGTCAACACTGGTGAGTGGCAGCACAAACCTTAGGGTAACGATGGCCAAGAAAACTAAGAAGTTGAGAGAAGGCCTGAGTGTTGATTGGATCTGAAACTGAAGCAATATATCCAAGTACTGCAATCCCTGCATACAATTTAGAGAAGTCCTTGGACCCTTTTAGTTCAACCGCCAGGGAGTCCAAAACACGAGCACAAAATATTGGAGTATGAGCCTAAAAAATAAAGATAAGTTAATGGTTCAAAAGAGTTCACAAAAAGTATTATTACTTCAGGAAACAGAATAAATACAATTAGAAGCGACAAGCATGCTTTCAATAAATTATATACTCTTAAAATGTCCAGATATACATGAATGCTCTAAAGCTGTGATGTTCTCAATCTGAGAACAACACAAATGAAAGAATTCCTGGCACTTACAGAAAATTATAAAAGAACTAGATGAAACAACGCCATACAAACAGCATCAGTAAACTGGAGAAGGTAAGAAGAGAGAGACGTCAAAACTAACCTCCATATTCAAGAATATCTTCTTGCTGAAAAGAGACTCAACTGTCTGAAAGACAACAAAAATCATCCAAGTTAAAAGTAATAAATAAAAAGAGAAAGGATAATAGAATTAGAATATGTGGACAAGTGTATAGCATGTGGCAAAGAAAAAAAGGGAAACTATTGCTTAGATATGAATGACGATGTGCTCAAAATCTAAACAAGGTAATCATCAATTTATGATACGCAACAGCAGAAGCAGAGCAAAAGGTCGACAAAACAACAGTAAAAAAAGGTTGTTTAATCATTCAATTCAAAAGTCGGGGATACAGAGAAATGAATGACGAAAATCTTGAAATTTTGGTTAGTGCAAAAGGATATGGTAAAGCATACCAAAGCACATAAAAATTCAAAGTTCACATTTCTAAGCAAGAGCTCATAAACCTTTAAAGTTGGAACAATCACTCGGTCACATCTCTTGTATTGTTGCAGAACCCAAAGGATGTCAGTTGATAGCATGTACTCTCTGGAGCTTCTTCTACTGAGCTCTTCAGATTCATCCACTTGAAGGTACTCCAACAATGCTGAAATTGATACCTTCCTCAGAGAATCTTGCAACCCACCAATTGAAATAACTAATCCAGATACCACAATCCTACTATAGCAACTGAACTGAAGTAACTGTACAAAACGTGGATATGAAAAGGAGGGCACCTACAAGCAAGCAACATCATTTACTCAATGTCAAAAAGACTTTACTTAATAATAATGCACAGTATAAATGATCAATAAGTACTTACCCCCCACTTCAAATCTGTTTTATTAGGCACAATTTCTTCTAGCTTTTCCCTGTAAGGTATAAATGGGACAAAAATCATATTGTTGTACAAAATCCTTTGTAAAACCTTTGCAGCCACTTCTCTGAGTTTATCCATCTTCTCTACAGCTTGCTTCACAATCCCTCCAACTAAACTGGTAGCCAGATTTGCATCAAAAAATGAGTTCCTCTCACTAAATTGGGCCATGGCATTATTAGGAACTTCTGACAGAGATTCAGCTCCTTGAGATTTTCTAGTGACACTAATGGAATCTCTCTTACAGAGAATATATGTACATTTCTCAAGGCCATCCATAGCAGCCTCACGAACCCAAGATCCCACATCACCTCTATTATCCACAGAGTAGTCATCAAGAGCTTTAAACAAACTAGTCATCACATCATTTTTTATTAGATGAAATAGAGATATATCATCCTCGATACAGGAATCTTCTCTTGCCTGAGTTAGTGTCTCACACACTGATACAAGTCCTTTAACGGCATTTACACGTGCTTCAGCATCTCTGTCTTCAGGATTCTCCTGAATCCAGAAAATATCCATTAGTTAAGTCAATCATCAGTGGAATATCTCAATTACACCAAAAAAAAAAAGAAAATCTATTAAATTCACCTCGATCGCACAACAGCTGCAAAGCTTTAAAAGCACATCCCTCCACCTATTAGCCAAAAAACCATATGGCAAAACACCTATCGCCAATGCGGATCCTCTTCTTACAGCCACATTTGGATCAGTCAGCTGTTCCAGGTACTTAGATGTTATGCCACCTGAAACTCCATTATCAGTAGCCACAAAATATGCTTGCACAAAATGCTTCAGAGCTTTATCCGCTGCAGTCTGTACATGACAATTATTATTCACAAATTCAGAATATTAAAAAGAAATAAAATACGATGACAAGCAGAAAATCTGATATACCTGTATCTGTGAATTAGGATGTCTCAAATTCTCATTAATAGTGACAAGCAAACTTCGCTTTGTTTTCTCTGGTAATGACACATGAGATAAAGAGATACACTCAATGAACCGGGAGACAGCTGAACGCATTATCTCTCCACCCTTCCCACGATAGAGACGGGCTTTCTCAATACCAGGAACGATACCAGCTATGAGTTTCTGTTTGTCTGTTAAAGAAAATATAAATGATAATCCCATGACTTGTTTTATGCAATTAAGAATCCAAAGAAATTCAGCTAGCAAAACACAAACGTATTTTATGGTTTCTATTTTACAAGTAAATAAGCTTTCCTAGATGCATTTCAACTGAGGTTTAAATCAACTTCTAACAGTTAAAACTCAAGAAGGTTCAAATACTGTGCCTGTAGTCACTTATCACTGTTATCAGAACTGTCTTTGCGCCCACATAAATCTTGTTCATATGTTCAAATAGACTTCTCAAGCAATTCGATGTTTTTGGCACAAGCTGTATCCTCTTTCCAAACATCAGTCAAACTTAATGATGCACTTCATGAGTTTTAAATTTCTGGCAGTTTGATCCATCAAGAATTAAACATGAAAAAAGGACCAAATAAGATGACAAGCAAGTATGAAAAAACTATGTGCTGAAAATGCATTTCCATTCAGCTAAAATAAGGTTCAGGAGGAAGGAATGAGTACCAACCTGTGGAAAGAGCATAATCACATTGATGTAAAGCCAAAACAACTTCCCCAGCTGCTAAGGTTGCACCATGGCGCGTGCATAAATCAGTAGAGAGAGTACAGGGAATTAATTTCTCCACAACAAAGTTCGCAAAATATTCAGGTTCATATTTGACAAGAGCAGAAAGTGCCTCGGCCGCAAGTTCTCTCAAGGCTTTATCCTAAAGAAGACATTAAAAATTTTCTTCACTACCGATATCATAGACCAAGAAGAAAAATTGATGACTATCGATGATGATTATTTATTCAAATATACTAGAAGTTTGGTGCTAATCCAGCCATGAAGTTATACTGGTAATAAATGCTATTTCATGTAAAGTTCAAGAGTACAAGAAGAAAAACTAGGATGAAAATTTGCGATAATTTAAACCAGGCCACAATTTACACATGAAGTTATATATACTATTAGCAGTTTTCAGAAAGCAGGTGCTTTGTCCAGCAGATAAAAAGAATAAGCCAATTACAAGCCCCATAAAGGGAACGTGAATGTCTACTGTCAGACAGATGTAAAAAGACTGTAAGAAGGAAGAATGTATAAGGAAGATCAAGTTAACAGCATACCCAGTGACAAATTTTGTTGTACAGTAGTTCATCCACAAATGGATAAAGATAACCCTCATACTGGGCAATAGACACTGCGACATGAAGGTAAGAATTTACTCGTGAAGATAGTGAAAAATAATCCGCAGTATTCACTATGTCAATGCCATGTGGATAATTTCCTTGCCTTCCAACATTCTCCTGAAAAGCAGCAGCTGCTGCTCTTCTACAGTTAACCTAATCATATCATACTTGAAATTGTTAGCCTGGTGAAAGCAAATAATAGAACCTTGGCCAGCTAAAAATAAACAAGACAACAAATTGGACAATCACCTCACGGTCATAGCAGGCAACAGTTAATAAGTCTGGAGCAAGCTGTTCCAGTATGTTTCTCATATCTGTGTGATAATATGCACGTCCAAACGCCCAACAAACATAAGCAGCAGCATCACGTACATGAGATCCAACACTATGTGAACCTCTTCGAATATCGTAATGTAGGGCCTGTTATGAAGATCAATGTTAAGGTTGTCTCATACGTATGAGCATGTAATTGACCTCTAATTCAACTACTGAAGTTTTTCATGACATCTAATCAAAGAAAATGGTGATTAAGGTAGCAATTTAAAGGTCACAAGGGATGCAAGTTCAGAAACAATGTCAACTTTCATCATGCGATGACAAACATAACGAAATACACAGGGAAAGCCTAGCCCCATATTAGAGTAAGCATCCTGCATATTGACTTCCTAACTTAATTACTTGCCTCATTATGCAGGTTGGATGAGTTATCAAATGTAAGCAGCTGAACAAACTAGCAAGAATCAGACTAAGAAAAGGACTATTTGGCAGTGACATTTGTTTCTTTAATGCAAGATGTGACTTCAGCATGCAAAATTTTGTGATTCAGCTCTGCCTCTATCAGAAAAATAAGAAGAGTAAAGAGACTAGAAAAATGTAAGTCATTATTCAGAAATAAAAATAACAACACCCACAAAAATAAATCCTACAACCTTCACAACAACGGGAACAACTTTGGGAAGACTGCCAGGTAAGAGCAATCCTCTACGAGCTAGTTCAGCCAATGCTAAGCAACCCCCATGCCATGAACCATCTCCCTGCAAAACAAATGGCATTCTAGTATATGAACCTGCCACAAAAATCATGTAAAAAGTAACACATAAAAGGACTTAAAAATGTATGCATCATCGAATTATGGTATTCCCAGGTATACTGTTACTTAAAATTATCTGCAAATGTAATTCTGGTGTATTCAAAAAAGAGCAACAGCAAAAGTAACAACTGAAAATGATGCAAAGAGAGCAACGGCAAAAGTAAACCTCCCCTGGGGAGAACAGCTCCAACACAGACGACAAGACCTCTTCTGAAAGGGCAGATGTCAAACATGCAGTTATGCGGCCCATTCCTTTTGCGGCAGACCAGCGCACAACAGTGTCCTGCATCACGAACAACAGCAACATCAAGACAGTGGTAACAGGTAAAATGAATAGGCAATGCATACCTTCATGTCGAACTTTTATTCAGATCAAAGAGGATGATTAAAATTATGTCCTAAGTTGCAAGACTACTGAGAATAACTAATGGGCAACACTAAATAACCTTTTCTGTCACTTCTATTTACTCCAACACACTGTTTCTCTAATAAAATATTTAGAGTAATGAAGGCTGTTTCAGGCTCTTAAAATGCTGCACCATCCATTTGGTGTCATAAGATACAGAAAAAGCAGGAACTTGACGTTTGACATCTGTAATCACTCTCTTTTTCAACATTTTGTTATTCAATAACAGCTAAATCATTAACATATATCTTCAAGTCACTTTATAACATTCAAAAATATTATTATGCAAATAAAACTTTCAAATCAAATTTTCGTTAACTATATGCTAAACATGAAAATCTATATCCAAGTCATAAATAACTCCAAAAACATATGGCCTGTCTACAGAAACCATAAGAGTCCTATTATATGTCATGAGAGAGATTCAGTCACGCACTTTTAAAACAATTAGGAAAACGTGAGTCCAGGCATGACTACCATGTCCTTGACAGAATAATCTAACACTTAAGACATACCGTGTCCCTCAATCCAGAAAGTAAAATTTCAATTATCTCCTCCAGAATTTCAGGAATATCCATGCCTTCATCTTCAGGGCAATTTGAATATTGTTCAGATTTAGTGTTGCCAACCACACTATGATTACAATGATCTGTTTCACTGGATGCATTTGAAGATATATTCCCTCCAAGTGTGCTGGTTTTGCTCTGCATGTAAGAAGCATAACAAGAAAGCAAGAGAATGTATTAGAATAATGTTATTTCCAATTGCCTATCTCAAGATATTAATAAAATACCACATTCCAGAAAGAAAATTTAGAATGTGTACATTGCCAATCACAAGGTGACTTGGAAAATATATAACAAGGAGAGCCCAAGATGACATTCCATAACAGTAAGTAAAGCCTTTAGAGTAATAGTTACAATTTAAAAAAATAAATTAAAAAAAATGTGAGGAAGTGCTCACTGCCACCACCAACAGGCGATGAAGAAATAACATTGTATAATGGTTCTTTTATAAAGCTAGTAGTCCTTTGTATTTACGATGAGCAGTTCAGGGTTTAGAGTATTTAAGTACACAACCACTCGCCAAAATGTAGCTTGAACATGATATAAGGCACAAACCATCAAGCACAAACAGATAAACATGGTGAAACATCAGTCCTATCATAATTATACAATATGGATACTATGTGTGAAACCTCATCAAAAGTGTGAAGCAGTTAGAATCAGATAGTGTATAAAATTTAAGTACCAACCACATATCGCCAAGATGGTGTACGACGAGGGAGACAAGTAAGCCCAATCCTCTGAGTTAACTTCACAAGATACTTGCGAACCAAAGGACTCCGAGCTGCAGAACCCGACTTGAACAACACTGATGCATCATTCCAGACCACTGGAACCACATCCAGCAGCGCTTTTCGGCTACCAGCCTGACTATAATAATTAGTAAATAAGGGATTCAAATGATGGACGTTAGACAGTGATGAAAATGCTCCTCATTTAGTGAAAACGATATGGAAGAACCTCATGGATTTGTTACAAAATAAATCCTAAATGCCTGTAAATTGAAAATTATACATCTTTTGATAAGACTTGGGACAATGAAGGTTTGAAATACAATTGTAATAAAAGATACAAGCTATCTCATTGTCCAATATCGACGAGAAATAAAAGAACACACCCACTCCTTTCCAAGAAGAAGAAACATTTTAATGAAGCCTATTTTCAAGAGCCAAAAGCTCAAAAGCAATGATGCAATCCTTCAATCATATATACAGGACAAAAGAACTAACTTGAACAAGATATTTTCATAGAATTGGAGTAAATGGTTCTTAATACATCGTCTCCTACTAATATATCAAAAATATTATTAATGATATTTCTTTAGCATTGGCATGGACTCAGAGTACAGAAAACGAACCTTGAAAACAGCAGCTAGCGCCTCCAAAACACCAAGCAACCGAAAGTGACTCATGACATAATCTGTGTCAGAAGATAAGACTTCATGTGTCCATTCGACAAAGCTGGTAAGAAAAAAATACAACAGCAGGTAAGGTTAACCAGCACATCAAGTAACTTCAATTTTTAGCACAGAAACTGGAGGAAGTACTTATTGAGTAATCTTATACAGTTCGACCTGGATAAAATAAGAGATTACAACCTTTTTCTCTTGTCCAGGATAATAGCATAACTATTGCAGATTAAGTGGACATCAAAGTTGTTTTCAATTTAAAAATAAAAAAATTTAATTTACACCATGAATGATGAAAAAGAAACCTGGCAAAGGCAGTTGGCATATCCGGACGTGTTAAAAGCTTCGAGAGTAGCAATCCAGCTATAGTGCGCATAGGACCGGCATTTGAAAGGTAATCCTTACAGAACCCTAAGATTCTCAATACCAGAGGAGCTGGCTGATTTTTACCAAGATCATCATTGTTTGCAATACTAGTATCAACAGTGGAGATATCAAATGGAACCAATACGAGAATAGAAAGCCATAAAAGTATGACACACTTTGCCTCCATCTCTCCAGTACTTTCTTGTCGCAGAGATGTTACTGAAGTTGTGTCATGACACTTCTCCAAGAGAGAAACGGCAAGTTCTAAATCAGAAACTTGATGTGGGAAGAACTTGATGACAGCCTTATATCCACAAACCGTAACCAGAGAGTATATAATAATGCATATTGGCTTAATAACTTCAAGGATTTCATCCGAAAATACACCCAATTCAATTGTTTTAGAACGGACAATGAACATCAAAGGAGAAACAATGCTCTCCAAATAAGGCTCTAATAGCTGACCCTGTTCTTGATACTTGTCCATCTGCATAACAAAAACGATGTCAAACAAATTTCAGTACTAAACCCTAACACTCACATTTACAAGAATTACATAATCGTAAAATGAAATTTTAAACATAAAGCCAACCAAATTTCAAATCTAATATAAGAATCAGACTTGATGTAGGTGAGTGAGAGAACTGAGAAAGTACAATGGATCGGATCTTGTGAACGGAAGAGGGGTCGGAAACACGACCATTTGAAACAATGTCGTCGAGGAGAGACTTGACAAGTTTCCACTCTAGTAAAAAGTACTTCTGTAGAACGTTCTCCTTAGAATCGAGTGCGTCGTCCTCTTCATAAGGAATTGCCTCTTCCATTCTCTTCTATCGCTTATATTTTCTACACAGAGTAAGAGTCTCAATGCAAGGAACAATGTTTCTTCGTAACTGATTTCAAACCAAATAAAAGAAAGTACAAACAGAAGAGACGGTGTTTCTAATTTTTATATTTAATTAATTTCGAAAATTTTAAAGAGAATGTTTCTTTTTAATTAATTTTGGAAAAAATTATAGAAAAGGGAGAAGAATAATAAATAGTTGAAAACAAACCATGATTCTTTTAAATTAATTTCCAAGAAATCAAAGAAAACGGAATACAATGATTATTTTAAATTAATTTCGAACAAAAATAAAAAGACAACAGAGAAATTAAAAGAAAAAAGAAAATAAGAATCTGATATATGACACACTACCAGTTGATGTAATAGCCACTTTCTACTCAAACTCCTATAATATACATAATAAAATACATTAAAATAGTATAAAGAGTTGGCCCAAAATTTTTTTTTTTTTTAATCATATACATTCTTTTAACAAAATTGTATCATGTACAAAAGTCAACAAAAACATGATGGACAGTGTACCCACTTCCCTTCGCGTGCCGACGTCTATCCGACCGTGTCCTCACCTAGTCCTGCAAACATAGAAAACACGGGATGACACTAAAACAATGCTCAGTAAGTAAATCCTCTAGTCATCTATCCCCGTAACTCTCTCTCTAAGTCTTTCCTTACAATCTCATTTACTCTCTCTCTTTCATACTTCTCTCTGCTTTCTCTTTCAGTTTCTCTCTCGCTGTTTCTCTTTCTTAGAACTCTTTTCTACTAAAGAGTTTTCTACAACTCTCTTTAGTAAGTCACGGCCCCATCTAACCGAGGCGAGTCGGGACTCGCTCTCGCTATCCGTGACTTCTACTTGTTCTCAGCCAATCGGACTCGGTTATGCATGGATTCGGAACCCTTGGCCATTGAGCGTAAATCTCTCTCTTGGGTACTCTAGGGTATAGCCCTCATCCGCATGCACTCTCACGGGCTACATCACTTCTCTCTCTCATACTCATGTCGCTCTGTCAATGCGACGTACATGCTAATACTCTACCCATTTTTCACGGGTTCCCCATCGCACAAACCTACTCTATTCTCTTTTTCCTCTCTTTCTCTTATAAAGCTCACACTCAAAGTTCTCTACTCTTTCTCTACTCTCTTTCTCTAATGCAATTAATGCATATGGATGACTCGTGCTCATTATGCACTCATGAAATGCAATTATGCCATGTAGCAATATTAAGGTTCTCTACTCTTACTCATGCCTTACTCAAGCATTTCATCATACAACTCATGTGCATATAAAACTCTACTTGATCTATAACTCTTCTCCCCATCATCCCAAAATGGGAAACTCCCTCATACTCTTTAAGTTCCTATCAAAGAAGACACTCCCAAAGAATTTGGCTCAAAACTCTCTTCACTTCCATCAAACTCACCTCAAGCGCACTCAACATCATACAATCTCAACTCTTCTCATAACTCAAGTATATACAACAATAAATAGAAATAACCACCCATCTCACACAATTTCTCAATAAACATAAGATATACACTACATACATAAATCTTTACTCAAAGAGTTCTTAAATCTCCACTTGGTTTGATTTACTTACCTTTATGAAGAGATCTCACTAATACTCTTCTTTTTCTTTAATACCTTGTCCCTTCTCACAACTTAAATCATAAAACCATAGACTTCAAAATACAAATATAAACAATTTATATCTAAAGCAAGAATCTTTACCTTAGGATGCTTTAGATGAAATCTCTACTAAAAACTACCCAAAACTCCCTAAAACCTCTTGGAAATCTTGGAAGATTGAATGGAGAATTGAAAGAAATGAGAATAGGTATGGCGGTGGAAATGGGTGAAATAAAGGTTTATCTACACTTAACCCTTTTTAGCTCAATTATAATCACATTTCCCATTTTGCCCTTGCTTTTCCTTAGAAATTTCATCTATATCCTTTGATTCTTTGCAAATACATCCTTATCTCCAACACATTCTCTACTAAATTTCCTTACATTTTACTCCCCACTTTTCCTACTAATTAGGGGTAGAAAGGTCATTTTTACCCCTATGAAGAATTCTCTATAAACCTCAAGAAACTTTTCTGCCGTCCCGTCACCGCAGCGAAGAAATTTCGTCGCCCTAGCGAAGAAATTCCGTCACCCTGGCGAAAACTTACAGAACTGACACCGCCATTACAAAGCCAACGTCGCCGCGGCGAAGACTGCTCTTCCAAAATTCCTCAAGTCTCAACCAATTTCAAAGCAAACACTCAACCAACTCAACATTTCATTTCAATTAAAGACCAACCAACCAAAATTGAAGATGAATCAATGAACTTTTAAGTAATACAGTAAATCTTAAGTATGTATCTCAAGTGGGGTGTTACATGAATCTGGCCGATAGTGCACCGATCTAGCCTTTTTCGGTCAGATCCACGGTGGATTTAGCCGGAAAAGGCCAGATCTAAGGCCAAAGATCTGGCCATTGACGGCCAAATCTTTGGTCGTAACCAGACGTCAACGACGGCCAACATATAGTTGTCATTGACCATCAACGACGGCCAAAGATACGGCCGTCGTTGACGAGCAAATGTGGCCAGATTTGGCCATCAATGGCTAGATCTAGCCGTAGATCTGGCCTTGACTGACAAGATCCAACTGGTAATGCGCCGATACGGCGACTCTAGCCACCCTCCGGCGGTGGTGGCTAGCTGTGATTATTCAATGGGTGGATTGGGGGTGTTTTTGTTAACTTTCAAAGTTTTATTATAAGAGTGTTTAGTAAATAAACAAACATAGGGGGTATTTTTATTAATTTCTAAATCTTACATCGTAATACCTGCCAATTCAACTTTTTTAACTTTTTTCAAAAAACTTTTCTAAAAACTGCAAAAAAGTGAACCAAACGGAGCCAATGTTTCTTTTAGTTAATTTCGAAAAAATCAAAGACAATTAAAAGAAAACGAAGAAATTGAAAGAAAAATCAAAGATGTATAGATTTTAAAAAGAAGAAAAATCGAAGAAAAACAATGTATTTCCAGTTAATTTCGAAGAGAAAAATCAGAGAAAATGAAGAAATTAAAAGAAAACAAGAAACAAGGTTAAAAAGACAAAGAATACAAGTAAAAGAAGAAGTAGAATCAATACCAGAGGAGCTATCTCATTTTTTCCAAGATCACCATTGTTTGCAATAGGAAGTAACCGATGCAAAAAATTCCAGTATTTCTTGTTGCAGAGATGGCACTGGAGTTGTGTTGTAAAGAGAAGTTTCGTAACTAGTAACTACAAATCTACAATACAATGGAAATTGTTGTTTCAAGTTGGGTTGATATTTATATGTTACCGTATGGCCGTTGAGTCCAAGAAATAAACTCAAGCAATTAATGCCGTTACTCTCCTTAATTAATGCGGATAATGAGTTGCAATTCTATTGGTTGATTTTAAACGCAAGCGCTCAGTCATTAATGCTAGTTGCAATCAATGTTCATATTATTTACGGATATTTATTTTTCGGCTTGGCTGCTTAATTTAACCCAACTTTTGAATAAATAAATAGGGAAATATTAATAACAGTTTATGAGCAGTAGGCATAGATTTGAAAGTGTAATAAAAAGAAATAAAACTTCATATTCACAAGTCTTACTGCCTCAGTTGAACATCTTCGATATTCTTAACATATTTATATTACAACAGCAAACTTACCCAACAATCAACAAATATGATCCACGAGAATAAGCTAAATTACATCTTCAGAAGGGCCAGCCTTTTTTATGGCTTTTTAGTGGCACTGGCCCGATACCTCACGGCAAACTGATGAAACAACGCTAGTGCATTGCTAGTGACCTGTTCAACATTCAATACCTTGCCCTTAATTGTGGCCTTCAGTTTACTCATGTTACGCCCAGGGAATTGTTCGACACAAGTGCTCGCATCTGTTAGGGCAGCACTCACCCAAGTCTCAACATTATTTATGCGCAAAAGGGAGTCATCATTCACAACTTTTTGGCTTAAGCAACGGAGCTCTTTGATTGATTGTGTGAGTTGAACTATACCACTATTTATTTGCTCCAGACAATCTTGTACAGTCTGGTAATCCTTAGCCTTGATCGCCTTGAGTTCTTTACATACCTTGAACAAGTATGACCTCGTGTATCGAGCTTTGTAAAGGCTCACTGATAAAGCGATATGGGCTAGTTGTTGCGGGCTTTGTAACTCTGTCGTGTTGGTAAATCCTGAGAGACTTTGAATACACAATTCTGGATATCGGGTGGACCTGCAGGAGGCCTCAACATAAGCCCTGGACTTAGAACGTCTGGCAAAGGATGGCTCGACTGTGCCCATGATCATGCAAGAAATCGAAAGAATGAGCAAGAAGGAGAGCCTCGGTTTAGCCATGGGTGTTGACAGTCAAGAAGATTTGAATTGAATACGACGAAGACAAGATTCTAGTTGAAAGGGAAAGCAGACGAAGAGTTTTTATAAGAAGAGGTTGGTCATCTCGCTCACATGCTTAAGTTCTTTATTTGATCTATCTTGCGGTTTACGTGCATTAAGATCAGATCATAAGAAAGCCCAATAATTTATTTGAACGGTCAGCCAGTTTAATAAACCTAAACCTAAGTTTTGATTAATTATTGTAGAAGCATAGTATTGAAATAACAGATCCTGATACAAAGATAGTGATTAGCTGTAACAAATTAATTTGATCATACAACTTATTACGGAAAGGAGCACGTGGGATTTGATGTTCAACGTTCAGATATTCTACTTTTCATACTTTCAACTTTTTGAGGCCACTTGATAATCCTTATCTTACGAATGCGATGAAGTACGTCAATTTATTACATTTATTTCAAATGAGATGAGCAGACCGCGATGCCGATGCTCACGTGTGGTGATATAAATGATAAGAATTGTTTCGCCAACAGGATCCCTTAATTAATGTTTAAGAGATTTTTGATAATTCTTCTGGAAATTGTGTTGTACATACTATATAACAAGTTGACTTTTCATCAATCATGTGAAACCGAGAGTGCTTACTCATAAGGTTATAAAGAAAGAATACGTGAATTCCAATTTTGCAGCAAGATTTAAAGTGGTGTTATGCAAGTAGGATTCTTTCTTTCTTTGGTCCGGTGCTGAAGTAACAAAATCGACCTGGCACTCCTGATCCTATTGACCTGCAATCTAGCTCGACGTCATCAGCTTGATGGATAATTTCTGATAACTACAGCCAGTTTTATTCACCATTATCAAAGAACGGTCTAATACTATGAAACAGAAAGCAAGATTAGAAATTGAAAATCTATGCAAAAAAGGGCGCAAATAATTGTGAACTCCACCCTAAGCACATTTTTTCACATCCCCACGCAGTAAACATCCATCTATTATGCGAAAGCAGACATTGGATCATGCAGCTATTAGTATTACCCACGCACCCAAATGCATACAAACACACACCAAGCTAAAGAAAGATTCATTCTATCTCAAACAACCAGCAAAACTATTACAGATATTACAACAAGAAGACAACATATATAACGAGGATAAGCAACACGTAATTAAACACACTGCAAAGAGACATTTGGAACAACGATTGCATAAAGCTGGTAATCATTCGGCGACTTTCATGCCCGACAGATAAACCCGGCTCTGAATCACACTGCCTTCAATCGAAAAACCAGGCATAACCATCATCCCAACCTTAGGCTTCTCATCATTTTCATTCATTATCAAATTCTTCACTACACTTTCCATGTAAACCTCTGAGAACTCAGTACCTCGGTTAACCTGAAAAATCTTAACATTAGGCTCAAAAGAATACGCCAGCCTGTGCAAAAGCCAGATTGTTTCATTTCAATTAAAGACCAACCAACCAAAATTGAAGATGAATCAATGAACTTTTAAGTAATACAGTAAATCTTAAGTATGTATCTCAAGTGGGGTGTTACATGAATCTGGCCGATAGTGCACCGATCTAGCCTTTTTCGGTCAGATCCACGGTGGATTTAGCCGGAAAAGGCCAGATCTAAGGCCAAAGATCTGGCCATTGACGGCCAAATCTTTGGTCGTAACCAGACGTCAACGACGGCCAACATATAGTTGTCATTGACCATCAACGACGGCCAAAGATACGGCCGTCGTTGACGAGCAAATGTGGCCAGATTTGGCCATCAATGGCTAGATCTAGCCGTAGATCTGGCCTTGACTGACAAGATCCAACTGGTAATGCGCCGATACGGCGACTCTAGCCACCCTCCGGCGGTGGTGGCTAGCTGTGATTATTCAATGGGTGGATTGGGGGTGTTTTTGTTAACTTTCAAAGTTTTATTATAAGAGTGTTTAGTAAATAAACAAACATAGGGGGTATTTTTATTAATTTCTAAATCTTACATCGTAATACCTGCCAATTCAACTTTTTTAACTTTTTTCAAAAAACTTTTCTAAAAACTGCAAAAAAGTGAACCAAACGGAGCCAATGTTTCTTTTAGTTAATTTCGAAAAAATCAAAGACAATTAAAAGAAAACGAAGAAATTGAAAGAAAAATCAAAGATGTATAGATTTTAAAAAGAAGAAAAATCGAAGAAAAACAATGTATTTCCAGTTAATTTCGAAGAGAAAAATCAGAGAAAATGAAGAAATTAAAAGAAAACAAGAAACAAGGTTAAAAAGACAAAGAATACAAGTAAAAGAAGAAGTAGAATCAATACCAGAGGAGCTATCTCATTTTTTCCAAGATCACCATTGTTTGCAATAGGAAGTAACCGATGCAAAAAATTCCAGTATTTCTTGTTGCAGAGATGGCACTGGAGTTGTGTTGTAAAGAGAAGTTTCGTAACTAGTAACTACAAATCTACAATACAATGGAAATTGTTGTTTCAAGTTGGGTTGATATTTATATGTTACCGTATGGCCGTTGAGTCCAAGAAATAAACTCAAGCAATTAATGCCGTTACTCTCCTTAATTAATGCGGATAATGAGTTGCAATTCTATTGGTTGATTTTAAACGCAAGCGCTCAGTCATTAATGCTAGTTGCAATCAATGTTCATATTATTTACGGATATTTATTTTTCGGCTTGGCTGCTTAATTTAACCCAACTTTTGAATAAATAAATAGGGAAATATTAATAACAGTTTATGAGCAGTAGGCATAGATTTGAAAGTGTAATAAAAAGAAATAAAACTTCATATTCACAAGTCTTACTGCCTCAGTTGAACATCTTCGATATTCTTAACATATTTATATTACAACAGCAAACTTACCCAACAATCAACAAATATGATCCACGAGAATAAGCTAAATTACATCTTCAGAAGGGCCAGCCTTTTTTATGGCTTTTTAGTGGCACTGGCCCGATACCTCACGGCAAACTGATGAAACAACGCTAGTGCATTGCTAGTGACCTGTTCAACATTCAATACCTTGCCCTTAATTGTGGCCTTCAGTTTACTCATGTTACGCCCAGGGAATTGTTCGACACAAGTGCTCGCATCTGTTAGGGCAGCACTCACCCAAGTCTCAACATTATTTATGCGCAAAAGGGAGTCATCATTCACAACTTTTTGGCTTAAGCAACGGAGCTCTTTGATTGATTGTGTGAGTTGAACTATACCACTATTTATTTGCTCCAGACAATCTTGTACAGTCTGGTAATCCTTAGCCTTGATCGCCTTGAGTTCTTTACATACCTTGAACAAGTATGACCTCGTGTATCGAGCTTTGTAAAGGCTCACTGATAAAGCGATATGGGCTAGTTGTTGCGGGCTTTGTAACTCTGTCGTGTTGGTAAATCCTGAGAGACTTTGAATACACAATTCTGGATATCGGGTGGACCTGCAGGAGGCCTCAACATAAGCCCTGGACTTAGAACGTCTGGCAAAGGATGGCTCGACTGTGCCCATGATCATGCAAGAAATCGAAAGAATGAGCAAGAAGGAGAGCCTCGGTTTAGCCATGGGTGTTGACAGTCAAGAAGATTTGAATTGAATACGACGAAGACAAGATTCTAGTTGAAAGGGAAAGCAGACGAAGAGTTTTTATAAGAAGAGGTTGGTCATCTCGCTCACATGCTTAAGTTCTTTATTTGATCTATCTTGCGGTTTACGTGCATTAAGATCAGATCATAAGAAAGCCCAATAATTTATTTGAACGGTCAGCCAGTTTAATAAACCTAAACCTAAGTTTTGATTAATTATTGTAGAAGCATAGTATTGAAATAACAGATCCTGATACAAAGATAGTGATTAGCTGTAACAAATTAATTTGATCATACAACTTATTACGGAAAGGAGCACGTGGGATTTGATGTTCAACGTTCAGATATTCTACTTTTCATACTTTCAACTTTTTGAGGCCACTTGATAATCCTTATCTTACGAATGCGATGAAGTACGTCAATTTATTACATTTATTTCAAATGAGATGAGCAGACCGCGATGCCGATGCTCACGTGTGGTGATATAAATGATAAGAATTGTTTCGCCAACAGGATCCCTTAATTAATGTTTAAGAGATTTTTGATAATTCTTCTGGAAATTGTGTTGTACATACTATATAACAAGTTGACTTTTCATCAATCATGTGAAACCGAGAGTGCTTACTCATAAGGTTATAAAGAAAGAATACGTGAATTCCAATTTTGCAGCAAGATTTAAAGTGGTGTTATGCAAGTAGGATTCTTTCTTTCTTTGGTCCGGTGCTGAAGTAACAAAATCGACCTGGCACTCCTGATCCTATTGACCTGCAATCTAGCTCGACGTCATCAGCTTGATGGATAATTTCTGATAACTACAGCCAGTTTTATTCACCATTATCAAAGAACGGTCTAATACTATGAAACAGAAAGCAAGATTAGAAATTGAAAATCTATGCAAAAAAGGGCGCAAATAATTGTGAACTCCACCCTAAGCACATTTTTTCACATCCCCACGCAGTAAACATCCATCTATTATGCGAAAGCAGACATTGGATCATGCAGCTATTAGTATTACCCGCCCACCCAAATGCATACAAACACACACCAAGCTAAAGAAAGATTCATTCTATCTCAAACAACCAGCAAAACTATTACAGATATTACAACAAGAAGACAACATATATAACGAGGATAAGCAACACGTAATTAAACACACTGCAAAGAGACATTTGGAACAACGATTGCATAAAGCTGATAATCATTCGGCGACTTTCATGCCCGACAGATAAACCCGGCTCTGAATCACACTGCCTTCAATCGAAAAACCAGGCATAACCATCATCCCAACCTTAGGCTTCTCATCATTTTCATCCATTATCAAATTCTTCACTACACTTTCCATGTAAACCTCTGAGAACTCAGTACCTCGGTTAACCTGAAAAATCTTAACATTAGGCTCAAAAGAATACGCCAGCCTGTGCAAAAGCCAGATTGACTTGGCCAGTTTCAGAAAGGCCTGGTAAAATGGAGTCCTTGGATGCCCACCCCCCATTACATAATTCCGCTGATCTAAATTTCCAAAGAATGAGGCTTCCATCTTCGGGTGAACAACCACTTGGTACTTACTCCTGCAAAATTTCCCAAAAATGGAATCAGGGTTTTGACCCAGCGTGTCCAGTGGATCCATCTCCTTTAGAGCAAGAAACTGGTGGAAGAAACTCTCTTTGTTAACTATAAGCTTATCTGATTTAATGCCAAAGCTTTCCTGCTGAAAGCCACTGAACATTTTTTGGCATATATGAGACTCAAATGCATATTTCTTATGAGCCCTCTTTGCATAAACGACATTGGGTTCGATAGAATTAGCTGCAGCATCAAGGTCCCATCCAGCTGCTTTCATCATGTTGATCAATGGTTTAGAAAAATCATGAATAGCTAAGAAAGCAGCTTCAACAGTTGCTGTGAAGAGATCAGGAGTTAGATCCACAGGAAAAAATCCATTTTCATCTCCGGAACCTTCTGATTCTTTGGTTGACAAGCCTCTAAGCTTGAGATTCTTTTCCAGTTTCACTCGCTTCTGATTTGCCTCCTCAATCAGCTGCTGCAACTGAACAATCTCGGAATCTTTATTCTGGATTTCAGATTGGAACTTCTTCACCATAACCTCGTATGTTTTCAGAAGGCTTTGTTGTTCTTGGATCTCCGCAGCTAGGCGGGAGTCCTGAGGAGAAGCACATACTGGTTTGGGGTTGTTTTCCCTGTAAAAATGCTTGAGTTCAGATAAATTCTTTAACTCTGAGATTACAAGTTTATCAGCAGCCTGGATTTTATCAGGGTCATAGGGAGTATGAGCAGACTGGAGCTGGATGTAAGCTGACTTTAAGGAGGAGATGTTTGAAAATATCTTGGACACCAAAGCTTCAACAGCTTCTGGATTCTGATTCATGGCCTCTTCCATGGGTTGAGGATGGACTTTTTGGCTGTTGTTCTCACGGTGTGGGTTATCTTTCACCCCAGTAGGTAGCATAGCTACTACCAACAAAGGGGTAGTTTAATTGGAGTCCACCAGAAGAAACAACAATGCAGAGAAACCTGCAAATCTCCCACGATTACGAAGTTTGTATACATGTAAACAAGAATGCCTGATCCAACATAAAATACAAAAATAGTAGAAAACAAACTTTGTTCATAGATATCATAGAAAGAGAGCTACATTTCAGTCCTGGTTTTCAAAAGATCACATGGTTTCCATGTAAAAAGCAAAAATCCTAAGCAAATGATTTTAAGCCTCTACAGTCACAAAATGTTATACATTGATAAGGGGTTAATAGATTGTTCTCACTCTGCATACACAGTAAAGAAATTATCTTGATTTTGGAAGACCAGGATCGGAAATGGAACTAGCAATATTCATCAAAAGAACAGCTACACCCATGAAACATAGATACATAGACACAAACGATGCCCTTGTTCTATGTTCTAAAATGGAATGGTCCCTTTTTGATCAGATACAGGATACCCAATCCTCACTAATAAGAAAAAAAACCTCAGGAAAACTGAAATTCAGTCAAACCAATGCTCACACACACATGCATCTATGATAAAGCGGTAATTTTCTGATTTAATCAAAGCAAACCTTAATTTAAACATTTAGAAATCATTTGTAAGCAAATTTAACCTAAAAAATGAGAGACGAGGTAACCTACGTATTAAGATCGCAATCCAGTCTCCTCCGAAAGAATCCAATAAACATAATAACCTTTAACCTGAAAAATAACGATGAAGAAATCAATAATTAGTCATTGATCTCTGACACCGGCACAATGCTCATAGCCTCTCAAACATTTTGCCTTATTAAGCGTAAACAACTAGAAACAAGTTCAAAGAAATACAAAAACTGGTAAATTTCCCTCAGAGAAATATTAATCAAGTAAAGCCAATCTATCACTAATAAATAAAAGTCAAATCGCGGAAACTAAGTCATGATTAAATACAGAAAAATTAAGCACAATTCGACTGTACGGAGACGAACTTACTACGCAAAACCTTCGGTAACTTCAAAGGAAATGCAGTAGAAGTACAGAAAATCAAATAGAGTATCAAGACTTTAGATCATTTTGGGACATAAAATTGATAAAGACCCCTATAATTACAACCACTATTGCCATTTAGCTAAATTATTACTACAAGCTGTCATTTTCATCAGATTTCTAGGCAACCAAACAAGAGTTCATGATGAAAAGGTACCTGATCGGATAAGTTTGCCGCAGATTCGCCGGGAAGGGTGGAGAGTATTAAAATACAAGCTCTCGAAGAGAGAAGAAGGTGTCGAAGAAGTTTGGTAAAGTTTCCAATCTAACCTGACAAATGTTAACCCTAGATGGATAATATTTGTTATTTACAGTACTTCGTACAGTATGTAGCCATCTCTTTTGAATTTCTTTCGAATTTTTTTATTTTATATTCTGTTTTTGTATGACTCAGCCAAGGAAAAAAATAAAAATATAATTAGTTACAATTATGGATGCTTATGTTATTATAAAAGCTTCTTATTAAAATAAAAAATTATAAATAAAGCATGCTTATCGAAGATGCTTTCGAAATGTCAATACATTCCATGATAACTCATGAGTATTTAGATTTTATAATGGAAGATTTTTAATTATTTTTTTTTTGTATTCAAAGATGTTCGAACCAGTTTATATACACTTCGACTATTTACCCAAGCCTTGAAATGAATTGTTGTTAAAAATTGAATTTGTTTACATCATCAAATTAGTGAGTTTAATCAACTATCACACATTTGTTTGGGATAGGGATAGTGATAGGTTTGGATTTGACCTTGCCATCAAGCGTCAAGCTCTCTCGTGATTGGCTTGGACCTGACCTTGCTATCAAGTGTGAGGGCTCGCTCATGATGGACTTGCACCTGACCTTGTTACCTAATGTGAGGGCTCGTTCACAATCACATCTTTCACGCTTGATCACGTTGAACATAAAAAAAAAAAATGTTAGAAGTTGAATTTGTCTTACATTGTCATTTCATGGTTAAAACATGTTTTAATTTTTGCTTTTAATTTTGTAATTATTATGATATTTCCCAATTTTTGAAATGTAATTTTTTTTTTTGGTTTAAAATAGAGAAATAAACCCTCACTTATTGTGCTTGGCTGGACCCAACCTTGCTACCAAGCGTGAGGGCTCTACTGTGATGGGCTTGGACCTGACCTTGCTACCTACGGAGGATTCCCTCATGTCCCTCACGTTTGACGACGTTGAACATGAGAGAAGGTAGTGGAAGTTGAATTTGCCTGTTTTTATTTTTGTTTTTTATTTTGTAATTATTCTGATATTTCCCAATTTTTTTAAATGTATTTTTTGGGGGGTAAAATAAATAGAATAATTTTATAATTAAGTGAAAGAAGAGAGATATTTATTCCTGTCTTATTGACAACTCCAAACGTCCCCTTTAGTTAACCCTCTTCAAAATCAAATCCCAATAGATAGAAAAAGAAATTGGAAAAAGCAAAGCAATAGCTGAAGAAGCAAGAACAAGCATCGAACTCTGAAGGGTTAAGGCTCGGTCTAAACATTATAACCATATCGTAAGATTCTCTTCTTTCATTTGTTTAGTTTCTGTCATTTTATCGTTTGATTAAGAAATCTAATTGGTGAAATAACAACCATTAGTGAATTGTCTGGGTTGTCAGCGAATGCGAAACTCAGCTAAGTTAGAAACTTTTTTGTTAACAAGCTTTGCAATTTAGTTTTAATTTTTCTGTTTTTTTCACTTACCATGATGGATATGAATGTGAATTTGGATGGCTGGGATTTTGGTGCTGGAAAGCTTTGTTACTTACGAAGTAATAGTAAGGCTGTTAATTAACTCGGTATCACTAGAAAGCAATTCAATGTGCTACTTTGTTTTCTTCATAATAATCAGGTTGAAGGTTGCAAAGAGGATAAAGTTTTTATTATTATTTTTTTATTAATATGTTTTCTGGTTGTTTGAGTGTAATATTGGTTTATTCATTTACTCATAATGAATATATACTTGCAGGTTGCTATGTGATGATGACAACGATAACAACACTGCCCAAGAATCCCAGAAGTTCCAAGCTTTTGCTTCCAGAGTCAAAGTATGTGAGATCTAGAGCTGAATTTTTTTTCCTTGCGGCATGCTCTCATAAAACTTCTTGTGCCTTGGGCTCAAAATTTGATTCCAGAAGCTGTTTCATCCATGTAGCGCAACCCTACTTGGTCAGCAATATCAAGTAAGTCTCAGTCTCGGTTACAATTTTGATATACATGATTCATATTGTTTGGATGCAGATATATCATAAGATTTCAAGCTTGGGTTAGTATTTTTACAGAAAGATTTGCTAGACATGTAAATATGTTGTGGTTGTAGTAAAATGTGAGATGAGCTTGAATATGGTTTAATTTCATTGTTTAGATGGGTTTGTTGGCATCTGAATGTAGGCAGTAGGTCCTCAAAAGGCGGCTGTAATCAGCAAGCACTATAGTCCACAAGCACCTGCCTCTGACCTTCCAGCATGCTGATATAAACACATACATGAGTGGCAAGTTAGGATTAATGATTTTTATCTTAAATACGTTGTAAACTACTATGAGAACTGAGGTGGAAGCCTTTTCCACTTAAGGGCTGATAATTGATAACGGAGTAATACCTGGTTATTTAGGGGTGACAACACATTTACTTAGGGAGTTGATGCATGATAAACAAAATTTAGCCTCTCTTAATACATTTGGGGCATATTTTCTTGTGTTGGGAAAAAATGTTGGTAGTCATATACATATGATGTTTTCAACAATTCTGTAATACTTAATGCAGACGATTTCTTTTCAAATTGCACAGGGAGATGGCTTGGTCTGTTCGGAGCAGTGTAGATGGCAGTGGATTTGATCCTTCCTCCACAGATAGCCCTAATGGCAGGACCAGATTAATTAGGGCCATCCAATCTTTTCAAACCAAATTGGGTGCCAGAATTCAGGAGATAAGGAAAGATCTTCCAATGAAGTTACTCTTTTTCTTGGTGGGATTCTATTGTGCAACTGCCTTTGCCACCGTTATTGGGCAAACAGGTGACTGGGATATTTTGTCTGCTGCATTGGCTGTGGTGGTTGTGGAGGCGATTGGGGCCTTGATGTATAGAGCTTCTCTTCCTTTAGTTAGCAAGTTAAAAAGTCTGATCACTATGTTCAATTATTGGAAGGCTGGGCTTTCACTTGGCCTCTTCCTGGATTCATTCAAGTATGAAATGGATAACATTATTGAGTCAAGTAACCCCTTCAATTTTCAAATAGATATATTCTCCATATTCTAGTAAATCTTGGGTATTCTTTAGTGCTGTTGACTACTCTCTTTTGTGATTGCGTCCAACTACTTGAAGAAGTTGTTAGCTCGTGTGGATCAGACTTGGGCGCGCATGTGGAAGCTCAAAGCCTCAAGCTACATTGGACAAGTTGAAAAGCATGCTGGGTCAATCAAGTTGACCCAGCATTTACAAGTAGAACCAGTATTATGATTTGATAACTGATAATGGTCTTGGGCAAAAAAATTAGAGTAATATGGCTCAACACCCTTCTCTCACAACTTTCTTTTGTTAACCCCTGATAGTTTGTAATTAATAAATTGATAAATGAGTAGATAAGACCCTTAATAAACTGACCAATTATTAATTATTATATCAGAAGTTGTGAGAAAATTGTAAGATTGCGTTATGAACGTAGTATTATTCAAAAAATTATGATTCTGCAAGAAAATACTCCTCCCAGAACTTCAAAAGTTAGTGAGATACTGGATTCGCCAAAGAGCCCACATGTTTTGCTTTATTAACAGTGGATCCTATTCAAATTTTAAATTAGCGAATATTAACACTGGATGAAATAAAAATGGTTGTACAACAAATATCATCACATCAATAAATTGATAATTACAGGTAGGCTCTCCTAGAAACCATGTTAACACATATCAAAGTATTACATGGCTACTGTTCCTTGTGATATATATGATAATATATCTGTAACTGCTGATAAACATTATTTATGTAAAGACAGTAAAGTATGTATGTTGTCCAAGCACAACCAGAGAGGTGCAATCACGCATCCACTTCAGGACCTGGGTATGCTGGTAGGCTCATAATCCGCTTGTCTAAGACTGGACCTCCCACAGTAAAATGATATAGACTTTGAAAGTTTGATCCCGTCAACCCCAGAAGTTGATGCACTGAAAAAATAAAACAAAAGAAATATATATTTTCAAGATATACTTCTCAAATGCACCAGCAGCGATACCATGATAGCCAAGCACAATTATAGGTCATAGTAGTAGTAAGTTCTCCTCCAAGCACAAGGCCACTGTTTATATATTAATAAAGTAACAATTTGTTCCATGGTCGGAATTCTTCAAATAGGCATTAACAATCCTTCACTTGGTACTATGATTCACAATCCTTATAACCTGTTAACAACATACAGCACAGCATCTATACATACCTTGAATATCTGCTACAATTTTCCATCATCACTTCTTAAACGCTAAAAAGTGTGGAGGCACTTATTTCCTAACTTTTATTGTGGTGATCAGGTTATTGTTTAGCTCATTCTCATAGTTCTACAATCATTTTATTTATGTTCGTTTAATTCTGGGACTTTATATGCAAAATTGTAAGATTTTACAATTATCAAACTGCATTAGAATACTAAGATACCATGCATATTTGTTATCACATTGAATCAGAATGCAAGTGAACATACCAGGGTCATCAAAGAAGCAACCAATTCCAGTTGCAGATATGCCAACTGCATGTGCTTCAAGGTACAACACCTGTCCAAGAACTCCAGTCTCCCAAAATAATCGGGGATACATCCAAACATTATTGTTACGCAGAGTAGGCTCGAAATGAGCCACCATACCAAGGCTAAAGCAGCCATCACTAGCAATGTCCTACATTAATTTAGCACAAAACAGTTTAGGAAGACCAGAGAAACATTTTGTCTATTTACACCTGCGCTCTATCACCTGTTTTACAAACCAGAGAGACAGACAGAGGATTTATGATTCCAGGCACAGTTTCAAACTTTGGTTTTGTAAAATTGATATGCACGGAGCAATATTTTATAACAATATAAGATCTACAAAATTTCCAATATAAAAGCCAGTAGTTGGTAGTATAATTCAACTATATATCTTAAATAATAGATGGAACTTTTATCCCAATTACAGTCTCTTCATGCTTAATGCTTTGCAACATGTCTCTCAGGGTAAAATGAAAACAAGCAGTTGTTTCAAGGGAAAATTTATTGGCAAATTAGTTCAGCTCATAAACGACTTACCATCTGTAGCATCTATAGTTTCCCCACACTTTGATGTTCATAAACTAACAATACAGTTAAAATCCTCAACCAGTAAACAAAGTTCTAACCACAAATCATACACTTGCCAAAATCTCGACCAATTTATCAAAAACAAACATAAGGAGAGAAACTGGATCATAAAAAGAATTAGCAAACCTGATGGCATGAAAGTCCTTTGGCGAGTTGTCGGCAATCACCCCTAGCAAGTTCATATAAAGGTAGATCATCAGGGCAGCCCTCTGGCTTCTGCCACTCGAAGTCAGGCCTCATAACTTTCTTTAACTCCCCAATGTGATCCTCGTTCCTTACCAAGAAATACAACCCCTTTGGCAATCCTTTCACTCTATGAACAAACAAAGCAGCATGCACCTCAGCATCCCAAGAAAGAACCCGAAATGGCAATGCTAATTGCCTCTTCTGCTTCCCTCCACTCCCAGAACCCGAAGGAAGACAGTGTAATAAAATTTGATAAAATGTCTCTCTGTCCATTGTAGTCACTTCATCCATATCAACCGCGCTCCTCCTCTTCCTAACAACTTCTCTCACAGTAAAACCCTTGTAACAATTTTCATTAAAAATTCCACTACCATAAAATGGATCAACTGCAAATGCATTTCTTGTAGTCAATGGTTTTTTAACTGCTTCAGCTGTTCTATAAATTATGTCCCAACAAATATGTTCTTCACTCAACAAATTTGGCTTCCCTTTCCAGTCCAACACTGAAAACTCCTTTATTAACAAACTCAATTTCTCATAATTTACATCAAATTCCCTACTTCCAGATGGAAAAACAACAAGAACACAATCCGGGTGCTCAAATTCAATTTCCGGAAACTTCCCTTTAACAGGTTTTGATGGAATTTGAAATTCTGGGAAAATATGAAGCCCCATTAATTTCTCTAAATCTTTATACCCCAAACCTTCCAGAATCTTCACATCCCAACCAAGTCCAGCAGCAGCCATGGTAACAGCCGCAATGGCATGGCCCACGTCATGATTACAGTACCTGAATGCCCGCTCTCCGTATTTCCAGGCTTCGCGCCAAAATATCGAAGAAAAGCCGATAAGAAACGAATTTTTGGGAAAGAATTTATTGAAAAAGCCGGAACCTGATGGGATTTTAGCTCTAAGTTCCAAAGCATGCTCTTTTGGTGCATAATGTGCAACGAATGGTGAGTCGCAAACCGAGTCAATAGCAGGAGCAATTATGTACGATTCAGTTGGGTGTAAATTGCCGCTACTCGGGTTGACCCGAAGAGACCAAGTAGAAAACCCGGTGGTTTTCCAGGCGGAGAGAGCCAGTGAGTCATAAAAGAATTGAGAAATTGAAGAAATTGTGAGGGGTTTAGGAGGAGGAAGAGATGTAAAGAGAGAAGAGTACAGAGGGATATTATCGTCGTTACTCGAAGATGATAGGGTTTGGTTTTGACCGTCAGTAGAGAGATGTAAAAGAGGGACGAGAGGAGAAGAAATGTAGCGGCGAAATGGATTGGGCTGGTTGGCCCAGTCGAGTCCGCGAGGGCCACGGGCATAGTTCGTGAAGGAATGCTTGGTTTCGTTGTGATACTTTATGACTTGAGCGAGCTTTTGAGGGTCTATATTTTCCGGGATTTTTTCTTCTTTTGGGTTGGTTGTAGAGGGTGACGAAGACGATGAAGAGAAGGACATGATGGGAATTATATTTTTGCTTGAAGGAAAGAGATGGAAATGGAAACGAGAAGGATTTAAAGGGAGAGTGAACCTTGATGCAAATTGTGGCATTTTTGTGGGGTTACACAATTTGTTTCGGTGGCTGTAGCATGTTCTAGACTCGGGAATACGGTGGACACGGTGGCTATTCTTACTTTTTCTTTTTCTTTTTTCTTTTTTATTTCTTCTGGTTTTAGATTGGCTAGTTCCAACGACTGAGGAGGATGCTTCTGAACGACTGATTCGAGATTCCGAGTTTGAGTGTAATGCGTTAAGACTGATACAGAATTGGGTCCTCGATTGAGTGGTCCACTGCTCAAGCCCAAATACAAACCCATATACTGTTGGATATTAGTATTGGGTCAGGGCTGCACGGGGCTAAAAAGAGGAAACTCAATGGCTCAATAGTTATTAGTAGCCCATAACAGTCCAATACAAAACCTTTACCTTTCGTGGACGTACGTACACATACTTGTAGTTATACGGCGCATAGTAAAGCGTGATGCTCCGGCGACCAGTAATAAAACCTGTGCCTTGAGTACACGTCCAAAAGTGCACCTTGAAGCGCGTGACATCAATTCCCACTTCGGGATTGTGTGTCTGTCTGATTTGGCTGGTGACTCAACCATAACGTCATCATTATCTTAACTTTTCACTTTACTAACAGCCAACCTTCCGAAGTTAATAAATGCACTCTTTCAATTAACCCGATGGACAGAATCGCCCTTGTTGAAAGAAAAAAAAAAAAAAAATTCATTTTAATTATAATAAATTCGGTGATAAATAAATAAAAAAAGATGCAAAGTGTTTTATGTCAGACTTGGTGAATGGGTATCTATGACTCTCATAAGGTTTCAACATTTTACAAATGTATAGAAAAAATCATTAGATTAACACAAACACCTTATTTCTTTAACTTTTATTATGGGTTACGGATCTATTATGATTATTTCATTATTCCTCTTTTAACATAAACATTTGACAAATTATCTTGTCGTTAAGTTTTGATGTTATATTGATCAAGATTCGAGAGAAAGACAAAAAGTTAAAAATTAAAATATTTTGTAAAGTAGAAATATAAAAACTAAAAAAGATATATTGTATATACTTTTTAAAATATATATTTTTGTAAAATAAAATATTCATTATCAATTTTTTTTTAAAGTAAAGAAAGATCAGCAATTTCGGAGATCTTTATCATCTTACATCTCTTTTTTATGTAAATTATTTTAAAAATAATATTAAATTATAAGCATATTTAAAATAAAAAAACTTTTTCTAATTTTTTTAATTATTTTGAAATATTTAATATATCATCCAGTATTTTAAAATAAAATGTCTAGTTTACCCTTTCCTCGATTCAATTCAACACAAAAAATTGACAACAAGGGGTGCAACTGTGCAAGTGACTAAAGATGCGTTTGGTTTGTTATTTTGGATATGATTTTGGAAATAATATTGGATAGTTGAATAGGGTGATTATTACGAAATAAAATTTAAAAATTAACAAAAAAAAAGCTCCATAGGTTTGTTAATTTAACTAAACACCTAATATATAAAATTTTTGTAAAATAACAAACACACCCCCACCACCCACAGTGCCAGATTCCGGCCACTATCGCTGAAATCTAGTCGAAATCTGGCGTTACAACGTATATCGGTCGGATCTGGCCAAATGTGCGTCGATCTGGCAGTCAAAAGCTGGAAAATGCTAGATTTGGCCTTCAGCGACGGCCAAAGATATGACCATCATTATTGGTCGTTTGTACGCTGTTGTGATAGATTTCAATTATCATCGATAATAGTTGTCGAATCTAACAACTATGGGCATGTGAGGGTATTTTTGTTAATTTTTAAATTTTTTTTTAGAGGTATTTAATGAAATTAATAAATTTAAAAGGTCTAAAATAATTAAAAAATATAATAATATTTTTTAAATAATTAAACAAATAAATATTTTGAAAATAGAATTAGGAATAGGGTACCAAATAATAAAACAAAGCATAAAAAATTATTGGGATTATGTGTTAGGTAATGACAAATCGTCTTTTCACAGGTGGATCACCGAATAAAAAGCATTTGAGTGCTCCCTTTAAACCTTTCCACTTATTCTAAATTTTGAATTGTTTAATTTAATCTTTATCCATAAGCATTTTGGCTCCTTCCAACCTGAACAGAAAAAAGCCGCACGCTTTCTTCCCCTTATAATCGCGCCAGTAAAAAATCCCGGTTCTTCTCCTCTGCTCACTCGAACCGTCGAACGATTCATTACTGTGATTCACTCTCATCTCAATCTGTCTCTCTCTGTTAGGTACAAAATAGTACTGTCAACCTCAATGGTTATTTCCGTTCACTCTCATCATCAACTCAACACTTGCCTTAATTAGATTCTTTTAAAGAATTTTTTTTTTTTTTTTTTTTTTTTTAGCAGAAAAAAGGTCATCCAGTAGGGGAAGAGAATCCATTACTTACAGAAATTAAAGGCCGCAAATATTCCAACTGCTTTGTTAGAGAAAGGACAAAATCGTGTTATTGATGCTTCTCTTACACTTATTCGTGAGAGGGCAAAGCTTAAGGTACACATACAATCTTTGTTTTAATTTCAATTCAGTGACTAAAATTCTGCTGCAGAAACTATAATTGATTCTTACTTCGGTCATATGTTATGTGATATTTATGAAGGGAGAGCTTCTGCGTGCGTTAGGAGGTGTTACTGCTTCAACAACTCTTCTTGGAGTTCCATTGGGACATAACTCATCGTTTCTTCAGGGGCCGGCCTTTGCTCCTCCTCGTATAAGAGAGGCCATTTGGTGTGGTAGCACCAACTCTACAACTGAAGAAGGTAATTTATTATGAAATAAATTAATTCTCAAATAATTTATTTCGATTAACGAAAGGAGTTTATTTTATTTATTTAGTTTTGAATCGCCTGGTATGCGGTGTGCAGGGAAACAATTAAGCGAACCGCGGGTGTTGACAGATGTGGGTGATGTCCCTGTTCAAGAAATACGAGATTGTGGTGTCGATGATGACAGATTGATGAATGTCATTAGTGAGTCTGTGAAGCTAGTGATGGACGAGGTAAATTAGTGTTTTATATGAGTTCTGATATTATCTTAAGATTAAATCCGGAAATTAACAAGTTAATTAACTTTATGCTGTGAATGAATCGTAGAGGACAATTAATAAACCATTGTTATGTATACGAGTTATTTTCTATTCATGCTTTAACTCGTTAGATATGTTTCATGGAAAGCTTTATCTTTTAGATGTTGCTTCTATGTTTGGAAAGAGTTTAAACGGATAAAATTCACGCCAATCATGAAGTTTATGCTCTTTCAGGATCCATTGCGGCCATTAGTTTTAGGTGGTGATCACTCAATATCTTTTCCTGTTGTAAGAGCAGTCTCTGAGAAGCTTGGAGGACCTGTGGATATTCTTCATCTAGATGCCCATCCTGATATTTATCATTCATTTGAGGGAAATATGTATTCACATGCCTCATCTTTTGCCCGAATCATGGAAGGTGGTTATGCTAGGCGGCTTTTGCAGGTGAGTTTTGTTTTTCAACAAGCTCTACATTTTTCTGCCTTTTATGTTCTATTGTCACTATTCAATAGAGATGGACTTAAGAAATATGATCCTCATGTCATTTAATATATAGGTTGGAATGCTGCCATTCAAACTGCTTATTCATGTGAGAGCATGTATTCTCTTATATTTGGAATAATGAGTTCAATTGCTGACTGCTTAGGTTGGACTAAGATCAATAACAAGTGAAGGCCGAGAACAGGGGAAGAGGTTTGGAGTAGAGCAATATGAAATGCGGACATTTTCAAGAGATCGACACCTTTTGGAAAACCTGGTCTCTTCTTTCTCTCTTTCTCCTTGGACACACACACACAGAGTCACAAACATCCACATATACATTTATTTATCCATAATTATTTTTCTTGCTTTCTTACCTTAGCCTATCTGCTGTGCATATTCCAAAACTGCATTTTCATTAAAATATACATTTGTAAGAAATACTAAATGGTGGAATTGATGGTATTTAGATACCTGTAAAATAGCGAAAAGTAGAAGGAAATAATGATATTTAACATTGATATCTAAAACTTATAAGTAAATATAAGTATTTCTCTTGATGGTAGGCATAGGTACTCGTAGATCCCCACAGGATGCATTTGTAGATCCTTGATGTCTGAATTGTGGTAGTGTTTCTGGTTTTTACATTTTCGAGAGTCACCTTGCTTGAAGTGAGATGTTTTGTGTACTTCTTGAATTAAAAATAGGCATTTCATTCCTTCTTTTTTTTTTTTCCAGAAACTTGGGGAGGGAGTAAAGGGTGTATACATTTCTCTAGATGTGGACTGTCTTGATCCTGCCTTTGCTCCTGGGGTGTCTCACATTGAGCCAGGAGGTCTCTCTTTCCGTGATGTTCTCAACATTCTCCACAATCTCCAAGCTGATGTTGTTGCTGCAGATGTGGTTGAGTTCAATCCACAGCGTGACACTGTTGATGGGATGACTGCAATGGTTGCTGCTAAGTTGGTTAGGGAACTGACTGCTAAGATATCAAAATGAAAAGTACTCTACCTCACCATCAACATTTTTGTACGATTATTTATTAATATTCTTGGAAAGTCTGATTAATGTTCACATCATCTATTTTATTTTTCACCCAAGTATCGCTGAAGGCATTAAAAATCTACCTGGTAGGTTCTTAATGTGTCAACCATAGTTGTACTCCATAATCCATATATGATGTGTAAGTAAGTGTAGCTATTATCTAGCCCAATGAAGATTTTTACTATGTGCATTATGATGTAAACTTTTAGAATACAGAAAACCTAAATGCTGCTTAAAAGATTTGGAAATAGACCTTACATGAGTTTTAAGATTTTTTTTTTCAATGCTTATAAGATAATTGACTCGAGTCAATTCTAGATTTTAGGTGGAATAGAAGCACATAATCAATGACTGCTGTTATTTGCAGTGGCTCATGGACCATCTGTCAATCTGAATCAACAGATTTGATCCCATAAAAGAAGATGTATTTTGAAAAATTTCAAGATGCCTGACTTGAAAGTATTAGTTGATTCCGTCATTAAGGATATATTTTACTGCTTTCTGTTTTAAATTCTCCATTTTCCTAATATCACTTTCTATGATGAAGAATTTTCTACTTTAATCTTTTATTCTGACTGGGTCCAAAACCTTAATATTTTCTTTTGCCATGTGGATCAACAAAACAATTTCCAAGTATTATTCTTTCTAGCACCAATACTTAAGCTCATTACAGCTAAATTTGACAGGTAAAACATAAAACCCATATTAATTAACTATTACTGACGTTTCAATGTATTCCTGCTTGACTCCCTGTGTCCCCCACCCATCACCGTCAACAAGAAGATTGCTTCATTTGCTCAAGGTACAATCTGGCATTTAACTTCCCTCATCATCTCGTTTTTCTAGTGATATGCACTTGTATCGCTTTGCACACACAATAAAAAGACCTAAATTCAGGGCAGTCAAAGTGGCTGATAGAAAGAAATATCTGTCCAAATGTCCATCATTCAAATTGGGAGGAAGCCAACCCGGCTTCCCATTCTTGGTTGTTATCGCCATCACCACTGTCAAAATCATGCTACACACATAACTACCGATTGCTGTTGATGACATGGACAAAGCAATCCCCAAGCTTTTTAATCCATCTGGCGTTTGTGATGCAAAAAATTCCATTTGTGCAACATAAAGGAATGCTTCCGACACTCCCACAAGCACATATTGTGGAACCTGCCAGAAAATACTTAGAGAGCTTGTCTCTTCACCACTCTCACTTGCATTATTTAGCCTATTTTGTTCAACAACGCCTGCCGTAATCATAGCTAATACTGCAATGGCCAACCCAATTCCGATTCTTTGTAGCTCAGATAAAGTTTTTGGTTCTCTTTTTGTTACTTTGATGTATAAAGGAACAATGATTTTGTCATATAATAGAATGAACGCAGAGCTGCTTACAATGTCAAATGCTGTCATGCTGGCGGGAGGGATATGGAAATTTGAGATTATTGTTTTCATGGCAGCTCCTTGTTCGACAAAAAGAGAAATCATTTGTATGAATGCCATGGAGGACATGATGGTACAAAACCATACAGGTAATAACCTCAGCACGGATTTCACTTCTTCAACTTGAGTTACGGTGCAAAGACGCCATGGATTTGGAGTTTGGCCTGCGTTTGTTGTTTTCAAGATCATGTCTGTTTGGGTCATAATAGCAGCTCGATCAAGAAATCTGCTTGTTGGAAGAGATCAACATTAACATGAGTACATGAAGACATTAGCATGTAATTTATGTGGTTATGGAAAAAAATTTCTGCAGAATAATTTACTTACTTGAAGTCATTGGCGTGGGAGATTCTTAGGCCATTAGTTTCAGTTTCCCTTTCATGAACTTCATAAAGTCCTTCTCCATTGAAGGGTACTTGAAGACTTATTTTCCTCAAGGAAGCTACAATGACTTGAGAGAACCTGGAGAAGGGATTACCAGAAGGCTTGAAGTGCCTATACCTCAAAGTCCCACTAACCAGCAACGTAAATCCAAATATACCACAACCAGCACATATCCAAAATCCCAAAACCCAATACCCCATTGTCTCCAAATAAACCAGAACCGTCTCGGAAAACAAGCATCCAAGGTTGAGTGCCACATAAAAGTAACTGTAAAATGAAGATTTTGATTTCTTTTCTCTGTGATCCTCCTCATCAAACTGGTCTGCACCAAATACAGCTAGAGCAGGTTCAGGGGCTCCATTTCCTATTGCGATTAAATAAATAGATATGTAGAACATAGCAACTTGAGCTGGTGAATGAGGATCACATAGGCTACCAATGTGGCCACAGCCATGAGGCTCGAGTAGAAATGAGTGGGTTAATAAGGACAGTGCTAACAATCCCTGCGAAAATCAAGAAGTATTATCAACTTTTACAATAGTTTAAGGACCGCGATCTACAAAGGAAAGTTAGTAGATAAGTACTCACAGTAACTGAGACAAGTTGAAATGTGACACAAGTCAAGTATCTTCCCAAATAGGAATCACTAAGAAAAGCACCCATCAAAGAGGAGAGATAAAGGGTTCCCATCCATCTACTGAATGTGTTCGCTGCCTCTGCATTAGTCTGCCTCAGTACAGATTTTGAGAAGAGAACCATATTCACTTCCACTCCGGCGAACGCAAGGTTGGCTAATCCTTGGTTCACTGCTTAACATAACCATTCAAAATCCTTGTTACTTTTTCTCATATATACCAAATTTCTTGCTTACGGAATACATTAATTAATTAAGGACAGAGCTGCATATACCTAGTAACAACGTTCCACATCTCCATCCACCAGTCTTCCCTTTCATGGCTGGTTTGCCATGACAATTGAGCGACCCATCTTTTGTGTACGCATCGCCGAGCCCCTCTTTGTCCATGTCGTCCATTGAATTTGACCGGTTGGCCTCGACCACCTACAATGCGAATCCCCAAAAAATCTTTCTAAACATCATGACAGGAAAATGAATTCGAAATACTGCTAACCAACTTTAATGAGAAAGTAGATTCTAACTTAATGACATGACAATGTTGTCCAAATTATGCTCTATTTGGTAAATAATTATTAAGTTTCCATTTGCAAATTTTTATATGGAAAAGTTTGAAATTTGACCGTGTTGTTCGCGCATAAAAAGGTTACTCAAAATAAATATTTAGGTTACATATGATAGTGACTGTTGATGTAGTGTTATAACGTGGTGACTCTGACTCCCTAGTACCAAAGAGGCAAAGAATTTTTGCAGTTGTTCACCTCTGCAACTCCGATATATCTCAAGTGGTCAGGTTTGAAATCTTCAAACCTCAGCTGCATTATATGAATATATCTAAGGCAAATCTTATAGAAAACTCCACAAGCCTCATATCAGTAATCGTTCTTTTCAAATTGCAGAGAGTATAAAATACATGGAAGGTATGAGAAAGTGAAAACAACTGGAACTTTGAGGAAGAGAAGTTGAAACGAAAAAATATATAAAAAAGAGTCAGAACAAGTATTTTTGTTCACCTCTGCAACTCCGATATCCAGTAATACATCTCAGGTGGTCAGGTTTGAAATCTTCAAACCTCAGTTGCATTATATGCATATATCTAAGGCAAATCTTATAGAAAACTCCACAAGCCTCATATCAGCAATCGTTCTTTTCAAATTGCAGAGAGTATAAAATACATGCAAGGTATGAGAAAGTGAAAACAAATAGAACTTTGAGGTAGAGAAGTTGAAACGAAAAAATATATAAAAAACAGACAGAACAAGTATTTTTACAACCTCTCACTTAGCGTACCTTGAGGTCATTAGTAACTAGAGTAGTTCCAGTGTCTTCTTGTCTAGTCTCCATCGATCTTTTCAAGAAATCTAACGTAGCTCACGGTCACAGAGAGATGCAACGAGCAAGAGCAGCTTTGTTTGTGTAACGGGATGTGTAGTGCAGACCGTAGACTGTAGACTGTAAATAGTAGAAATTGATGAGTCACTGCCAAAACAAGTGTGTCATGCGAAGCTACTACTGCCACGTACTAGTTACACGGAACTTCTGTGCTCCCCTTGTGGGTTGACTAAGGATAAGACCGGGAACCTCCCATTCTCACTTGCATAATAAATGCATGAATCTAAACATAATAAAACATCTGATATGCTATTGCTATACTGTGTAGGGGTGTCCAAAAGAACCGGTTGAAACCGGAACCGGCGGATACCTTGGGTTTGGTTCTGGTTCCTACCCAGAACTAATCGTCAACGGGTAGGTTTCGGTTCTAAATTTTTGGAACCGTTACTGTGCGGTTCCGGTTTCGGTTCCTATAGTTAAGAACCGGAACCAGAACCAGGAACCGAAGCTAATATAAAATAAAATTAAAGATTAGGGGGGTTAATAAAAACTTTTATAAAAAATTAATGTGAATACATTTATATTTATATTTCATAACATTTAAAGTAAGTTGGTTTGATTTTTGAGAATCTACCTTTACAAAGTAATGGAGTTTGTAATTTTGAATTTATAATTTGTAATTTTATTTTTGTTAACAAGTACTAGGTGGGGGGGTATTTGTAAGTTTTTAAGGGTTTTTTTACCATTTTTAAAACTTTTGGGTGATCAGATAATTTTATAGGGTACCCAGAACCGGAACTGGAACCGTTGTTACAGGTTCTGGTTCTGGGTACCTAAGAACTGGAACCGTCGGTTCCGGTTCTGATTCCAAATTTCAAGGAACCGTCGGTTCTGGTTCTGGTTTCGGTTCCTTCAAAATATGTAGGGTACCCGGAACCGAACACCCCTAATACTGTGCATTACTTTTATTCCTCTAACATAGGGTTGCAACTGGCAACTAAAACGAAAATCAAGTTAGTTATTTTAAGAAATTAAATATAGGTCCTCCTTTTAAAATTCTAAACTTATTTTAAATTAAAAAGGTATCACATTATACTTTAATAATAATCATGTTTTATAAATTACATTATAATTGAAATAATAAACACATGCTTATATAATATGATTTAAATTCCGAAGAAATATGTTATTTGTAGAACAAAAGAGAAACTCTTTTTCTTTTTTGTTAATTGATATGTTCAGATTAGCTTACGTACACCTTAACTAATCCTTAGGGAAAACTATCTCACAGCAATCCACTGTCGCAGTCTCTCAGGTAAATCATGGGTAAATGTATTATTTTTACACCCAGAGTTAAAGTCATACACAATCCTCTTAGTTTACTCTTACCAGTGGGCTATGCACGAGCGGTTAAAACCCATTTTACAAGAGTTAACAACTTTTTTCCCACCCAAATAATGGTTTAATGACACTTTCCCACTCATAGATTTTTAAAATACTACTTTATTACTCAAATTTATATTTTAGTGATGAACAGAGAGCAAACTCGATCTAGGTTGTTTGAGGTTTTGAAGAGAAGAAGTCAATGAGTCTTTTGGTGGAGGAAGGTTAGATGTTGGTAGTTGGAATTGATCAGAATTTGACTTGGGAGGGGCGGATGTGAAAACCCTAATCGCTTAATTGGCGACGATTGGGGGGGGGGGGGGGGGGGGGGGGGGGGGGGGGGGGGGGGGGGGGGGGGGGGGGGGGGGGGGGGGGGGGGGGAGAGAGTAGTGTTTAAGGGTTAGTGATGATTGAATAAGAAAATTGTGGTGGTGTGAGGTCGCAATGATGCCAGAATCGAAAATGAAATATAAATTTGGGTAGTAAAACTATATATTAAAAGTCTGTAAATAAAAAAGTGTCATTAAACTATTATTGGGTAGTAAAATAGTATTTTAAAAGTTTGTGAATGAAAAAGTGTCATTAAACCATTATTTGGGTGGGAAAAAGTCGTTTACTCTTTACAAATAACCATTTATACAACAGTTTCATTCATAATGCCTCATTGATTAGAGTCAACGACAATTACTTTAAAATCCTTTATATATTCCAATTGATATCTTGTTTTAGACTTTGTTTTTAGATATTTACTGACTGGATAAAAATATACAACAGAACAAAATCTTTAATTAAAAATTTTGATTAAAACAAATCCATAAGATTGTTTAATTTAATGGTTTAATAGTATGTGTTCATGGATACATTAATACAAACCTATAATAGTAAATTAACATTTGACATTTACACGATTGCATGACGGTATTTTCAAACTAGGGACTACACTGGCTTTTGACGGCATTTTCAAACTAGGGACTATACTGTCTTTTGAACGTTGGGCGGGTCCGATATTGAAACGGCGTTGTTTTGACGGGATCGACCGTTTAACCCTTCTGTTGCACCACACAGCAAATATCTCTTATCACGCTCCTATATCCAAAAAGATGGCTTCCTTACAAACCCTGTCTTCAACAATTTCGCGCCTAAATCTGCTCCAAAGATCCTCATTTAATTACTCACTAACGTCTCTTAAACTACTTAAATTTTATGAACAACGAATAATAAGACCCGCGCGGTCGCCTCTCAGTTTTTCTACTCTATCAAACCGTTCTTCCACTTTTAAGCCGATCAAGATGAGCTCTAAAGATGATTTAATTGTTCTTGGCATTGAAACCAGTTGTGATGACACTGCGGCTGCTGTTGTAAGCTATCAAATGTTATTTATTTATGGCGTTTTGTTGTGGGTGTTTACCTTTGGGTTATTTCTAATGGTTTTTCTTTTGGTGATTTTAGGTGAGAGGGAGTGGTGAAATTCTCAGCCAAGTTGTGTCTTCTCAGGTAACGATTTTATTGGGTTTTGTTTGATAATTTCCGCGTTAAATTCTTGTAAAATTATTCTTGGATTAACCGGGTGTATTATGAGCTGTGATTTAAATATTTTATTTAACTTTATACTTTTAAAATTTAATCTGATGAAGTTGTTTATACTCATTAAAGAGATAGATGAGAAATGGATACACTTGAAAGAAGTTAAGGGATAAATTTAACTAAGAATGATGAATCTAACAGAGTTGTTTCTATCATGATCATTGATCATCCGGAACACGCATAATAAGTAAGTTGGTTCTAGTTGAACCTGTTACATGGACGCTTGGATGCTGAAAAATTGGTCATTTAGTGGCATGGACGTAGTTTAAATTTTAGTAAGGATCTGTTAATTTTAAATATTGTTTTTTTATCATTGAATCATCACAATGGTGAGGCTACTGCAAATGCATTGCAAAATAAAGAAATAAATAAAATAAAAATAAAAATTGAGGTGTTTTGGTCCTGTCTACCATAGAGTGTATTATGATTTATTTAAATGATAAAAGGTGTACGTTTTTGCATTTTCTAAGTTTACAAGCTAATTCTTAGAGTCTTCGCTTTGTCAAGGCAGATCTGCTTGTTCAATACGGAGGTGTTGCTCCTAAAATGGCAGAAGAAGCACACTCGCAAGCAATTGATCCGGTATGACAACTGGTAAAAAGTGCTCTGTTTACTTTATCTTCTCTTGTTTTCATACACTGTCTTCATGCATTTCTCTTGCATATTTCCCATATGGAATATTAAATGCTTTGCTCCTTTACTTTATTGAACCTGAATTTTTAACTTATGGTTTGCTCTTTTACATTACTGAACCTGAATTTTTACTTATAAAGTGCAGGTTGTGCAAGAAGCACTTGATAAAGCTAATTTAACTGAAAGAGATCTTTCTGCAGTTGCTGTTACTATTGGTCCTGGTTTAAGCCTTTGTCTTCGTGGTAATTCAAATCATATAGCAATGCAATTTTCATCTTATTGCTTAGTCCAATTGTTGGTTGTTTGAAGATAAGAATGCACCAGATCGAATATGTTCATTATGCACATATATTAATCAAGTGCAACAAAATACTTACCAACTGGCAAGGTTCTAATTTAATAGTTTATTCTTAGTTGTCCTTGGATGTAGTTTCCCCTAGGGGTACACTCTGGTTAGATGGGATATTTGTGCATCCTCTGTTTGTGAACAAAAGTGCATTTTAGTTTTTGCCATCTTTTTATATTGAATGGAATTGTTTTTTCATTTCGGTGAGGGTGGTATTGGAATTTACTTTGGTTGGAGTTCACAAATCCATTTTCTCTATGAATTGGAATGCAGTGGGTGTGCAAAAAGCTCGAAACATTGCTAGTCGCTTCAATTTACCGGTTGTTGGTGTTCATCACATGGAGGCTCATGCTTTAGTAGCCAGGTAAGCTGTTAATTACTTACAACAGAGTGCAGAAGGGGCTTCTTTGAACAATACTATATTGTACTCTGTGTAGATAGGACAGAAAAAACACAAGCTAATTATTAAATGTTGTTTGTCTCAAATAAATGTTGTAAGTTCTGTTTTAAGAGCTAAAACTCTGATCTAATTGCTTATTTGACATCTAATGTTTTCTCTCTACCTCTAGGTTAATTGAACGGGAGTTGCAGTTTCCTTTCTTAGCTCTGCTTATATCAGGTATGAACTTACACTCCTAAACTAGTCTATGTTGTCCTGGGTTAGCTGATAATTATGTCTTCAAGAGGATAAAGGTTTTTGATTAGTTTGTAAATATATCATGTACATGAGCATTTTGGGCAATGGATTAGAATCAATGGGTGATTGTGATCTTGTCTCTTAATTTCTGTTTTTACATGCACGTCAACAATTTTAAAGCTTAAGATCTCTTGGTGAATGATAAGAGGGATATGCTACCTGGGAATCCTTTAGTTGGGCCAAAACATTCTAGCTTTTTCTTTGGAATCAATTTTGCTTAGCAGCTATTTTGACCTATTCTCATGAGAATGCTGCTTTTTGAGTTGGCCATGTTTGATTGCAAGTTTCGTGAATCAGTTATGCTGGAGCATTAGTCATTCAATCATTACTTCATGCTGCCAAATATATGATTAGTTGTTTTATCGCATTTGGCTTGTATAGCTATCGAGGTTATGATTATTACTGACTATAATTTCTTCATATTTTAGGCGGTCACAATCTACTTGTTCTTGCACATAATCTTGGTCAATACACACAGCTTGGAACAACCATAGATGATGCAATAGGTGAAGCATTTGACAAGACGGCGAAATGGCTTGGTCTTGATTTGAGGAGGAGTGGTGGGCCAGCTGTTGAGAAACTTGCTCTTGAGGGTGACTCTCAGGCTGTCAAATTCTCAGTAAATCCTTAACCCTAAGATTTATCATTTTCTTTAGTGTAATTCATGTATGATAGGTGCATTTTCTGGTTCTGTTCAACTAGTGAAGTAATATGTCTAATCTTTACATTCTCTAATTGTTTGCTAACGTAGCACAACTTTGTTTTAGACTCCAATGAAACAACATAAAGATTGCAACTTCTCATATGCTGGTCTGAAGACGCAAGTGAGACTGGCAATTGAATCCAGAAATATGTATGTTGAATATTGCAAACTTTTGATGGCACATGGTGAATTCTAGTCAATCATGTCTGTCCTTTTTTTTTTTTTTTCTTTTAATAAATCTAAAAGTCACTGTTATTGTAAAAAATAAAAAAAATAAAGTTACATCAATGAATTTCATCACAAGCTTTCCTTGTGTCCAGTTTTTTACTTATTGATGTGTATATTGGGTCTGTGCAGTGATGCCACAATACCCATTTCTTCAGCAAGTAGTCAAGATAGAAATTCCCGAGCTGATATAGCTGCCTCTTTTCAGGTTTTGTTTATTTCTTTGGAAGAGGAAAAAGGAAAAAATATAAATAAATACTGCCAGTAATATATCAGTTGGATTTCTTGATATGTTTTACTCTAACAAATACTTTTTGATGCAGCGAGTTGCAGTATTACATCTAGAGGAAAGGTGTCAACGAGCAATTGAATGGGCATTGAAGATTGAGCCTTCTATCAAACATCTGGTAATGACAACTTCAATATCTAATTATCTTTACTCCACTATTCCAATTGAGTGCTATCCCTTTATTTTAGTATTCCCAGCATACTGTGGCGTTTGACATCTTTCTGTATATTTTGCCTCCTGCAGGTAGTCTCTGGAGGCGTTGCATCAAACAAGTATGTTAGGGCTCGACTTGATCAGGTTGTTAGAAAGAACAGCCTGCAACTAGTGTGTCCTCCTCCTAGCCTTTGTACTGACAATGGTAAGCCTTGTTTTTTAGTTGTCAAACTTTGGATGTCTGAATGAGTGTAGTGGTGTGGGTAAAACAGTGATCGCCATTGCATGGTTGTGAATATTAGGCTGTGTTATGTGTTTTTTTTCCCGTACTCATTATGCGTAAGTAGAGACACATGCTTGACTCTCTTTGGGGTTCTTCAGCAATGGTGTAACTTGGGATGTAGCCTTGGTTTCCCAGGGAAAAAAATTCTTATTGTAAATAAGCTGGCTATGACTGATTACCATAATTTCCATTTAAATATAGGTGTAATGGTGGCATGGACTGGCATTGAGCACTTTTGTGTGGGAAGATACGATCCTCCACCCTCTGTCATTGAGCCTGAAGATTTTGTGGTATGATCAAAAGTTTGATAGCTTGACTCTGCCTATTTAACCCGTCTTGCTATCTTTCTCACCAAAACTTATAACCATTTTCTTCTTTAGGTTCTTAATTGCTCTGCGGCTCTGCCCATACTAATGACTTATTACATGTCTGTCATTTAACTAGTATGATTTGCGGCCAAGGTGGCCACTGGGGGAGGAATATGCTGAAGGAAGAAGTGAAGCTCGCTCCTTAAGGACGGCTAGGATTCATCCATCTCTTACATCTCTTATCCAAGCATCTATGCAACAACAATCGTAGCCCACTTGTTAAAATTGGCAACATGATACCTCAATTTTGATGTTAAATCCTCATCAACTTTATATATTCATTTTCATAAGATTGGCTTTGCTCTGACATTGCCAAACCACTGTACAATTTGCATGCAAGTAAGACTTTGATTGTGTAACTGTATATTTTTACATGTGACCTATGTAATTAAAATTGATGTCTTTCATTTTTTTTTTTTTTTTAAACTGATAAATTCAGACTAGTTTACGCGTACTTTAACTAATTTTTAAAAGGAATTATCTTACAATAACCCATCACCNTATTGGGTCTGTGCAGTGATGCCACAATACCCCTTTCTTCAGCAAGTAGTCAAGATAGAAATTCCCGAGCTGATATAGCTGCCTCTTTTCAGGTTTTGTTTATTTCTTTGGAAGAGGAAAAAGGAAAAAATATAAATAAATACTGCCAGTAATATATCAGTTGGATTTCTTGATATGTTTTACTCTAACAAATACTTTTTGATGCAGCGAGTTGCAGTATTACATCTAGAGGAAAGGTGTCAACGAGCAATTGAATGGGCATTGAAGATTGAGCCTTCTATCAAACATCTGGTAATGACAACTTCAATATCTAATTATCTTTACTCCACTATTCCAATTGAGTGCTATCCCTTTCTTTTATTATTCCCAGCATACTGTGGCGTTTGACATCTTTATGTATATTTTGCCTCCTGCAGGTAGTCTCTGGAGGCGTTGCATCAAACAAGTATGTTAGGGCTCGACTTGATCAGGTTGTTAGAAAGAACAGCCTGCAACTAGTGTGTCCTCCTCCTAGCCTTTGTACTGACAATGGTAAGCCTTGTTTTTTAGTTGTCAAACTTTGGATGTCTGAATGAGTGTAGTGGTGTGGGTAAAACAGTGATCGCCATTGCATGGTTGTGAATATTAGGCTGTGTTATGTGTTTTTTTTCCCGTACTCATTATGCGTAAGTAGAGACACATGCTTGACTCTCTTTGGGGTTCTTCAGCAATGGTGTAACTTGGGATGTAGCCTTGGTTTCCCAGGGAAAAAAATTCTTATTGTAAATAAGCTGGCTATGACTGATTACCATAATTTCCATTTAAATATAGGTGTAATGGTGGCATGGACTGGCATTGAGCACTTTTGTGTGGGAAGATACGATCCTCCACCCCCTGTCATTGAGCCTGAAGATTTTGTGGTATGATCAAAAGTTTGATAGCTTGACTCTGCCTATTTAACCCGTCTTGCTATCTTTCTCACCAAAACTTATAACCATTTTCTTCTTTAGGTTCTTAATTGCTCTGCGGCTCTGCCCATACTAATGACTTATTACATGTCTGTCATTTAACTAGTATGATTTGCGGCCAAGGTGGCCACTGGGGGAGGAATATGCTGAAGGAAGAAGTGAAGCTCGCTCCTTAAGGACGGCTAGGATTCATCCATCTCTTACATCTCTTATCCAAGCATCTATGCAACAACAATTGTAGCCCACTTGTTAAAATTGGCAACATGATACCTCAATTTTGATGTTAAATCCTCATCAACTTTATATATTCATTTTCATAAGATTGGCTTTGCTCTGACATTGCCAAACCACTGTACAATTTGCATGCAAGTAAGACTTTGATTGTGTAACTGTATATTTTTACATGTGACCTACGTAATTAAAATTGATGTCTTTCATTTTTTTTTTTTTTTTTTTAAACTGAGATATTTAGACTAGTTTACGCGTATTTTAACTAATTTTTAAAAGGAATTATCTTACAATAACCCATCACTATGACTCTTTATGTAAATCATGGACAAATATATTATTTTTACGGAGAATTGAACCAAAGACTGTTGATTCTGCTCTTGTGCAGCCCCCTTGCTAATTTTTCTAGACATTAGAACTCTTGTAAAACCTAGCTTAACTTAATTTTGTTTAATGCGGGATTTTAATATTTTAACGAATTTTTAGATATAATTTGGTAAGTGTTATCGACATTAAAGTATATATTTCTTTAAAAAAAAAAAAATCAATTTATTAGATGCAATTTAATTTTTAAATTATATCCGTTATATGTACGTGTAACGGGGACTATCATTTCAAAATTCAAAAAGAGGAAGTATCCCGCCATAATTACTCCATATATGAAGAGATGCGCGGGCCCTTAACAAACAAAGAAAGGCAGTGAGCGCGCAGAGAGATGGAGGTGTCGAGCCTACCAATCTCAGCATCACAGAGAGGAAAGTTAATATCTGCTGGCTACACCTCTCTTTCTTCACTTTCTTCCGTATCTTCGTCTGATCTTGCTTGTGGTATATATATTCTGGTTTTTTGCTTTAATTTTATGGTAATTTAAGTAGTTGCATATCAAGTGTTTGGTATTATGACTACACGAGATTTCTTGCCGAATTATTGTAAAGGAAATCATATGTTTGCACTTGTATCGATATATTACCAATTCTTAATAGATTTTAGTTTTGTGACGGAGTTTGATCCGTTTATAATATTTCTCTAACACCTATTATGAACAGATTTAAAAATTTCAGAGAGCGAAGCCGTTGAAATTATTAAGGTTGCATCAAAGGCTAGTAGATTGAGTTGGTCAGATAATGGAACTAATTCAATTATCAGTGGTATTTGTTTTCTCTTTGATTTCCTTATTAATATCTGCTCTTGTTTATTGTTTATGAAATAAATGAATGTGTGTCTATATGAAATAAAGGTTGCGAAATCTTTATTATGAGATTGTTTCAATTTTTATCTCATGAAGGTGCACATAACGCCTGGGATATGCTCCACGAGGAAGAGTCAATGACACGAATTACTACATCTTGTGCCGATCTAGATAACATATTGGGTGGTGGAATAAATTGTAAAGAAGTTACTGAAATTGGTTAGACATCTACTTTATTGTTTTTCTGTAGTGCATGTAAAAAGCATGATTCGTATTATGAATGCAAGAGTTGGAATATTATTTGTTTGTTAGCAGATTATCTTTTTGCTGATATGTGCAGGTGGAGTACCAGGCATTGGTAAAACACAGCTGGGGTATGGGTTGTCCTTCTATCTTTGTTCTAGTTTAAAGTTGTGTGTTCTTTTTTAAGTTTATTATATTTAAATTTACAGGATTCAACTTGCAGTCAATGTTCAAATACCGCTTGAATTTGGTGGCCTTGGAGGGAAGGCAATATATATAGGCAAGTAGCATGTAGTAGTTATTAGTTCTTATGTTGTTTCATTTGATCTCCGATTAGATGTAACGCTTTATCATTTATCTTTTGATTTTGATTTTTAGATACAGAAGGTAGCTTTATGGTTGAGCGTGCTTTACAAATTGCTGAGGCATGCGTAGAGGACATGTCTGAATATAATCGATTTTTACGAAATGATTTTCAAGCTTGCCAAGTTAAAATGCAGCCCACAGATATTCTAGAAAATATATTCTATTTCCGTGTCTGCAGCTATACAGAGCAAATTGCCCTTATAAATTACCTGGACAAGTTCATGTCAGAGCATAAAGATGTAGGTGTGGTATTAATATTTTTGGCTTAATATATACTTAAACAAGCATCTTACCTTCTAGTTTAAATTTATCTGAATCCTGTTATTTCACCATTCCAAGGTGAGCTATTGTTTTTTTCTTGAAAACCTAGCATAGTGGATGGATCTACAATAAATTTTTATATGTGTAAATTGTTGAACTGGGGAAGTCCATTGTTTGTGCGAATGTGGTGCAAGCGCATGTGCATGCTGTACTTAGGTATAATGTAATTGAAACTTTTCATTAATTCTATGACCATTTTGTTGTTATATGTATTGAATATATTCTTGATTGTCATAACAGGTTAAGATTGTTATTATTGATAGTATTACATTCCATTTCCGCCAAGATTTTGACGACATGGCCCTCAGAACTCGTGTACTTAGTGGACTAGCATTGAAGTTGATGAAGCTTGCAAAAGACTTCAGTTTGGCAGTAAGAATGATTTAAATCTATTAATAAGTTTTGAGTTCTGAATTTTAATAAGTTTTGCAAGTGAATGGGCATAAAGTTATATGTTGTTGAGTTCTCTTACAACCCCTCCCCTATTTTATTGGTACATTTGCATTATAAGTTAACTCTGTTCAATTAGTGTATGTTAAGTAGAGTTGCTAAGTGCTTTATCTTTCTTTATTTAATTTACGGGAACTTATGTAGTTCTTATGTTACTATATTACATTCTAGTTTTGTGGTCTTTTATGCTAATATGTTCTGACATACCTTCTTTTCCAAGGTTGTCTTACTGAACCAGGTGACCACTAAGTACACAGAAGGTTCCTTTCAGCTAACTCTCGCACTAGGTAAGTTCAATTCCTCATCAGCTTTGGCCGTCCGCTTGGATTTGTAGTTTTCCGTGCTTAAGTTTGTCCTTGACACAGCACATAGAAGATTCATTCCCTGATAGATATCCATTTGTCTTTTGCTGGTCGCTTGGCTTATTCAATTCACTTTCTAATATTTGTGTCTCCAACGTGCTGACCAGGTGATAGCTGGTCACATTCTTGCACAAATCGGGTCATTCTGTACTGGAATGGAAATGAACGTTATGCATACATTGACAAATCACCCTCTCTTCGTTCTGCATCTGCATCATATTCCGTGACTCATAGAGGGATCCGGAACTCTACTTCAAATGTTAAAAGGGTCAAAATGATGTAAGGTATATATATATATATATATATACATGCTACAGCATTATTTTCACACCGTATTCGTTTCATTTCATAGCTAAACTAATCAAAAGGATGAGTATGCCTGTTATGTCCCTTGAGCATTTAGAATCACTGATAGGGGTTACAGAGAAATGTAACCATTTCATGTAATAACAATGGCATCATTTCATGTCACCTACAACTGAAATACGTACCCACTACCTGAAATTCTAACTCTTAGGGATTGAACGTGAAATCTTGAGGCATAGTATATCATGGAGGTGACTCTTGTTTAATGACTAACTACAATTGAGTGGACTTCTTTTGTGGGTGAGAGGGTCTGGGCGTTGATGTGAAACATCTGAAGTTCCCAACTACGTTTCCCACTTGAATTCTTACCCTATCTGTAAGCCTGAGGTCTGATCTGTTAGCAGGAAATATTGTTTAGATTATTACAGTAATATTTGACGAATCAAGATAATATTTCATTATTTAAAATTGGTATTTGGTCTTAAGCTTTTGCTTGTACAACTCTCTCAACCATGTGTTGCTGCCAATTGGGGGTTTAGCCGCCTTGAAAGAGTGCGTCATGCAATTTTATATTAAAACTGGGCTGACCAAAAGGGTTGGTTTCAAGCCTGCCCATATGGAAATTAAATGTGAGCAGTAGTGAGAACTAGGAATTTGAATAGCAAATGCTTTACAGTATTTAGAACAAATATTCAACTGCAAGCATATTCTTTAATGATATTTTTGACCACTCCATCTAACCGTTTCTACTTGCCAACAACCCACCAAATTTGCTTTAGTGTGCAGCTATTTTAGATCTAACCATAACAGAGTATCGAGGGAATTAACTTTTTTAATAGAAAATGCTTCTTCCTTTTGTGGGTTATAGTAATCTAGCGCAATTTCCATTCCGACGGGTGTGGTGTGGCCAGCAGTTGCATCTAGTCGGTTGGATAGATTTCTAAACTTGACCCTTTAGTATGGCGGCTAACTTTGTAAACCCCATGAAACGCGACTCGCTTATGGACTTACAGTTGTATTTTGTCATAAATATCACCAATATTACTGTATAAAGATTAGTTTTATTAGAAGAAAAAGGGATATATGACATTTTTTTTTACAATAATATAGCAAAAGAAATTTGAAATTATGTTAGATGAAGAAGCAAAACGACAACGTCTGTACTTGATCATGATTTATTTATCATTAACAGACTTCAGTATTGATGACATCGTCTCTATTGTTCTATTGGTGGATTTAAACTAGAGACAATTATGTATTAAACATAAGAGCCGCACTACATTTTAACCGTTCAAGAGCGGAAAAACCAAAGTTTACACAAAAACTAGATTATGAATGAAATAAAAATTAAAAAACAATTGACATGGCAACCAAAAAAACAAGAAGAACGAAAAACTTTTGCTGGTTGGAACGTGGAAAAATGAAAGGCAGAGCATCTCCTAATTCCTACCCACAGTCAATGGTTGAGATGTCTTCTCTTTGAATCTAACGGTCAGCTCTCCTTACCTGTCCCTTGTGGAGACGAGAAGATCAACAACAAAAAAGTTGTTGGCTCTCCGTGCTTCTCCCTCGCTTCAAATAAAAACTCATTCCTCTCTCTCTCTTTCTCAGTCTCTCCACACCCATTGAGAGAGTGTCGATTATACCAATCACATCATCATACATCTTCTTCTCTCAACACCAACCCATGGCTTCTACCACTTCTTCTTTGACCCTTTCACAGACCCTTCTGGCTCGTGCCATTTCTCACCATGGTTCAACTCAATCCTCTGACCAACCCCGTCTTTCTCTTTCTTCATCACTCTCACTCCCTACTTTCTCCGGTCTCAAATCCACCTCTTCGTGCAACCCACNGAACAAATATTCAACTGCAAGCATATTCTTTAATGATATTTTTGACCACTCCATCTAACCGTTTCTACTTGCCAACAACCCACCAAATTTGCTTTAGTGTGCAGCTATTTTAGATCTAACCATAACAGAGTATCGAGGGAATTAACTTTTTTAATAGAAAATGCTTCTTCCTTTTGTGGGTTATAGTAATCTAGCGCAATTTCCATTCCGCCGGGTGTGGTGTGGCCAGCAGTTGCATCTAGTCGGTTGGATAGATTTCTAAACTTGACCCTTTAGTATGGCGGCTAACTTTGTAAACCCCATGAAACGCGACTCGCTTATGGACTTACAGTTGTATTTTGTCATAAATATCACCAATATTAGTGTATAAACATTAGTTTTATTAGAAGAAAAAGGGGTATATGACTTTTTTTTTTACAATAATATAGCAAAAGAAATTTGAAATTATGTTAGATGAAGAAGCAAAACGACAACGTCTGTACTTGATCATGATTTATTTATCATTAACAGACTTCAGTATTGATGACATCGTCTCTATTGTTCTATTGGTGGATTTAAACTAGAGACAATTATGTATTAAACATAAGAGCCGCACTACATTTTAACCGTTCAAGAGCGGAAAAACCAAAGTTTACACAAAAACTAGATTATGAATGAAATAAAAATTAAAAAACAATTGACATGGCAACCAAAAAAACAAGAAAAACGAAAAACTTTTGCTGGTTGGAACTTGGAAAAATGAAAGGCAGAGCATCTCCTAATTCCTACCCACAGTCAATGGTTGAGATGTCTTCTCTTTGAATCTAACGGTCAGCTCTCCTTACCTGTCCCTTGAGGAGACGAGAAGATCAACAACAAAAAAGTTGTTGGCTCTCCGTGCTTCTCCCTCGCTTCAAATAAAAACTCATTCCTCTCTCTCTCTATCTCAGTCTCTCCACACCCATTGAGAGAGTGTCGATTATACCAATCACATCATCATACATCTTCTTCTCTCAACACCAACCCATGGCTTCTACCACTTCTTCTTTGACCCTTTCACAGACCCTCCTGGCTCGTGCCATTTCTCACCATGGTTCAACTCAATCCTCTGACCAACCCCGTCTTTCTCTTTCTTCATCACTCTCACTCCCTACTTTCTCCGGTCTCAAATCCACCTCTTCGTGCAACCCACGCGCCACCACCTCCCGTCGCCGCCTTCCCGCGCGTCATCAACACAATCTAGTTCGTGCTGCAGCTGTTGAAACCGTTGGCGCCACCACTGAAACCTCGTTAGTTGAGAAATCAATTAACACAATTAGATTCTTGGCTATTGATGCTGTTGAGAAGGCAAATTCGGGCCACCCTGGCTTGCCTATGGGCTGTGCTCCGATGGGTCATATCTTATACGATGAGATCATGAAATATAACCCCAAAAACCCCTACTGGTTCAACCGTGATCGCTTCGTGTTGTCTGCTGGACACGGCTGCATGTTGCAATATGCTCTGCTTCACCTCGCTGGTTACGATAGTGTCAAGGTGGGTTCACCTGATTAGATCTGGACCTTTAATTTGTGATTAAAAAGCTATAATGGTGTGTGGGATTAATTATCAATTAAATATATATTATTTTTATAATTTTAGGAAGAGGACTTGAAGAACTTCAGACAGTGGGGAAGCAGAACACCTGGACACCCAGAGAATTTTGAGACACCCGGTGTTGAAGTCACAACTGGTTAGTTAGTTTCTAGTGATCGTGTTTTAATAGTTTCGTCTGCTTATCTTATGGCAACTGACTAAAATCTCAATTTGATTGCCTGTTTGGTATAGGTCCTCTTGGTCAGGGTATCGCCAATGCCGTTGGATTGGCCCTTGCTGAGAAGCACTTGGCCGCACGATACAACAAGCCAGACAATGAGATTGTTGACCACTATACGTATGAAAACTATTCTAGATCTCTTTTATTTAGATTTTTGTTTGGGTTATTGACGTTTGTTTGTGCTTTACCGTAGATATGCGATTTTGGGTGATGGATGTCAAATGGAGGGAATTGCAAACGAGGCATGTTCCCTTGCTGGGCACTGGGGACTTGGAAAGCTCATTGCTTTCTATGATGACAACCACATCTCCATTGATGGTGACACTGAGATTGCATTTACAGAAAGTGTTGACAAGCGTTTTGAGGGTCTTGGATGGCATGTTATCTGGGTCAAGAATGGAAACACTGGCTATGATGATATTCGTGCTGCCATTAAGGAAGCTAAGGCTGTTAAAGACAAGCCCACTTTGATCAAGGTTAGATTTTTATTTCATGTAATAGATCTATTTGGTTGACTAATGAAATCCTTTTGAATGATAAATGGTTTCATGATGCACTTATTTATCAATCCTTTTTTTGTTTCAATGGAAGTTTGAAACATGATTTAATTGCATTAGCATTTTGTATATGTCTTTAAATGCTTTGTTGAACTATTTTACATTTTAACAGGTAACTACAACAATTGGCTTCGGGTCTCCAAACAAAGCAAACTCCTACAGTGTGCATGGGAGTGCTTTGGGTGCCAAGGAAGTTGATGCTACTAGAAAGAATCTTGGATGGCCATTTGAGCCTTTCCATGTCCCTGAGGATGTTAAAAAGTAATTAATTGTAGATACCTTCAATCCATTCATCGTTCTACTAGATTTAGTTCATTTCAGTAACTCTTCTGGCTCATTTGCAGGCACTGGAGTCGCCATGCCTCTGAGGGTGCTGCTTATGAGGCTGAATGGAATGCCAAGTTTGCCGAGTATGAGAAAAAATACAAGGAGGAAGCTGCTGAATTTAAGTCTATCATCAGCGGTGAATTGCCTGCTGGTTGGGAGAAAGCACTTCCGGTGAGTGGGTCTAATAATGATCTTCTTTACTTCCAATCATCTTACTTTTAAGGGCCTGTTTGATAATATGACAGTGGAGAATTCTTGATTATTTGCATAAACATGTTCATTATGATAGCATTTTGAATGACATTGGTTGTTTGTCTCCCCTGTACAATTTGTCTTAATCATTCTTGCTTGACTAATGATCTTTACATATGGAATATGATGATCTGTTAATATAACCTGTTTGTAATTTTTCAGACATACACTCCAGAGAGCCCAGCTGATGCCACTAGGAATTTATCTCAGCAATGTCTTAATGCCCTTGCAAAGGTTCTCCCAGGTCTTCTTGGTGGCAGTGCAGATCTTGCTTCTTCCAACATGACCTTGTTGAAAATGTTTGGAGACTTCCAAAAGGACACCCCAGAGGAACGCAATGTTAGATTTGGTGTTAGGGAGCATGGGATGGGAGCCATATGCAATGGCATTGCCCTTCACAGCCCTGGCCTAATTCCTTACTGTGCTACTTTCTTTGTCTTCACTGACTACATGAGAGCTGCTATTAGGATTTCTGCTTTGTCTGAAGCTGGAGTTATCTATGTTATGACCCACGATTCCATTGGTCTTGGAGAAGATGGACCTACCCATCAACCAGTTGAGCACATTGCAAGTTTCCGTGCAATGCCCAACATTTTGATGCTCCGCCCAGCTGATGGAAATGAAACTGCCGGTGCATACAAGGTTGCTGTTGACAACAGGAAGAGACCCTCCATCCTCGCCCTCTCTCGTCAAAAGCTTCCCAACCTTCCTGGAACTTCCATTGAAGGAGTCCAAAAGGGTGGCTACATTATTTCAGACAATTCATCTGGTAACAAACCAGATGTTATTTTGATTGGAACCGGTTCAGAATTAGAAATTGCTGCTAAGGCTGGTGAGGAACTTAGAAAGGAAGGGAAGACTGTAAGAGTTGTATCTTTTGTTTCTTGGGAGCTTTTTGATGAGCAGTCAACTGAATACAAGGAAAGTGTGCTTCCAGCAGCTGTAACAGCTAGAGTCAGCATTGAAGCTGGATCAACATTTGGGTGGGAGAAGATCATTGGAAGCAAAGGAAAAGCCATCGGTATTGACCGGTTTGGGGCTAGTGCACCTGCAGGCAAAATATACAAAGAGTTCGGTATCACTGCAGAGGCTGTTGTTGCCGCAGCTAAAGAACTCAGCTAGGTTGGATTAGTAGTTGTCCACTTGTCCTCTAAAACTTGTTACTATTGCATATGGGTTTTGGTGGGAGATTTCCATGAAGAGAGGCCATTCAGAAGAGATTTGTTTCACGACATGGCCTCATTTATTTTAATAAAAGCAAGATTAAAAAATATCTTCCGTTTTTTATGATTTCACAGCAGAGCGACATAGGTTGAAGAGATTGAGAGTAGGGCCTTAATAATGTTTAATGAATTTGTGTAACTCTTGGACCTGTCTTAAGTTTTGTAATGTTTCTTGATTTGAATGCAGTTCGCCATTCGCCGCCATCTTTATTTCTTGATTGTGTTGTTTCGTAATCCTTATCTTAGCCTTGCCATCTACAACCCAGCATCTTTATTGATGCTAATAACAGTCAGTCTCCTTTTTCCCCTTTTAAGTAAACATATGTATGTTCTATTTTCTTTTCCCTAAACCACAGTTTGGGTTCTGCATGTTTTCAAATATGGGCACATCTAGTTCATTGATTTATCACTTAGCAATGGCGAAATATATAATATCAAAGAAATGAATTGATGGGTGAAAAGGGCGATTACATCCCCACTGCCTAGGGGCCCCTGTGTGGAAATTGGATTGGGTAAATGTTTCAAGCCATTCAAGATAAGGTAGGGCAATCCAATCTCTTCATAAAAATGAATGAGACCTGCCAAAATAGAAATTATTTGTTGGGAATAGTAGCCACTTGTGGGTATGGCGTGTAGAAAGAAAGATATTGACCTATTGATAAGTTTGTGGTTGTTGAAGCTTATGTTCTCAGCCTCGCCTATCTATATTGTCTCGTATCAACAAAAGTGCCATCAAGTTACGGTATGGTTAAAGACTTACAAAAATATTTGATTTTAGAATTGACGGTTATGTTTGGTATTGGCAGTGGACCCTTCTCTACAATCATTGTGTATGGTTTCAAATGACACAATCATAAAGGAATTTCAGCATATTCAACAACACTATATACTGATTCTGGTATGTGCTTTTTTTTGTGCAAGTGGAAGATGCAAAGGTTTTCTCTTAGCGGAATCACATTAGTTGTGTTCATTTAATAATCTGGTTTCGGTCGATGATGCATTCCAATGCTCACACGTGAAGATAAGATCAGAAAAGATTATTTGTGAAAGTTGGCACGTGTAGTTAATCTGCTGAAAAATATACAAGACAGGAAAATATTATTTGTTAGAAGTTTGCACATGAAGATAAGCTGGTGAATAATATAAACGACAAGGAAAACATTATTTCTTATAAATTGGCACATGAACATAAGCTGGTGAATAAATAAATAAATATTTGAAATTTGGCACGTGATTAGCTGGTGAAAAAATATTAAAAAACCAAAAAACAAAAAAAAAAAAGGATTGTTTCATTAGTGATGTTTAGCCCAGACCCCAGAGCAACCAGGAAATGGAAGGCTGTGACCATGGGAAGCCCACTAAGTAGCCCAATAGTAGCAAATCATGAGTCTGGATCCCGACTCTTTGATGAGATGTCTGGCCCACCCAAACCAACCAATGGAAGGGAATAATAAAATATGAAACTTTGACTTCAAATTCAATACTCAAAACCTACCAATTAATAATTATTAAAATAAACCCAGCACCACAAGTGAGACTGATCATTATATTAGAGACACACACGCACACTGTCCTTGCCAAACCTATCACACCTACCCAAAAGTTTCTGGTCTTAAACAAACCATTCTTCTTTGTGTTTGATTAACATAAATAATTATTTTCAGAGTAAATTGCTTTTTCCCACTCAAGGTTTTCGACATTTTTTTCACCTAAAAAGTTTCAAAGTCGTTTTCCTACCTAAAGTTCATATTTTGTTACTATTTAAAATCGGTTTTAATAGTAAAAATTCTTCTTGGCACTATCATTTGAATCTCTGTTCTCCTCTCTATAAAACTTCACTCACACTGACAGTTGATTTCTCACCAATTATTGATCACTGTAAAACTAGCGAAAAATATTCAATCGATTATTGTCATTTGATTTATTGGTCTCAACTCTATAAAAACTCTCTTACCTTACTCCTAATAACTCGTAGAACGTTGATTGAGAAAGTAAAATATATTTTAAATATTAACGAATTATAATCGCTTGAATAAGAAAGTGATATTTTCCAACTTCAAACTTGGGTGGGAAAAGCCGTTTACTCTTATTTTCAATAATTAAAGTCATCAAGTTCCATCTTAAGACCAATAACACTACGGACACCGAAAAAGTTATACCGAAATTCTGTATCAGCCTACGTGTAATGCATGTCTGAATTTTTTTATAATTTTTTTCTAGTGAATGGCCGTCCATATAATATGGATGGGCGTCCATATGAGTGAACGATCCTCCAAATTTGATGGTTGGCCGTTCACTAAAAAAAATTATAAAAAAATTTAGATGTACATTACACGTAAACCGATACAAAATTTTGGTACAACTTTTTCGGTGTACGTAGTATTATTGATCTTAAGACTGTGCAGGGTCAGAAAATACAACAAAATTAAATGAAAAATAATCATTTTTAATTAAGGAAAAACAATTAAAATTATTTTTGTAAATATAAAATTCGAATATTTCACCAGTTATGTCTTGCCAAGTCAGCAACTCAAAATTACGAAAAACACATTAGGTGGCGATAGGCAGCCTCTCTCCTGGTCTAATACGCACAAGGGAGTTGGTAAGACTTGACACAGTGCAATACAAAGCCGTACATCTGCACCCCTTACCAACCACATTTTGGCATATGAATAATACTTTGGGTACTAATGAATGAGTATTAATATGTATACTAACTAAAGTATAGTATTCGGATAGGTATGCCAAGAGTGATGCTATGGGTACTAATGGATGAGTACTAATATGTGTACTAATTAAAGCATAGTATTCGTATTATGTGTATAATACGAATACTATGCTTTAATTAGTACACATATTAGTACTCATCTATTAGTACCCATAGCATCACTCTTGGCATACCTATCCGAATAAACGCCCAATGTACAATCACTCATAGCACAGCCTATGAACATTTCCGACATTAAATAGATATTCAGGGACTTTTTGGTATATTCCTACATCACCATCCTTTTCAATTAGGCTAAGGCTTGAGTTGGTTGGTGACACCTTCCACTGAGTCAAATATAACAACCACAAACAACAACACCCAGCACACACCTAATAAAACTACTTCGTTACATTTCGTTTCCTCTTTTAATTCCAGCCCATTTCAGGAAGACAATCTGAGGAGACATGGCGCAAGTTAGCAAAATTTGTAGTGGAACACAAAACGCCATCTTTTCTTCCCCAAATCTTTCAAAAGGCCACCAGCCAAAATCAGTTTTCTCAGTTTCGTTTAGACCACAGAGCAAAGGCTGTTCCAATTCTTGGGGTTTGAAACACAATGTTAGATTGGGTAATCATGCAATTCGCACAGTTAAGGTTTCAGCTTCAGTCGGTACCGCTGAGAAGCCATCAAGTGTATCCGAGATTGTGTTGCAGCCTATCAATGAGATTTCGGGTACAATCAAATTGCCGGGTTCCAAGTCGCTCTCCAATAGGATTCTCCTCCTCGCCGCCCTCTCTGAGGTTTTTCTTTTTTAACAACTATTTTGAAATTACTTTTTTTGTTTTTTTTAATTAATTCTCAGAAGATGTATAGAAGTTGATTGAATTTAAACACACCGGGACTGGATAGATTAGTTTGTACCATTGTCGTCCAAAGAAAGATAATAGAATTATATCACCTGTACCTTTTCTGATCAATGGAAGTACATAGGGAGAGAAATGTGATTTTTAATACTTTGGTCGTGGAGGGGCTTAATTATACCAGTGACTATTTAATTTTCGCTCAAACTAAAAGCTAGGATATTATTGTATCTACATAGAGTTATGGGTTGTCATGTGTAATCTCAATTAGGGAATGTTGAAAAAGAAAAAGAGCCACCATAGATATTGTCTGTGTGCTTAGCTCTTGTAATTCCCTTATTCTTATGTGTTTTCTTAGAACATATTTGGATATAGTGATTAATATATATTGGTTTATAATTATTTTCTTATTCTCAATTAACTTGGAAGAGTGTATTGGTTGAAATTTATTTGATCATTTGACTGTGCAGGGAACAACTGTGGTAGACAACTTGTTGGAAAGTGATGATATTTTCCACATGCTTGTTGCCTTGAAAAAACTAGGATTGAATGTAGAAGAGGACAGTGCAAATAGACGAGCAATTGTGGAAGGCTGCGGTGGTCTGTTTCCAGTTGCTAAAGAATCGAAAGGTGAAGTTGAACTGTTCCTTGGAAATGCGGGGACAGCAATGCGTCCATTGACTGCTGCAGTAACTGCTGCTGGTGGCAATTTGAGGTCTGTCTAATATTTACTTGAAAATGAATGTTGTAATGTTCAGTACTAGTAATTTTGAGGTTTTGATGAAACAGTTACTCTTTAAATAGTTGGTCTGTGGTTCACACAGATAGTTGACAATGGTAGCTTTATAAATTATTATAATAATAGAGGATTTTCAGGCAATTTGATTTGATTAATAGTATGCACATACAAACTTTTATTCAGGACTAATATATGATGCACTTCAGTCAATATTGTTCCTAAGTTTCCCAAATTTGATTACATCAGATTATGAGTAACAATTTCCAAAGAAAGGTAAAATCATTTTTATAATCAACCGGTGCCACGCTTCTCTTTGTTATTTGTTACTTGTTAGAGTTATGCAATCCATTGCAACAGTAGCTTTTAACTAACTTCTGTATGGGGAATGCATAACATCTCTCCTTTCCACAACATATCATTACATAAATCTTATACTTCTCTATGGTCCAATTTATATCAGCTACCTACTTGATGGAGTACCTCGAATGAGAGAGAGACCAATTGGGGACTTGGTCGATGCTCTTAAACAGCTCGGTGCTGATGCTGATTGCTTTCATGGTACAAATTGCCCCCCTGTCCGTATCAGTGGAAAAGGAGGCCTCCCAGGAGGAAAGGTGAGGTTCACATTACCTTTTGATTGGTTTCTTGTGGCTTGATTTAGCTGGCTCAGCTCTTTTTTTAAGATTAATACAGCAGGGTATTAAAGTAAGTGGGATCTATCTCATGCAATATACGTGAATTAAATTGTCAGTCTGAAGCTTTTGCCTAATTATCATATGCATTGAACTTCTAGTTTCATATAGGGCTTGACTATCATATGCGTAGAACTTCTGTTCTTGTAGGGTTTCACTCCTATGTTTTAGATGTTTGCCTATCATTTGACCTTGTTTTTCATTCATTATAAACTTCTATGTGTCTCCCTTTTCAGGTGAAGCTTTCCGGAAAAATTAGTAGTCAATACTTGACTGCTTTGCTCATGGCAGCGCCTTTGGCCCTCGGGGATGTGGAAGTTGAGATAATTGATAAGCTTATTTCCATTCCTTATGTCGAGATGACTTTGAAATTGATGGAACGTTTTGGGGTCACTGTAGAGCACAGTGATAGCTGGGACCAGTTCTTCATCCGGGGAGGTCAAAAATACAAGTAGGTTGCTTTGATATTAGTTCTTCAGCTTTATGGAACCTGGTTGCATTTCAGGTACTGACGTATAAATCTCTGACAGGTCTCCTGGAAATGCATTTGTGGAAGGTGATGCTTCAAGTGCAAGTTACTTCCTAGCTGGTGCTGCAGTCACTGGTGGGACCATCACAGTTGAAGGTTGTGGAACAACTAGTTTGCAGGTATTTCTTTTACTGCTCTCTTGTAATTTTAGTGTGTTCTGTGACAGCATGCAATGTTGCTTTTCCAACACAGATTACTTTCCCCCATTGTAAAATTAAATTGCTCTGATGCTATCCTTGTCATCATCCAGAGTAATTCGACTCTATGTTTAGGTCCTGGATGAGTATAGACAATGTATCTGTATTAGCTGCTCACTCCGATGAACAAATTTGTTTATTTTTCCTTGTTTCTTCATTGTTCTAGGGAGATGTGCAATTTGCTGAGGTTCTCGGGCAAATGGGTGCTAAAGTTTCCTGGAAGGAGAACAGTGTCACTGTCACAGGACCACCTCGAACTCCTTATGGAAGGAAACATTTGCGAGCTATTGATGTCAACATGAACAAGATGCCAGATGTTGCCATGACTCTTGCTGTAGTTGCACTGTTTGCTGATGGTCCCACTGCCATTAGAGATGGTATGTTTTTGCCCTTTGTGAAAAATGGTCTTTAGAGCTGTAAAGCGGGGGTAGGAGAAATTAAGGTACTTGGAAAATTTTGAAGTGGCCATTTCCATGCTTAACAAGGGGCATAAGTATAAAGACTTCTCGATGCCCATTTGCTGAATTAGAAGTATAGTCTGGCCTATTCAATAGGTTCAAAATAAGGGATAATGTTTAGCTTGTCTATAGTTGATTATGACTGGTCAAGATAACCAAATATCTAGTGAGAATTGTGGAATTCTTAAGTCATTGGTTTTGCATTTACATGTGACTTAGGTAATATTGACAATCAACTGGTGGCCACCATTGTCCATACCTTTGTTTCTTTCTCAAGTCAACACATTGATCTCTTTGTCATTGGAAGACTTCACCCAGAAAGTTGAAACATCTTTAGAAAAACATATAGTTGTGGAAAAAAGAGTTCCATTCTTCATGTGCAAAGTCCGAAATATGTTTTGTCTTGAAACTTGGTGATTAACTTAGATAATATGCAATTTCTTAGAGATTTATAATATTAAATATTTTCTTGTATGTTTCACAGTGGCAAGTTGGAGAGTAAAAGAGACTGAGCGTATGATTGCTGTTTGCACAGAACTCAGGAAGGTAGGTGAACTAGTGGCTTTGGTCTAATTTTAAAATTTTGACAATGCCTGCTTTAGGATTGATTTACATTTGAGCTTAATATTTCAGCTGGGAGCTACAGTTGAAGAAGGACCAGACTATTGTGTGATCACTCCACCAGAGAAACTAAATGTGACCGCAATTGACACTTATGACGATCACCGCATGGCCATGGCATTCTCTCTTGCTGCCTGTGCAGAAGTTCCAGTCACCATCAAGGATCCTAGTTGCACAAGGAAAACTTTCCCCGACTACTTTGATGTCCTCCAAAGGGTTTCAAAGCATTAAATAGATCCTCCAAAGGGTTACAAAGCAATAAATAGATCTTCCACATTTGTTACAAGCGAGAGAAGTGAGCGAGAAAGTCTTTGCGACCCTGTCGCATGGGAAAGCAATCCTCTCTTCATTTTGCGCGTGTCTGTAATTTGTACTGATATGTATGTGCAAGTTGAACCTGTTATTTTATTTTTTCCAAGACTGTAAGTTATAGTTTACGTATTTATAATGACTTTGATTGTTTGATGCTTATCTTATAAGGTTCAATCTAAAACCAATATGAACCAAGTGGGTTCACTCCTTTGTACTTGTTAGTCCATGAATGCAAGTAGATGGATTTGTTGGTTTCTGTTTTTTTCCCCTTTTCCATTGGACTTTCCACCGTCTCCTCGTGGATGTCAGTAACGTGTCCAGCAGTTGAGTTCAACTTGAGTATGCCTTCATAAGGCCGGATAATTTTTTTATGGGATTTATTAAGAAAATGTGGGCAGAAAGGAAAATAGTTAACGATGATGAGATTATATTACTATATTGGCTATTAATGGAATACTGTACTTGTAAATAAATTTATAAAATGTGCAAGTCCAGCTTATGCACATTGAGTAGAAGGGCATGGAACATGATGCTGCCAGGTTATAAAGAAAGGAGTAGAAGGACGTGTTGTTCTTGTCGTCTTTTTCATCAGATGCTCACATGGGGTGAGTGGTAGCGGTGGGGAAAACTTAATTAATTTCTTTCTTCTTGTTTCACTTATAAAATTGTCCCTATTCAACTACATTTTGGTAGAAACTTATTGTTCAATAGTCAAAGATTTTGATGGTTGGTGATGAACACGATTTACAGTAAAATTTGATCTTCTTTGCAGGCTAAAATTCAGGGAAAAGTATTTCTGACAAGAAAATCTGGCATAATTTTCTTCAAGATTACTCTTCTTCATTAGTTTACAATGAAGAAAACTTGGTTGGTGTTGGTGATTTATAACTATAAAATAATATTGAAAACACATGATGCAAGCCTATCAATATCATTAACAACATTTGCAATCTAAGTTTGTTTGGAAAGGTGCTTTTGCCTTCATTCCAAGTTTGTTTCACCAAATTTAACTTCCTTTCTCACAGAGATTGTCTTGTCTCCCCATTCCATTATACATTCTCACTCTCAATCCCCAAACAACCACAAATGGAAAGCAAGCAGGCGCTTTGTTTTTTTCTCAACAATAGACTCTGCTATTTGTTTAACTTATTTAGTAAATATCATATTCATCCAACATAATGATCTGGCATTATAATATCCAGACCCACCGCGCATAATAATTATCACTTACCAAATATAAATTGGTTCTATTACTATATAAAGTGAAATAATGACAAAAACCAAGCCTGGAAAAAGTAGGTTTTACACCTGTAATCGCGTAATTTTGGGTAACAAAAAAATCTGATTTTTAATCTTATCTATTTTCTTTTGATGGCTATCTTCTAAAATTTGAACTTTAAACTGTATTACACTAGAGATGAGATGATGAAGATTGAAGAAGATGAGGAGTAAATGGAAGTGGTAAACAAATTCAAAGACTGAAATCCCCCATAAATCTCTCACATGTTGCAATGGTGGGAAGTGGGAACCCCTCCCACATAATTAGCTTCAAAATCTCATCCACACCATCTCCCAACAAATCCTTTCCTTCCATGGTATAAAATAAAAAAAATAAAAAATAAAAATAAAAAAAAACCCTAAAATAACAATTCCCAGTCTCCCACACATTTGTGTAATTGTTAATAAGATAAAATGATATTAATCGACAACTTTAAACTTCGAACGTTTCTTTATTTAATTTATTATTATTTATTTTTTAAGGATTAATTAGACAAGTTAATTAATTTCCATTTGATTAATCACATATTTGTTGGACCTTCCTTTCTTGATCTCCATTACCAACTTTAAAAATTCTTCTGATTCTCTCTCTCTCCCCATCACCATTTTGACATTTTGTTATCAAATCTTGATCTCTTGAGAGCTATAAACCCATCCCTCCAACCCCAAGAAACCAGAAGATTCTCATTCCCCATTTTCTCAGTTACACAAAGAACATTTAAAGGAGATAAACAAACTGAAAACACACAGACAGACATTCACATACACACCTTTTTCTTTCTCTGTCTCTTTCTCTTTCACTTTCCTTATCTTGAAACACCACCATCCAGTTCTTAATAAAACCACCAATAATCTCTCAAACCCTAACCCTAAATCTGAATCTAACGCCAATGTCTCAGCTCAAACAAATGTCTCATCTTGATAACATACCTTCAACTCCTGGAAAATTCAAGATGGAAAAATCTTCACCCTACATTAACAGACTCAGAGTCCATTCTTCTTTAGCAAAACTCACATTTTGGTCCTTCATTTTCTTGGGTGTAATCTTATTCTTCTTCTTTAGATCTCCATCCTCAAATCCTTTACCATCTGATCCTTCCCGCCGTTCTCTTCGGACCTTCAACTGGGGTGGGCCTGCTTTTGAGAAACGGATCCGTTCTTCCGCCCGAGTTAGGGCTCGTAATGGAATCTCCGTTTTGGTCACTGGGGCTGCCGGTTTTGTCGGCACACACGTGTCAGCCGCCCTTAAAAGACGCGGTGATGGGGTTCTTGGTCTTGATAATTTCAATGACTATTATGATCCTTCTTTGAAAAGAGCAAGACAAGCCCTTTTGGAGAGAAGTGGAATTTTCATTGTTGAAGGCGATATCAATGACATGGCTCTATTGAGGAAGCTTTTTGACGTTGTTTCATTTACGCACGTGATGCATTTGGCTGCTCAAGCTGGAGTAAGGTATGCAATGGAAAATCCTAGTTCTTATGTTCATAGTAACATTGCTGGCCTTGTTAGTTTACTTGAAGTTTGTAAAAATGCTAATCCTCAACCTGCTATTGTGTGGGCAAGTTCTAGTTCTGTTTATGGGCTTAATACTAAGGTACCATTTAGTGAGAAAGATAGAACCGATCAACCCGCTAGTTTATATGCTGCTACTAAGAAAGCCGGTGAAGAGATTGCTCACACTTATAATCATATATATGGTTTATCTTTAACTGGCTTGAGGTTTTTCACCGTTTATGGTCCTTGGGGTAGGCCAGATATGGCTTATTTCTTTTTTACAAGGGATATTTTGAAGGGGAAGACCATACCCATATTTGAGGCTGCTAATCATGGTACGGTTGCTAGGGATTTTACCTACATTGATGATATTGTCAAGGGTTGTTTGGGGGCATTGGATACTGCTCAGAAGAGTACCGGTAGTGGGGGGAAGAAGAAGGGGCCAGCACAATTAAGGGTTTATAATTTGGGGAATACTTCTCCTGTGCCAGTTTCGGATCTTGTAAGTATTTTGGAGAGGCATTTGAAAGTTAAGGCCAAGAGGCATATTTTGAAGTTGCCAAGGAATGGTGATGTGCCTTTTACTCATGCAAATATTAGCTTGGCTCAAAGGGAGCTTGGGTATAAGCCCACAACAGATCTGCAGACCGGATTGAAGAAATTTGTGCGGTGGTATCTCAGTTACTATTCTGGTGGAAAGAAGGCTGCTGGTTGAAACATTCTTTTGATTGTGTGGTAGGACCTTTGATTTCTTGTTCATTATGATTCTTATGATTGTTTTTGGTATTTCTCTGTTCCTTGTCCGATTATTGTTCATCTTTCATATATTTTTAATGATGCGAATATGAGGAACATCATGATCTGCTATGTTGGAGAAGTTTTTTTTGGTTGGTGGACATTGTATCTTGGGCAGTCATGAGCTGTATTAAAAGAAAGCCAGAACCTTCTTTCTATTTTCTCTTTTTCTTTTTTCTGAATGTAATTGTAGTTTCGGCATTGTAGAGTTCATGACTGATAGAACATATGCTGATTGTTGGACATGTATCATTTCCATGCAATTCAATAAATAGCAGACATACTAGATGAATTGAACTACATTTGACTTTTATTGTAATTCTTTTGTTATATAAAGGCCTGTTGTGCTTGTGATGTCCATGATTTTCTGAGCTGCTTATGACTCATGGTTTATTGTTAATTCTTATGTACGAATTGTGATGTTAGATTCCCAGGTTAAATTTTCTAGTGGAAATCATTCTGTTTTGTTATTTCCAGGGAATGATTGATAAAGAGTGGTTCGCTGGAACTTTGTGAATTAAGAGTTGATAAACTGTTTATCGTTGGCTTCCTGAGAGGAAGGTTGTTTTACTAATAGTCTTATGTTGTTAACACTTGCCTGCAATCTCAATCAATGTAATTGTAGTCGGCATCTTAGTCATCATTTTAAGAGACTGGGCCTCATATGCTTGCAAGAGGTCAGTTTAAGCAGAAGTGTCAGTTGCATATAAATCTATTTAACGTTCTTCCTTTGGCTTGTCCATTTTAGGTTATTTTTCCATGTCATGCAGTGCTCTTTCTGAATCCTAGAAAGAAAAAGCATTTTATATCTCTTACAATATTGCTGTCACCACTGAGTAGGATTTGGGTAGCAAAAATCATAAATTTTGTTTTGCGGTAAAATTATGTCTCACTTGATGGTTGCTTCTATTGAATTATTATACTACTGTTAACCTGCCTGAATTAAAGTTGTACTCTTCCACCGGAATGCCAAATATATATCACTCCTGTTAATGCAAGGCCTGAAAAACTAGCTGCTGCCCATGCCAGGCTCCAGTGTGGTATTAAAACCTAAGAAACAACTTATTTATTTACGGCTCCTAGGGGAAGAAGATCTTTTTATGATCCAGTATGTTTGATTGCATTCAACTGGACTTTTTTTTAGTTGCAGTCCCATTCTAGTCACCCGAAGATAAAACAGTGAAGTGGGTTTATAACTACCTGTTGGTGTATTTGTTTTCCTCTGTTTTATTTGGATGATCCTGGTAGTCTCCAACCATCTAGTTTTGGGAGATTGTCTCACCCCTTGTTGTATTGAATCAAATCGCTCCAGACATGCTTAAATATGGTCTAGTTGCCGGAGGGTGAAACTGCCTCTGGTTGCGTGAAATATGATTTGGTTTTTCCTTTTCTGTCATGGGAGGCTTATTTACTTTTGTTTCTTGTAGAGAAGCACCAAATGCGAATTTTTCCTCCCGCCAATTCTTGTTCCATAGAAATTATTTTGATGGCATGTGGAAGCTTTCTCACCCTGTACATCATTTGTGAAGGTGCACATATATTGATTTAAGAACCAATTGATTACGCTCTATAAGTTCGCCGTGCGCAAAAATTGTATCTTGTTCTGTTTGGTTTCATTTCTTGGACACGTTTTATAAATTGTCAAGAGTCATGGTGGAGTTTATTTTTCTCTTCTTTATTGCAGAAATAAATCTTTTTTCTACCTGCTTTGCAAACACTATTGACATCTTTTCTGGTGACCAGCGTCATTTATTGCCAACTTGCAACGACATTGAAATTCTTGAATTAATGGCCCAGCCTGGCCCTAAAACAACCAAACAAGTACGGTACTGGCACCGCCTACAGAAATAGACTTTTTTGTCCAAATCTATGTAATTTACTTTACAGTGATCAACTCTGACTAAAATCATCATCACCTGAAAAGCTGAAAATGTGCTATCAAGGGTAAATGGAGACAGCCTGTTATTTACAATCTACAGCTGCCAATAATTACTTCACCAATAATCTGTTCACACCAGGTTCAATAGTGATGGATGTAATTTGCTTCACTACTTAGTTATGGGGAACTGTAGAGATCAATCACTCGCTTGTGCACACGGAGCTCAAACCTATATCCCATGTGTTGGTTCCTGGAAACCAAACGAAAAGCAAAGTATCGAATAAATATAGATATCTAACAGAGGAATGAATGTCCTTGGCACCGCGTGAAGTGCGTCAGAATTTTTATGGATACCTTCTCCACAAGGGCACTTCCTCGTAGTAATATGCGGAACTTCGGTGGGTATCCTAAGTGGTCCTTTCATTCTCAATCTCTTGTCCTTGGCACCGCTAACAAGATCACCAATTCACCACACACTATTAAACAAATTCAAGCATGAGAAATGAAAAATAAATAACACACCAAAACTTGTATGTAATATACCTTTCTCTAAATTCTTGACATTCTTGGAGGTAAGTGTGATCCTAGATTCCTAATGCGGTTAATTTGCTCCTGCTGTTCTTCAAAACCAGGTTTAGTAGTCTTCATTGTTGCAAACGCCATGATTCCGTTTTTAGTTGATATTTAAAGTAAGCACCATTTCAGCTTTTAAAAGCTCCCAAATAATTTTACTAATGAGATTCTATCTATTCAATTTCATTGAATAGAAAAGCTCCCAAATAAATTCTGAAACAGAAAAATTCTTCTAGGATGTTCGAATATATTTTGCTCTGATACCTTATAACATACGTAACAGAGCAAATTTTATTATACAAAGAAACGAGGATACGTCTCATGACTCGATCTCCATCATATCTAAATTTAAGAGACCAACAAACAAGATATTTACTTCATTTAACCAATAAATTACTAATGCAAAATCTGTTTTCATTTTTCTCAGCAACCAAACAGGACCAAATTCATCACTATATCTTTTCTGCTGTGTATGAAGACAACAGAGACATAAAATTTATACGTATTTAAAAGTGTCAATTCAGTCTACATACATGTAAAGGTATACGTATAAAAGCAGATACACGAGTTTTGATAAAAACCTGTGGTTTCCTTGGTATATGAATAGCACAGCACAGCACAGCAAGCAGCACTCACAACAAAATGATTTTGTATTCCGTATTCGTATAAGAAATAGGGTTTTCACTTTCCGTATGTTTACAACTACATCTTCCTCTTTTTCTCAAGGAGCCCTTCTCAATTATTTGTACTAAAATTATCCCAATAGTTTCAAAATCTTTGCAGAAGAACCCCTTTTTTAATTTTAATGGAAATTTTAAATTCGTGAAGGGTTTTATTATTATTATTATTATTATTGTCCTTCAAAAAAACAATTGATCATAAATGCTTCTACCTCAGTGCGGGAATAAAAGTGACCAATATAAATGGGGGTCATAAATTAAATCCCAGTTTACAAAGGTATAGGTCGTCTATCAGGCCACGATTCCACCTTTTCAAAGTACTTAACAGGTACCACACCATCGAAACCTTCTGTCAAGATCACCCTGTTGTCCGACATGTAAAGTTTCATTCCATCTGAATTTTCACGTCAAAAATACAAACCAAGACAGAAGAATACATCAGTATGTACTGAGCATAATATAAACATAATGTACAAGTGGGTAGGTAGGACAGAATTCTATGAAGTTGACGGGATTCAAAAAGTTTGTACCTTCTAAAGCTTTTCTGACATCAAGAAAGATCAAAACATTTACATCCCGTCTCATACCTGAAAAAAAATAAACAAGCAAAACATTGGACTTCAACAATTCTGGTTAATTCAGAAAGTAATATCCAATTGTCCGCATCGATCATGAGGACTCAATATTGAAGTTTGAAAATCAAGCTAACATGTATCATGCTCATGGATTCAATGTTAGCATCTGAGCCATACTCCTTTCCATCACTTCAAGAAGTTCAACTTTAGCTACAAGAGAAGGCTTTTTGGAGAACCAGGTAAGCTCTTCAATCAATCCAGAAATTGTTAGGCTAACTCCTATAAGCACACTCAAAAATATTTCACGTGTCCCAGAAAGAACATCATGCCTAATTATGACCACATGCACAATTCCAAGATATCCTTTCTAACACGTTTAGTAGATAGCCACTCTTCAACATTTTTTGTTGAAAGGCACAGTCCCACAAAGCACTTGTAATACACAAAATAACTTAAATGCATTAGATGCATAACATCATTTCTTTTCTTTCCAGAGAGATGAAAAAAGAAAATCATGAAAACGTATCACTATTGACAATGAGATTTCCTAGAATATCTTACCACTGATTACTTCACCGTCAGTAGGCAAGCCACTTGAGAAGTGGACATGCAATCTTTTCATACGATTCAAGCCAGACTCCAAAATAGACTCCAGATACTTCTTATACGTTCCATGTACACACACTGCCAACAAAGGATAAGAAATAAAAAGAAACAAATAAATCACAATATAACATAATATCCAAAGAATTTTTTACTGAAACTTGTAAGGAAAGAAGTATGGCACCAGGAACTTCTTCAGCTGAAAGGATTGGTTTCAATAAGCTCTCAGATTCAACAGTCTGCAAAGAAAAGAAACCCATTGCAATTGCATAAAGGAATCCAGTTAAATCCACAAATATGATATCATACATCATAAAATAAAAAAATAATCCATGTCATAAACACTTGAAAGAACTTGTTAAGAAAATATAAGAAGATACATCACCGTTATTGTGTGGCCTTGGTTTGCACGTATCAAAAGCTCCCCATTTTCCTCCAGGAGGCTAAACCGCTGCTTATTATCTTTTCTGACAGCCTGGAATCAAGCATTGAATGACGAAAATGTTCTACCAAGGCAGTTTATGCAAAAGCAAATAAATAGAAAATAATATTCACTTCTAATGCATCAACAATAAAGTGATAAAGGCCCACAAAAATAGCATCATTTTACAGTCAAGAATCAGCATCAGATAATTTAAGTCAAACTTCAATAACATAATTTTATAATCATGTCTAGACAAGAGTCATGAACTGACAAGCTTTATATAAATTTGACATTCTACGATAATAACTCTTTTCCAAACATCAAACGATGCATTTCTTAGAAAAGTTTGAGACTACATTAGACGGAGAAGCCTTTCACTACCAACCTCCCTGATGTCATCAACTGTGTGTGAGCTCAGCGGAATTTGGGCAAAGGTTTTCATATTCAGCTTTAGCAAATCCTGAACTTTGACATATCCATCACTTTGCATGTTCAGATTTAATTCTGAAGCCATATGACGCAAAATGCGTGTCCTGAAGACATTATATCAATTGATCAAAATTTGCATGTGAATTAGCAAACAAGATAAGAAATTGAATATCAGTATTTTCGTAACTTGGGGCTGGAGAGAACACAAACTCAGCTAGACTTAAACCCCCATTTGGTGAAATTCAGCCAGACTGAAAGACAATAGGTCAAAGACATAAGAAATTCCATTTTCAAAATTATCTAAGAAATTCATCTCTAATAATAATCTTATAGCAAAGCATTTATATTACTTTTGTTAAGTTTGTTTCTTTACAGACCCAAAAAAAAAGCATTAAAGACACTGCCCAAAATCTTATTTTTCACTTCTGGTTTTTGTTTAGATGTTTCAAAAACAAAATAAGGGCTTAAAGTTACCAATAGAGGAAGAGGTTAAGAAAAGATGCTGAAATTAAAATGAACACTTAAGAAACATGTCTAATATAAGTAGAATAAATAAAAAGAAGAATTACTGAGTTCGCCTAATATTTGAGCTTACATTAGTCTACCAAGTGCATCAATTTTATCTTTGCCACCGCTACCGCTACCACCACCACGACGGCCTCTCGACCTCTCTCGATCATTTTCCAAACCTTTTCCCCTACCACCAACACGGCCACCACTATACAAGAAAATTATTTGAATTAAAACCCAAAGCCTTCATCAATTAATATTTGAGACATTGATCCAACAAAACTCTATGGCGTAGATAAGATGGACTTTTCACCGTCAAATCAAAACAAAAGAAAAAAAAAAGATAATTAAAGAATCATTTATGTGGTTTTCTCTTTGCATTTCGATATTTGAGAGCAAATGAAAAGATATTAAGAATTTTTTTTTTTTTTTTAAAAAAAAAAGTACCTCCTACTGGAATGAGCGAAAGAAGCGAAGGATGAAGAGTGATTAGTACTGTCCATGAAAGGTAGGGCACGAGAGGTGGAGAGCAGAGGGAAGGCAGTAATAGGAGCAGGGAAAATATGAAGACGGCAGAAGCGTAGAATTCGGATACTACTGAAGATGTTGTTGTTCACACAACTCCACATCGGACGATCCCCCTCTGTTATGTTATGCGACCGCCAAGACGATGATGTTTCACAACTTCGGAAATTGTTTCTTTACACGTGCCCCCTCATTACACAATGCTACGTTTCGTGGTATTGCGAAAAGCCCAGCCCTATCCCTTGAGGCTAAGCCCAGCCCTATCCCACAGGCAAAGGAAATCATTCATTTCTATCTTTTCTCAGGTAATCCCGCCTCTTTAATAAGTCTAGTTAGCAAATTCGCGTTCGCATGTAAAACAAGAATTCCTGTATTTTATAAGTACAATCAAATTATATACAAATTATGTGTTATAATCATATAATTCGTGTATAATTCAACTATATTTTTGAAAATAAAATTTTATTATTTAATGAGCCAAAACGATATCGTTTTAAGTAAAATTTGATCAAAACAACGTCGTTTTATACTCAATCTCTTTTTACTCAAAGCGAAGTCAATCTCTTTTTGGCGCCCTCTCTTTTCTGCGCCTGCTTCCTCTCTCCTGTTTTTTGGCACCCTCTTCCTCTCTTTTTCTCTTGTTTGTGCCCTCTTCCTCTCTTCTTCTCTTTTTTGACGTCTCTACCTCTCTTCCTCTTCAACTATTCTTCAACAAACACCACTCTTCGTCTTATCTTCTTCTTCTTCAACTTAATGACAAATAAAATTGTTTGTTTTATTTAATAATTGGTCCGCTTCTAAAATATTTGTAATAATTGATTACAATCAAATAATATATTTTTTTATAAACTAAAATATTATAATTAAAAAAGATATAAATCATACACTTATAAGGAAAAATAGAGAATGATTAATTCAATGATCATAAAAAGTATTAAAATTATGATTAATATTACCGTATTTTTCAAAACGTATTATTGACAATATACCGTATTAAACCCGTATATACTCGTACTGTATTTTTGTCGTCTCCAAATTTTAAGACCGAATTTTTATAAACATATTTTTCACCATTTTTCGTATCATTTCTATACCCTTTTTTTACCGTAACGTATTTACTAACTATGTTCTTAAGTGAGCTTGCCAAATCACACCGGCATAAGCCTAAGCCTAAACTGAACTGATTGCGAAAGGAAAAGAGTCACTGTCCAGTGGTCTTAACTGAAGTAAGTAGACTGCCGAGAAAGAGTACAGGCTACCTGACGAACCTGACGGAACGGAATTCTAAAAAAGTAGGGCGAAGCAAGGCATTCAGCTAAGAGCAGCAGCAACTAGAGCATCCCGTCTGAAGGCCGAGGGCAGAAAAGCAAGGCAAGTCTGAAGGCAGAAGCTTTAAAAGATAGGGGAGGCTCGTTCCACGAGCTGTTGCTCTTACTAGTGCCTTAGCTGGTGTTCCCCCTTTGCCTAGCGTTTTGGATGCCTTCCAGAAATACATTAAAACCCAAGGGTAAAAATAATTTTCTCTATACTTTCGAAATTTTGGGTTAACAAGCAAAATTTTCCAGTTAAGGAAACCTAATATCATCTCGGAAATATTTGCTCTCAAAAATTTATAATTATAAACTTTCAACAAATTATTTCAAGACAATATCTATCTACCGATTTTGTGCATTATTATAGGAATAAATAAAATAAAAGATTAATTGTTAAATCTTGATATCGTTTTACTTAAGGTGAATGTTAAAAATAATTTGAGTGCACGACTTCAATTAAAAATGAACCATTAACGGCAGTAGCACAACGCTTTATCTCTTCTACAGGTCGACGAATAAAAGCCTTGGTAGACTAATTAACCAAGTAAAAACTAGAAACCCATCATCTAGAGAAACAAAAATGGCAGGGAGATTCTCCGACCCACGTGGGTTACCCGCAGCTTCAACATTCTCCCAAGTGTATATTCAGAACAAAATGATGCATCTAAAAATCATAATCCAACTAAAATTTAACTCTCCAGCAAGGTTCCAAAAAATAAGAAGAAAAAGATCTTCAATGGTCAAAGTGCAATGATAAGTTCGTCCAATACATCCAACACTTTTTTCTTCCCTAATTAGCTTTAACTCAATTAAACCATAAAGCCATTGTAACATAAATAACATCAAAAATTAAAATAACCGAGTCGTCGTCGTCCATGGCTCTCAAATCCTGGAACTCCAAAAGCTGGTTTTGAATTCGGTGTCTTACCTAAGCCACGAGAGTGCTGGCCGTGGTTGATTCACTGCAGAAAAGAAGCAATTGATAAGTACAAAAAGGGAAACACAGATTTCACAAAATATTTTTATTAATTTGTGTAGGCATAATGATAGGTTTCAGACATTTAAAGAAGAACTCAAAACACAAATTTATTAAAAGATTATTACTGAGGAAAAAGTTTTTTATTGGTGAATACTTAGCTCATATCTACACACATTGCTATATTACTACAATAACTCTAATGACCTAATAATGATAGCATCAGACAACTTCTTTTTGGTCAATAACTTCACATGCATAATGCCTATAAATCATACAAGTTTGAGAGTCAAGGAGACTAAAAGCCTGAAATACTCACTATTTCCACACAGGTGGAAGCTTCTTTGTCTTCTTGTAGTAGCGAGCAAGTCGGTGAATCCTACTCTCAACCAAGATCAACCTAAACTTGGAATCTTTATCCTTCCTGTTCCTCTCCAAATGCTTCCGAATGGCAACTGCTTTCTTGATCAGATGGTACAAGTCCTCAGGAATTTCAGGGGCAAGCGCTAAACAAATATTGTAGATGAAGGGGAAAAAAAAGGCCAATAGTTCAGTTAACAATGCCTCTTACAAAACTAAGAGGAAACACTCTCTCATAAAATAACAAAAGCCTCAACAAGAAAGTACCATGGGCCTTAAGTATCCGCAAGATCTTGTTCCCAGTAACACTCTTCACCTGAGCAATCCCATGAGAATCACGAAGAATAACACCAATTTGGGATGGCGTCAGACCCTTCTTCGCAAACTTGCAAATGTTATCATCTACCTGCAACACGAAGAAGATAATTTCAATTCAAACAAGAAACTTGGGCTTATCAACATTAATGAGAAAAAGAAATCCAGCAGTTATAGTCATACTCAACGAGTAGACATGGCAATGTTCAATCTACAATACAAGAAAATTAAACCATAGCACTATGGATTCAAAAATGTAAAATATTATCATCCAAAGAAGTTTCAAAGAGTAATCTTCCCTAATGTTAAATATTCATCACGCCCAATACTTACCAAATGTTATCAAGTGGACCCCACAACTAAAGACTATACAAAAAAAATGGACTGCACACAAATATAAACTTCGTCTCACTGCAACACATGGAATAGAATAGAAAGCAAGGCCAAAACAATCACGAGTAGATTAAAAAACCAAACACTAACGTGTGAATTTGAACACTTAGGCCTTAGGCCTTGAATATAAAATAAGAAGATCTCCAAGTTGATTTGTAAAAACACATAGATCAACGGACTAAAAAGAGGACACAATTAAAAACTAGCACTATATCATAACTAAAACGCATAGCATTACCGAAGACTGAAGCAAATACTCGTCAACCAGACACAGTATTATCTAAGTAGGGGTTTTTTGTTTTACTTATAACCAGGGCTCGAGTTACTCACATCCCCAGAAGAGATCTTGAGCCAACTCGGCGAGGTCCTCTTGTACGGCAAAGCTGAAGACGAAATACCCTTACTGGAAAATAAAACAAAATAAATCAGATAACAAAAAGAAACAAAGAAGTCGACTGGTTATAAGTTAATTAGGCATCATATGGAACATTGTAAAATTTATTCCATGGGATGACAAATCAATTGAAGAACAAACCCTCGACTGTGCATACGACCCATGGTAGCGGATTATGGAGTTTCGCTGCCTCTCTACGTCACTACAAATGCTGCTCCTCTATTCACCCGCGGACCAAACAAACAAACCCTAGTAGGGTTTTTATTAACTTTTTTAATTGCACGGGAGTCCCTACTTTTTATTGTGTTTTTCGTTTTTATCCTATTCTTGGTCCAAGCTGCTAGGCCCAGCAATGTCTAATCCAATAGAATTTGATAAACATGTTCAGGCACCATTAGCTGATTTATGGCCCTAGGAGAGCTATAATTTTACTGGGCCCATCATAAACTCATTGCCTCATCAAACCATAGGCCCATTGAACTGAGTTAAGGCCCTGCCAAGCCTTGAAACATTTTATGGGGCACATTTTAGCATTCTACAGAAAACAGATCAACTGGTGAAACTTTGTGCAGACACGAAATAAATGTTAAGAGGGGTCCGCTCCACGGATAAAACAGTTTAAAGATGAGATTCAAAAAGAGCAATGATGAACCAAGAAAGCATTGTATATTTTCAAAATCAAAAGAAAAGCAAAAGAAGCACGAGTCCTTTCATAACTTCAATGTTTTATAATGGAATTCTTTTTCCCAAGGAACCGATTCAACTTTATGTTAAATGGTTTCCAATGAGATAAACATGCACCAAAGGAATTGAAGTGACTCGTGTCATGCCTAATCAAAGATAATATGACTATTAATATCATCAACATTATTATTTCCTTCAACTTAGGTGGTTGTATTATTGGTGCATGACTCCCAAGTACAGTCCAAATTAAACTCAAGAAAAGCAGAGGACTCGACTTAAAGAAAACAAAGTGACGGTGGCGATTTTTTTTTTTTTTTTTTACTGTTTTGCCGGTGAAAAGATGAGATGGATTGACTGGAAAAGCAGCACCTCTATTTCTAAATCGACCAAACTAATGGTAGGAAATTTCTTTTCATTTAGGGAGAACGACATTGTCCCACCTAAGGTTTGGTGGAACGAGATTTTTTCATCTTTTAAGTTTTAAAATGATACTTTTATTATATTTTTCGTTAATATTTTGTTACAAAGACGAAAATACTCTCAAATATTTTATTTCATTAGTTTTTTATTATTTTTTTAATTATTCAAAAAGTCAAATATTAAAAAGTCGAAAAAGAAAAAATAATTAATCTCACCTAAAAAGTTAAAAGTAATGTTATGCAATTGTTTAAAGTTAAATCACTTTAATATATTTTTATTTATAATGTTTTCAATATCTCATCACTATTATTTAATAATATACTAAATTTATAATATTTTTCACAATATAATGTTTTTCATTTTTACTAATTAACATAGAAAATCAATATTTTTAATTAATTAAATAAATAAAAGAAAAAAATATCTTTACATTTGAACTAATAAATAATTGAGTAAAGCCTTTGATTTAACTAAATTGTAATTTATAACAAACAAATTAATAAATAAATTATTTAAGGTTATTTTTATATTTTTAGTTAAATATTAATAAAACCTGATGAAAAAAAGTCATTTTGAAACTTGAGAGATGGGGAGGCGTTCGTTCTCCCTATCATTTATTATGAAAAGTTTTGACTTTATGAGTGAATTTATGTTTGTTTCTCTTGAAAATAGTTAACGGTAATAAAGGGAGGTTGATGCTGGGTTATTTGGAGAAGGGTGGCTCCTGTGGTGGAGATGGTGACGATAAAGAATAGAGAAGCCAATGTAGAAAAAGTTTCTAGATTTTCTCCATTTATCTAACTCCAAATCTGGGTCGTGGAAAAGACCTGGCACCAGGGGCGGATTCAACCCCTTTGTGGGTAGGCCTGAGCTTAGACCTGGCAAACGGGCGGGTGGATCCGCGGGTCAACGGTTACCCGTACCCAACGAGCGGGTATGGGTAACACATACTTCAACCTGTTAGAATCTAACCCATACCCGACCCGCCCGTGACTTTTGCGGATGGACCGACTACTATCCACGGTACCCGTGGACCCGCAAATTTGAATTTAAAAAAAAAAAAATTAAATAAAAATCTTTTCACTCAAACTCTCACTCTCAAACCCTAATCTAAACCAAAACTTATCACTATCAGTGAAAAAAAAAAACAAAAACGCAGCCGCTCATTCTCTCACACACAGGTCACAGCAGCTCCAGCCTCCACGACAGCTCATTCACGCACGACCATTCCTCTCACAGCAGCTTCAGCCACGACCACTCCTCTCACAGCAGCTCCACCTCCACTCCCTCACTTTCTCACTCTCACAGCAGCTCATTCACGCACGACCATTCCTCTCACAGTAGCTCTAGCCACGACCACTTCTCTCACAGCAGCTCCACCTCCACTCCCTCACTTTCTCACTCTCACAGCAGCTCCACGGCAGCTCATTCACGGCAGGCGGCAGCTCATTCTCTCACGGCAGCAAAACTCCTTCTCTCACGGCAGTAGCAGATCTCTTCTCTCACGACAGTAGCAACACAGCGGTAGGCGGTAGTAGGGCAGCAGTAGCACGGCGGCAGCAGCAACATGGTAGGTAAGGACGTAGGGTGTTTTTTAATAGATTTGTTATTAAACTTATAATTTTATAAAGCATGGAATCAATCAGCCAATCAGGGTGGAAGTTGTTATTAAATTAAAAAAAAAACACTCACACCAGCCAATTAGGATGTTGAAAATTGACAGCTTAAACGTGACGTGAGTAAGGCTTAAAAAGTTTTGTAAATAAATTTTTTATATTTACATATTTTAAAATAGTAATAAGATAATTCCTTTTATTCTTCTTTTGTAATTTAAAGAAATAAGGATGATTCACAATTTCACAGCATATACCATATTATAAGTTTTTTTTTTTTTTTTTTGATGAATTGTTATGAATTATGATTGGTTATACTTATTGGAGTTGAGAGGTGTTGATTGTTGACTTGGAAAAATCTAGTCATTTGGTAGGGCTGGTTTGCTTGTAAAATATATGGGAGTGTTTTTATTTTTTTTTGGACGAATTGTTATGAATTATGATTGGTTAATTAATTTAAATGTAAATACTTTGTTGTGTCCTTTAGATTGGCTTGGTATGGAGGAGTCTACAGATTTAGGAACAGGTCGTAATATAGCCGTAGGTCAACTCCCTTCTACTGGTAGTATTGTTTGTCCAAAAAGACGTAAAGTTTCAGATGTTTGGGGTCAATTTACAACATATACAGAAGATAATGGGGAGGTGAGGGTAAAGTGTATGATTCGTGGTCATATGCACATGGTAGTTCCAGTCATGGGACTAAGAATATGAGGCGTCATATGGAGGTTGTCCTAAACGTACCATTACTAGTAGTGTAGATCAAATGATGATGGATTGTGATACTAAATTGAGACGTATGAAGATTTCTCAAGAATTTTATCGTGAGAAGATGGCAATAGGAATCATAAAACATAACTAACAATAATCAATAGTGGAGAAAGAAGGAATTAGGGATGTCCACATGTATTTGAATCATGAAGTTAAGCATTATACTAGGAACACCGCTAAGGTAGATTGCTTAAAGATATATTACAGGGAGAAGGAAAAGATTAAGCTTGCTTTAGAGAGGGTTTCGGGTAGAATATGCTTAACTTCTGATATTTGGAGTTCTTGTACTACTGATGGGTATATTTCTTTAACGGCTCACTATGTTGATGAGAACTGGGAGTTACAAAGTAGAATTCTGAATTTTTGCCATATTCCTTCTCCACACTTAAGGGCTCTTTTGTCAGACATAGCATATGATTTCTTAAAAGATTGGGGGATTGAAAAGAAAATCTTATCTCTTACATTAGACAATGCAAGTAACAATGATAAAATGGAAGACATTTTAAGGAGTCAACTTTGTGTGCAAAATGTTTTATTATGTGATGGTTCTTTTTTTCATGTGCGATGTTGTGCACATATCTTGAATCTCATAGTCCAAGAAGGATTAAAGGTGAGTAGAGTGACTTTGCATAAAATTCATGAAAGTGTAAAATATGTTAAAGGAAGTGAGGCTAAAAGAATCAAGTTTGGAGAACTTGTTCAAAAAATTGGTGTGACAAGCTCAAAAAGATTGCGAATGGATGCTCCCACGAGATGGATTTCCACTTATTTAATGCTTGAAAGTGCATTAATATACCGTCGTGTGTTTGTTCATTTGGCACTGATAGATCCCAATTATAAAAGTTGTCCTTCAGATGAAAAATGGGATAGGGGGGTGAGGATTTGCAAGTTCTTGCAACCATTTTATGAGATCACTACTCTTTTTTTGGGTTCCCAATACCCAACAGTAAACTTATATCTCAGAAATGTGTGGAGAATTCAAATGTGTTTATACGAAGAGATGGAAAATGAGGATGAAGTTCTTAGTACCATGGCAAGTCAAATGAAAGGAAAATTTGACAAATATTGGGATTCTTACACTGTTGTGTTAGCAATTGCAACAATTCTGGACCCACGTTTCAAGTTTGAGTTTGTTGAGTTTTGTTACAAAAAAGTTGATGGCCCAGTAGTTGCAACAAGAAAGTTGGAGTTGGTCAAGCAAGAGTTGTATAGGTTTTTTGCTGCTTATGAAGGTCTAAGTGGCAATGAGGTTCAGGTTCCCAGCGATCCTTGTGTGCAAGTTAGTGATCCTAATATCATTGGAGATGATATTTGTGTAAGTCAATACTCCCTAAATATTTTTATATTCTTGTTATTAATAAGGTTTTTTTTATTTTATATTCTTGTAATTTTGTATTTAAATGGTGCAGAAATTTGACTACTATAAGAGTGACTTTAATGCTACTAAGAAGTCCGAATTGGATACTTATTTGTGAGAGGCAAGATTTGATCGTATCAAATTTTGCAATTTGGATATCCTGGACCATTGGAAGAAAAATAGTGATCGATACCCGATACTTTCGATGATGGCCCGTGATGTGATGAGTATACCAATAACGACTGTTGCTTCGGAATCCAGTTTCAGTATTGGTAGCAAAGTGCTCAGTAAATATCGAAGTTCACTTTTACCGGAGAATGCAGAGTCTTTGATATGCACCAAGACATGGATTTCTGGATATGAAGTTAAAGGTAACATTTTAACTTATATTTCCCATGTTTTAATATTTTTGTTTGTTAATATATTATGATAGTTAACTTATATTTTGTTAATTGTAGAAGATGAAATTGATGATGTTCAGTTGCTTGTGCCATTAAGTCAAGTGCCGGGGAAGGAGATTGCATAATCAAGGGCGACTTTGTTTGTTTAGTGTGTTTGGTACTTTGGTTAAACAATTATATATGTTTAATTGTTTAGTGTTTACTATGTTATGTATGTTGAATGTTAAACAATTTTATATGTTTAGTTGTTTATTAATTAGTAATTGTTATGTATGTTTAGTGTTTATTATTTCTATTATCTATATGGTGGAGTTTGATATAAATATGAAAAATATTAATATTGAATTAATAATGTTTCGTGAAATCTAATCAAATTTAATTTAATCATCAATTTATTTAATATAATAAGTTAATAACTAATAAGTTTAATAAATGAATTTTATATCAAGTTTTTAAATTAATATAATTTAGTATGCAATTTGAAATTTTGAATTTAAAAAAACAGTAAAAAATAAGAAGAATATAAAAGGACGCTGCCATTTTCACGGGTGACCCGTGCCCAGACGGGTGGGTACGGATCATGAAAATGTCAACCCGTGAGAATTTTCCACCCGCGACCCGTTCCACCCGCGACTCGTTGCTACCCGGACCATACCCGCCCAACCCATTCGTTGGCCAGGTCTCGGCCTACCCTCATATTTGAAAAAAAATTTATTAAATACAGGCTATAAAAAATTGTTAATTAACATATATACCTAGACGCACCTTCAAATTTTTAAAAAATAAGAATTATTATACATACTGTATATCTAGGTCTACAAAAAAACTTGTTATTAATATATATATATTCCAAACCCACATCATATTAAAAGTTTAAAATTCTCTCCAATGTTTTCCTACATAGCTTTACTTGTTTTTTTTATGATTTTATACGCAAATTCTTTACGCTCTCTTTCTCTTTCTCATGTTATTCTCTCTTAAAATTTTGAAAGAGTGAAATTGTTAAATTTTCACTACTCAAATTGTCATAATTAGCTCCGTTTTTTGTTTTATAGATTTTAAGTATGTGTATTGTTAATTTCAATTTAGTTTATTTAAAGATTAAATCATTTTTTTTCTTTTTGAGAGAAAAAGATATTAATCTTGTGAGTTTATTTTGTATTTCTTGTTTAAGAATGAACATGCTTTCTCAAATTAAAACCTTAATTATATTTTAAAGGACGTTATTCTTTATTCTTCACCCACCACTTTCCTATATTTTAAACGTCACCGTTCATTTATTCAAAATTATTAAAGAAATTTGAGTTACTATTTATGTTTATACTGACAGAATTTCTCCTCTTTTATTAATTCATATTAAAAGTCAACGTAACGTTGACTTGATTTAAGTTTTGGTTGACTTTAGCTTAATTAGGCTAAGTTTGACCAATACTATAAAAATTTATATTATTATATTTAAAAGCCAAAAATAAAAATATTAAAAGAAGGTTTTGTGTAAGGTTTACTCAACACTTTTACTTAAAATTTTATTTTTCATTGATTTATTCATGTAAGAAAATATTACGTTAATTAATATTTTTTTCTCTCATATTCTTAATATTATATTATTTTTTATTAAAATATGATAATTTTTTAAATTTTTATTAATTATTTAACAAATAATGACCTAACTGCGGAGACCCCCTCCACAAAAATCGTCGATCCGTCACTGTCGGCATCCCATTTGAAGGGCCGATGGAATTATCAATAAAGTGTTGGAATTTATTATAAATGTCAGAGAAAGGTCATTTTAAAAAAAGACTGTAAAAGCTGAAAAGATGGGAGAGAGAAATTATGTTATACTAGAAATGAGCAATCCAGCTGGAATATTGTGAGACTGTACTGTAGCTTTCTCAATGACAAAAGGTTAGGAAAGATAGCCCATCATCTTATACCAAGAATTTGAATGATTCTACCTTACTATTTTGGCTGTGAGATGAGAGTTAAAATTAAATTTGGAAACTACTTAACCAAAAATAAAACAGTAAATAAAAGAGAAACCACCCACAAAATCTCTGCATTATTAGTAGTTTAAAGGATGAGTTGTTCAACAAAATCCAGCCAGGATATAAAAGGACAGTCACATAAAGAGTTAGATTATAATGATTAATCAGTGGCGTCCGTTCCATTGGATTACTCAAAGATTCAAGGGCTACTTAGTAGTTACCTATAAGCATGTCATGTCAAGCCCAGGCGGCCAGCAACTAAAAACTAATCAAATCCTGCTTAATTATATTTTAATGCCTCTTTTTAAGCACTACATATTTACGTTGATTAAAAAATATATCATGGCAGGCCTGGTAGTTTAACAGTTTCCTAATTATTAATCATTAAAATTGATAAAAGGGTGTTCACATGCAGGTTTACAGATGGAAGTAGGGTAACCATACTGGCACTTAAAAGTTAAAATATAGTGACTGATTTGTTTTTATTCTGATAAAAGTCTTAGTCCACAGTTAATTAAAGAAGAATGTATAGTGACTGAAGGCCATGGCTGAATCTGACTGGTACAAGCCATCCATGCAACTACAAAATTCAATTCTCCATGATTTCCATGAAACAGAGGTATGCAAAAGACCGCCATTATCTCCTGGAAAGAAAGGACTTTACGTTATTTAATTTCTTCTGAAAATGACCGTCTCCTAATTTTTTTTTATTTTTTTCTACGACAGGAAAACCTAACCTTTTTTTATTATTATTTTTCGGGAGAACGACATTTTCCCACCCAAGGTTTGAAAAAACAACCTTTCCATCCTTCAAGTTTCAAAATGACACTTTCTCACTCTTTATTAGGTTCAATTATATTTTCCATTAATATTTTATTGAAAAGATAACAATATCTTAATATCTAACTTTTAAATTTTTTATTATTTTTAATTACTAAAAAGTAAAAAAAAAAATAATTAACCCCACCTCAAAAGTTAAATAATGTATGAATTTTAAAGTCAAATTTTTTAATATTTATTTATAATATCATAGGGTGCGTTTGGCTCCCTATTTTTATCCATATTCCCAATCCTATTCTCCAATAATGTTTGGCACACTATTCCAGAATATTATCCTATTTTTTTAATTACTTTTAGACCTCTAAGGTTATAATTTCACTAAATGCCCCTGAATTTTTTTTTAAAATACAAAAAACCCCATCAACCAACTTGTCAGATTCTGGCAACCACCGCCGGTGATAGCCGAAATCTGTACAACGGCCTAAATTCCAACCATAAATGGCCAGAATTACACCGATCTGGCCGTCAGCGACGCCAAAGAAATGGCCGTCGTTGACGAAAACGACGACCACATCGACCCAAAGATGGCCGTCGTTTTGGCCTTTCCGGCCATCGACGACCATAACAGGTCAGATCTGGCCTTTTCCGCCAAATCCATGGTGGATCTGGCCGAAAAGGCCATAATGATGCGTTACGGCACAGATCTGATCGGTCTATGCCGTAACGAAATTTTCCGGCCAGATTCCGGCGGTGGCGGCCGGAATCTGACACTGCAGGTGGTGGGGGTGTTTTTGTCATTTTATATAGTAGGGTCTTTAATTAAATTAGTAAACCTAAGGGCTTTTTCATAAATTTTTTAAATTTACCTCGTAATACTCCCCTATCCAACAATCCAATACTATCCTCAAAATCCTATCCAAAATACTACACCAAACGCACCCTAAATATCTCATCACTATTATTCAATAATCTACTAAATTTTTAATGTTTTTCTTTTTTATTAATTAACATAAAAAATCAATATTCCTAATTAATTAAATAAACAAAAGAAAAAAAGATATATTTACACTTGAACTAATAAATAATTAACCAAAGATTTTGACTTAATTAAATTTTAATTTATAATAAACTAATTAAGAAATAAACTATTTAAAGATATTTTCATATTTTCAATCAAATATTAACAAAAAATATTAATAGAATCTAACTAAGGGTGGAAAAGTGTCATTTTAAAACTTGATGGGTGGAAAAGTTAGTTTCGCCAAACCTTGGGTGGGAAAATGTTGTTCTCCCTTATTTTTCAAATAGAGTTCAAATTCGAAATGATACCCTGTGATTCTGTAACGTACTGTTTATTTTTGGCATTATTGATTTTCTTTAAAATAAAAATATACTGAAAAACCTGCCGTCAGCCCCATTGTCCAGTGAAGACTCATCAAGTCATCATCACATGTTCACACCCACGCTTTTTATTCACTGAAGCGGGACCCCCCCATTTTGTAAGAGTAATGAATCACTGTTAAATCATGGGAAGATGGGACCCATCCGTTTTCGAAAAAAAATAAAAAAAATACATGTTCGAATTAATGTATATCTCCGTAAAATTTTCACTGAAGAGAAGGGGAGAGAGAGAGAGAGAGAAAGAGAGGGTACTTTTACCAGTGCATGACAATGCACAGTTACCACTGAAGTTATATTTTACTTACTTACACACCAACTCTCTCGCAGTTCAATCTTCAACATCAAATCTCAACTAAAAATCCAAACACCTTTCCCACAGTCTCTTAGTTTTTCCTCAACTTTCCCACAAGCCAAACATGCATTTTATCCTCTTCCTCTCTCTCTTACTCTTCCTCACTCAAGCCTTCTCTTCTGCACCTACAGAACTCGATCTTCTCATGCAAATCAAAGACTCTTTAGACCCACAAAACCAGTTCTTGACTTCATGGGCACCTAAAGGTGACCCATGTAGCAGTGACTCATTCGATGGTGTGGCGTGTGATGAGAATGGGCACGTCGCTAATATATCTCTTCAGGGAAGGGGTCTTTCCGGCAAGATACCGCCAGCTATAGGTGGGCTCAAGAGCTTGACCGGGTTGTACCTACACTTTAATGCATTGTATGGGGAGATTCCAAAGGAGATTGCTGGCTTGAGTGAGCTTAGTGACTTGTACCTTAATGTAAATAATCTCTCTGGAGAGATTCCTCCTCAGATTGGAGACATCACTAGTCTTCAAGGTTGGTTATTTATTTCACTGGTTATTTCTTTTGTTATAGGTCGGTGAGGAGTTTTAACGGCTGGCATTGAAGTCAGGAGCTCATAGTCATAATAAATCATTACAGTTTCAATTTTTTTTTTTTAAATTATTTCGGCCGATTTTTCTTTTACAAATTCTTACACCTCTGGTCTATTTGTTTTCGGTTGAACTCAANATGCACAGTTACCACTGAAGTTATATTTTACTTACTTACACACCAACTCTCTCGCAGTTCAATCTTCAACATCAAATCTCAACTAAAAATCCAAACACCTTTCCCACAGTCTCTCAGTTTTTCCTCAACTTTCCCACAAGCCAAACATGCATTTTATCCTCTTCTTCTCTCTCTTACTCTCCCTCACTCAAGCCTTGTCTTCTGCACCTACAGAACTCGATCTTCTCATGCAAATCAAAGACTCTTTAGACCCACAAAACCAGTTCTTGACTTCATGGACACCTAAAGGTGACCCATGTAGCAGTGACTCATTCGATGGTGTGGCGTGTGATGAGAATGGCCACGTCGCTAACATATCTCTTCAGGGAAGGGGTCTTTCCGGCAAGATACCGCCAGCTATAGGTGGGCTCAAGAGCTTGACCGGGTTGTACCTACACTTTAATGCATTGTATGGGGAGATTCCAAAGGAGATTGCTGGCTTGAGTGAGCTTAGTGACTTGTACCTTAATGTAAATAATCTCTCTGGAGAGATTCCTCCTCAGATTGGAGACATCACTAGTCTTCAAGGTTGGTTATTTATTTTACTGGTTATTTCTTTTGTTATAGGTCGGTGAGGAGTTTTAACGGCTGGCATTGAAGTCAGGAGCTCATAGTCATAATAAATCATTACAGTTCAATTTTTTTTTTTTTTTTTTAAAATTATTTCGGCCGATTTTTCTTTTACAAATTGTTACACCTCTGGTCTATTTGTTTTCGGTTGAACTCAAGCACCTAAGGTTGAACTGAGCGAAGTAAAAGTTCTGACTTTTCATTATTTATTTTATCTGGTTTTACGCAATGAGATGGTCATTTTTGAACTCAGAAATTAAAATTTTGGGTAAGTGGAGTGAAAAGTTTCAATCTTTAGTAGCAACTTGTCTCTTTCGTTCTCATTGACTAGTGAAAAATGATTAGAGTTAGCTCGTTAATTGCTGCAAACTCGATTATTCATCATTTTAATTTCTTTCATAATAGCTGAAAGTGAAGGTGAAAGTGTACTCCTTTTCTTTTAACTTTTTAGTTTGTTTATAACTGGGAAAAAGAGAGCCTCCATGATGACTTGAATATTTTGGAGATGAAAAGAAAAAAAAACACAAACTTTCCTTCTTACAGATTTTTCTTAAAACAATTTTGTATGCGAAAAAGAAAAAAGAAAAGAGTCCGTGGGACTATGCAGTTTTGTTTCTAAACTTTCTCGGTTTGCTCAAGCTGGTCATTTAGCTCGAAGTTTCAGCAACACATTGTTTAGCTTTCAAGTTTATTGATGTAACTGAATGGTGACTTCGTTTTATTCACAGTTCTACAACTATGTTACAACAAGTTGAGTGGGAGCATACCAACGCAGTTGGGATCTCTGAATAGGCTTAGCGTTCTCGCTTTGCAATATAATCAATTAACTGGTGCAATTCCTGCAAGCTTGGGAGATTTGGGGATGTTGACGAGGTTGGATTTGAGCTTCAATAGCCTCTTTGGTTCAGTTCCAGTGAAATTAGCCAATGCTCCTAAGCTTCAAGTTCTAGACATCCGAAACAATTCTCTGTCTGGCAATGTACCACCAGGTAATATGGTCTTTCAACTTTCCCTATATAATATGTGCTTTACGAGCCTTATAGTTTTCATTTGTTGATGAAAATTTATGAAATAGAAAGGTATTAATTAACTAGATTTTTGTTTGTTGCGAATGACAATGAAGATCTGAAGAGACTCAACAGAGGATTCCAATATCAAAACAACGCAGAACTCTGTGGGGTTGGCTTTTCTGACTTAAAAAATTGCACAGCAACTGATCTCTCAAATCCTAATAGACCTGAACCGTTCAAAACTAGTGGTGTTCCTAAAAAGGATATCCCAGAGTCAGCCAATTTACCATCTAATTGTGGGCAAACGCGTTGCTCAAGACCGTCAAAAAGCTCACATACTGGTATCATTTTGGGGGTAATTGGAGTGTTTATTGCATTGACTGTTGGTGGACTTTTTACATTCTCATGGTACCGTCGCCGAAAACAGAAAATTGGAAGTGCCTTTGATACTTCTGATGGTCGTCTTAGTACTGACCAGGCAAAGGAGGTTTGCAGGAGAAGTGCCTCTCCTCTTATCAGTCTTGAGTATTCAAATGGGTGGGATCCATTGGCCAAAGGTCAGAGTGGAAATGGGTTTTCTCAGGAAGTTCTTGAGAGTTTCATGTATAATTTAGAAGACGTGGAGCGTGCAACTCAATGTTTCTCGGAGATGAATTTGTTGGGAAAGAGTAATTTCTCTGCAGTCTACAAGGGTATCCTGAGAGATGGTTCAGTTGTAGTTGTGAAGTGCATTGCCAAGACAAGTTGCAAGACTGATGAAGCTGAGTTTTTGAAGGGTTTGAAGATACTGGCATCCCTGAAACATGAAAATCTTGTAAGGTTGAGAGGAATTTGCTGTTCGCAAGGCAGAGGTGAATGCTTTCTCATCTATGATTTTGTGCCCAATGGAAGTCTGTTGCAGTATCTTGATGTGAAGCAGGGCAGTGATAAGGTTCTTGAATGGTCAACCAGAATTTCAATCATACATGGAATTGCCAAAGGTCAGTTTATTTGTTTTTTGATTCCCTATTGTTTTTATCTTGCTTTCTGCCAATAAGAATAGTAATCATTCGCCTTTTAAGATTCTAAGCGATTGATCCATGCTTCTGTGTTGAGGCACAACCTTAATTATCAGAAATTGAAGGAATGAACCAATGTAGTTTAGAGGGATTACTTGCATTGTATACTGAAGTTTCATGTCTTTCTTACCAGGCATTGGCTATTTACATGGAAAAAGAACTGGTCTAGTTCACCAGAATTTATCGGCCGAGAAAGTGCTCATTGATAGACAATATAAACCCTTGCTTTCCGACTCTGGCCTGCATAAATTACTTGCTGATGATATTGTTTTCTCCATGCTCAAAGCCAGTGCCGCCATGGGATACCTGGCTCCCGAATACACCAACACTGGGCGATTCACAGAAAAGAGAGATATATATGCATTTGGTATGATTGTATTTCAAATTCTCAGTGGGAAACGTAAAATCAGTCAGCTGGCTCGTTTTGCTCCAGAGTCATCCAAAATTGAAGAATTTATCGACAAAAATCTTGAGGGGAAGTTTTCAGAACCTGAGGCATCTAAACTCGCAAGTATTGCTCTACTTTGCACTCACGAGTCTCCAAGCCACAGGCCGTCCATAGAAAACGTGATGCAAGAACTGAATGGATTTATTAGTATTTCCTAACTTGTTTTGCCTCAATTTTCCCGCTGACAAGAGGCCAGACTGTCTATTACTAACTGCATGCAAAAGTTTGTGTCTCTTAGTGCCTGTGTAACTGCTCTGCCCTTGCTTGTGGACTAGAGTTGTGAATGTTGCTTATTAGTGTATTGTAATTTGTGGTCCGCGGGCCTAGATTGTTATCTTCGCCCTTTAATTGTACTAATTAATGTTCAGCCAAATGTATCAAGTATTCAAGTTGGTTTCTTTCCAGAGTGGCTCTATTCAAATTTATTTCAATGGGTTTATGGGGTTTGAAAGAGTGAACTGATATTCCCACCCAAGGTTTAGTTAAATCCTAAGTTAATACTCCTGGTTTCATTTATTCCAAATACCCATCCTTAAATTAACACAGTTAATGATTATTGGGTTCTGACGATGCTGTTACCAAATTGCCCTTCACCCCATTCCAAACCACCACGGCACCACCATAGCCAGCCAAACCACCACAACCCATCCCAAACCATCACCATAACCATCCAAACTGCCCCATTCCAAATCCCATAGCCGGCCAAACCATCACCACCACATCCTATTCCAAACCACCCCATTCCAAACCCAATATCAACCATAAAAAATCACACCATTTCAATAAGAAAATAAAAAAAACATAAAACAAAATACAAAAGCAAAAGCAAAAAACAAAATAAAAACTCTAGGGAGTGGGGGCTTAAATCGTTGTTGAAAGGTGAGAAATCAGAGACGGAAAGCATGGGGTTATTGGAGAGGGCTCTTTGATGAGTTAAATAGTGGGCTTGATGAAGATTTTTGGTGATGGGGTTGCCGAAAGAAGTTGGCGGAGTGCGACACTTGAGGTGAAGGGTGATGGTGAAAAAGGGAGTCAAGGTGGTCGGGGAGGTAGTGGGCTAGGATGGTGAGGCATTGGGGAGTCAGAAAATGGGGTAGGGGGCAATTTTCGTTGCTGAAAAGTTGCCAGAAAACTACTAGGGATGACTGGCGAACGATGAGCTAGTGCGGCTGGGGGTGATAGGGTTTTGATGAGGGTGGCAGGATGAAGCCGACGATAGTGGAGAGAAAAAGAAGAAGATGGGAGGAGGAGGCGTAATGAGCAAGAAATGGGAAGGGAAGAGTGAAAAAAAAAAAAAAAAAAAGAGAAAGACCAATTTGCTCCTTTAGTGTTAAAATAAAGGAAATTGTGTTAATTTAAAGGTCGGTATTTGGAATAAATGAAACCAGAGTATTACCTAAAGGTTTCGCTCAACCTTAGGTGGGAATATGTTGTTTAGTTGGGTTTGAAATTTTGAATGATAATACTAAAAAAGGATGGAAAAATTGTTCATTTAGACTGAAGATTCTCTTGACGAAAACAGGCGCAGAGAGCCAAAAATGAAAATTGAAGACTGAAGAGACAGCTTTCCTCTGTCTGAGGTATTCGCTTTCCTCTGTCTGAGGTATTCACTTTCCTTCCGACAAATGGGTAGCTCTGAATGCGCAAACACTTGGATTATGGTAGAAACTCGGCATGTGATGTTCTGGAAAATGTTCAAAATACCAGCTGGCACAGCCACACAAATAAAGAAAGAGCTCGATTGACAAACCATACTGAAGAAGAGATTGACTTGCATAATCTTTTATTATGTGCGACATATATTGATAAAAGTTACCACAGAATTAAGCTTGGCACTATTTCTTTTACGTGTTTATCTGTTAACATTTCTTGTACTCTTCAACTTTTAGCCTTTTGCTTTGTCTTGTCCGTCTCCGCGTCTCTTCTTGCCTCTCTCTTTCCCGTGATTTCGAGGAAAAAAATAAAAAAGCAAATCATGGCTGTTTTTGTTTCCGTATTTGTGTTATTCTCTTGAGAGGTGTGTATTTGTATATAAATAAATTTATGAAAAGAAAATGTATTCAATTCTTTTAATACATAAAAAGTACAATAATAATAAACTGCATAACAAATTCATTCTTTACATGTACAATTGATTTGCAGGGTTTGAACTTAATTTTAAGAGTAATACTACACTTACAAACACTTCTCATTACATTTCTCTAAAAACGTCACGTGTTAATTCGCAATTGATCAACTTGCATGGATTTCGTCTATCCAACAATGGATTCTGTTTGATCAAGCCAATTGCAAACTGCCACATGGGGTTAGTGAGAGATGTTTGTGAGACTAGTGTAATTTTAATGTCTACAGGAGGTGACCAATGAGTCTAGCGTCCGCACATTATCAACATGGAACAGATCTCTGTAACTGGGAGATGAGACTTATCTTGCACAAAGAATTCATGAACAGCTCCCTCAAGTTCAATCCAACTGCAACCTGGAATTTTCTTTAGGTTTCGTTCTTTCATTGTCGTCCTAACCCTTCTGACATCATTCCACATACCAAGACCGGCAAACATATTAGACAGAAGTACATAAGAACTTGAATTACTGGAATCCATCCCCATGAGATGCTTAGCCACAGGCTCACCAACAGTTAAGTTTTCATGATTTTGACAAGCACTAAGCAAAGTCCTCCAGATAACATCATTTGGCTCAATGGGCATGTCCTCGATTAATTTTCTAGCTTCTTCTATGTGCCCTGAGCGGCCAAGAATGTCAACCATGCATCCGTAATGTTGCAGCTTAGGCTCCATCTTATGAATTCTTCTCATCAGCTCAAAACACAAAATACCTTCCTTCACCAAGCCGGCATGGCCACAAGCATTTAACACTCCAATGAAGGTGATATCATCTGGTTCTATAAGCAACCTCTCCATCTCCATTAGCATATCAAAAGCCAATTCACCTAATCCATGAATGGCCAATCCATTGATCATAGCATTCCAATGATCAACAGTTTTTTTTTCTATATCCTCAAAAACAGAAATAGCATTTTCAATACTGCCACATTTAGAATACATGTCTATGAGAGCGACACCATGTTTCCCATTCAAAGAATATTCATTTTGTTCAAGATACCTATGTATAGCTATCCCTTTGTCAATATGTCCTAATTGTGCAATTGCTGACAGAATAACTAACAATGATGCAGGATCAGGACACAAATCACCCCCGCATTGCATATCATGAAAGATTCCTAAAGCTTCCATGCAATACCCGTTTTTAAGATAACCAGCCATCATGGCATTACACACAACAACATCTCTCTCAGGCATTTCATCAAACAAAGCCCTAGCAATATCAACCCTACCTATTTTTGCATACCCATCGATCATAGTAGCCCAACTAACCACATCTTTCTTTGGCATCTCATCAAACAAAGCCTGAGCATCATCCATTTTTCCACACTTTACACACCCATCAATCATACAGTTCCAAGAAATCAAGTCTCTTTCAGGCATTTTCTTAAACAGTGCCCGAGCAATATAGAGTCCGCCTTCCCACCGCGCGTAACCGCTAATCATTGAATTCCAAGATATCAAATTCTTCTCTTTCATAGGCATAGAATCGAAAATTTCGCGGGCCGAGTCAATTTTACCATACTTTACATACCCGTCAATCATTGAATTATATGAAACCGAGTCTCTAATACGCATTTTATCAAAAACTTGACGAGCAGATTCAAAACATCCACATTTCAAATACAATGCAATCAAACAATTTTGCAAGTATAAATCCGACCCAAATTTTATTTTCCTCAACAAGCCATGAATCTGCATTCCTTCCTTAACCAAACCAATCCGAGAGCACGCTTTCAAAACCAAAGACAATGAAAAATTATCAAAACAAACTCCATTTTCAAGCATTAAACAGAACACAGCCAAGGCTCGTCCTGGATGAAGCCCGTGAGAATAGGATTTGATTATAGCATTCCAAAGAAAAGGGTCCTCGTATTTTCTATAAATTCGAAAAGCGTGACGCGTGAAGAAAATATAACGTGCGAATTCAAGGAGAGGCGTGAACGATGAAGAAGAGAAAGTGGCCACGATTTTGGTAGTGAGAGTAGTGTTTTTGATTAATCCAGTTGTTATCATTCGCGCGTGGACCTGGTTCACATCGTTTAAGGCTTTGCATTTTCGGAGAAGAAGTAAAGTTTGGAGTGGAGAGTTCCATGGTTGATTGTAAGTCGCAAAGACGAGCATTAACTTATCTTCTTGCACAATCTCTTGATCCGGCTACTGTCTGGTTGAGTTTCCGTGTCAATTAATTGTAAAACGGGAAGTTTACATGAGCGTTTCGTTATGCAATAAAAGATAGGCCCAATTCGTCTCATCAGGTCCATTATACAAAAGGTCCGTCATAATGGTACTTCACATATCGTAGGCCCAGTTGAAGAACCTTTGATAATAAATATCCCTTTAACTTTTATTTTCATTTTTCAATATTTAAAATCAATGTACTGAAAACCGGACCGGACAATGACCTGTTCAAGGGTCCGGTTTGACCGGTTGGATCGGTCGGTTGGACATTAATTTATAAAATTACATTTTAGTCCCTAAAGGTTTGAAATTCATCAAAAACGCCCCTATAATACTTCCTTAAGGTTTGAAATCTATTTAAAACACCCCTGTCACGCGAAGATTCTGATGAGTGGTGGTGGCAGTGACGATCGACGGCCAATCGAAGTTGGAATCTTGGGGCTTTTGATGTGTAGGTGCCGGCGACTCTGGTGGTGGTGCTAGGGAGTTCCATCGACATCGAAACTCGCCGGAATCAACAAAAGAAATTCGACGTCGCGTAAACTTTAGGTGGACGGCGATCGACAAAGGCTGGACGACGATGACGACTGAAAATGGATGGGTTTGGTCATGGAGATGCTGTCACGTCGAATGGGGTTGTTTTCTCCGTCGAAAGATGCCGGAATCCGACAGGATTTAGTTGCGATTGGGCCGCGATTCGGCACTATTCCGACGGCCCAACTGCGGTCCAATCCGGTTTAAATCAAAATAACAGGTTTTTTTATATACCGGACCGGATTTGCCACCGGTTGCTGGTCAAACCGGTCTGACCGGGTGGTCCGGTCCGGTTTTCAGAACATTGTTTAAAATAAAATATAAAACGTCATTTTTAGTTTTTTACCACAAGATATGAAATAATATTATTCAACAAATAACAAAATAATATTTATTTAATATTTTTCAAATTTTATTTTAGCGTAAAACTCACGCGGTACGCTCTAAGAAACCGCGTTATTTTTTTTTTGAACGTTGGAAACCTAATGGATCGTTTATCAACCGACCTTGGGCTCCTATAAATATCACGTCGAATTCGCGGTCTTGTTATTCTTCCTCGAGTGGTGGATTTCTATCTCATGGGTAAGGGTAGTTTCTTGTATTATTTTTTTTTTCTTTTTGTTTTCATTCTTAAACAAATTCATTCCATGGGGAATTACCGCTACAAAGTAAAGTCTCTGTCATCAAGATTGAGGTCTTACACATGCCTGTATTAAAGAGGTATACCTCACCCTTTCTTGGTTAATCGATTTACATGTAGTTGCCCTTATTTTTAGACTGGGAATTTGGGCAAAATATGTAGCGGGTTCTAATTCAATTTTCATTCTTAAACAAATTCATTCCGGGGGAAATTACCGCTACAAAGTAAAGTCTCTGTCATCAAGATTGAGGTCTTACACAGCCTGTATTAAAGAGGTATACCTCACCCTTTCTTGGTTAATCGATTTGCATGTAGTTGCCCTAATTTTTGGACTGGGAATTTGGGCAAAATATGTAGATGGGTTCTAATTATATTATAAAAAACACATTAAGTTTGTTTTATTTTATTTATAATAGTATTTAAGTTTTTAATTTTATATTTACGCTTGGTCAGTGGCTAATAAAGTTAAATCCGAGGTTGTGTTGTCGAGTGTGGCTATCTTCTCTTCAATTTTTTCCCTGAATTTTGGTTGTTCGGTCTAAGTTTTGCTTTTTTCCAGTGTTTTTTTTTTTAGTTAAATGTTTTGATGATCTACATGTTTTCCGTTTGTCCATGGCGTTGAGGTTCTGATAGTTAAGTTTGGAGAAGCTGCTGCGCTGGGGTATGAACTTTGGGTAGTCAACAATGCTGTGACATTTAAGCATAATTTTTATGTATTATTTATTTATTTGTTTTGTTATTGGAGATACATTAGTACGTTGTTTATCACTTTTTATTTATGAGTTATTCTCCTGTTTAGTTTTTTAGAAGCTCATGAGCTTGTCTTCTGGTTGCAACACTAGAAACTAGATGGGTGATACTATTGTGTCTGTTCTTAGGGAACTATAGCATGTCTATATTAATCTGAGAATGATCGGTGATCATCTTTTCTTCTGTAATGTGCGTTAGGAAAATATTTTATTTGGGAAACATGAGAAGGAATTTGAAGTTTGCATTGCTAGGAGGTGTTCAAAAGCAGTAAGCCATCTCTCTGCTTGATATCTGGCATTTTATGGTGTTAGAATATGAGTGCTTAAGCTTGAGAGAAAATATGGCATGTTATATTAATCGAGAATGATCGGGTGATCTTTTCTTCGTAATGTGCGGTTAGGAAATAGTCTCTATTTGGGAAACATGAGAAGAATTTGAATGTTTGCATTGGCTAGGAGGTGTTCTAAAAGCAGTAAGCCATCTCTCTGTTTCTTATTCTGGCATTTTATTGGTGTTGAGAATTATGAGTGCCTTCATGCTTGAGAGAAATATGGCATGTCTATATAATCTGAGAATGATCGGTGATCATCTTTCTCTGTAATGTGCGGTTAGGAAAATATCTCTATTTGGGAAACATGAGAAGGAATTTGAATGTTGCATTGGCAGTAGGTGTTCTAAAAGCAGTAAGCCATCCTCTGTTTTTTATTCTGGAATTTTATGGTTTGAGGATTATGAGTATTCCTATGCTGTTGAGAGAAATATGGCCATTGTGACATTACTGGAGTAGTCTTTTTCTAGTATTGGCAATTTATTTCACCTCCTCTGTTATTAATAATTTGGTTGAGCTAACCTTGCCAGGACATCTTTTTCAATTGTTGATATTTGTGTAAGCCTTTTTGCTGCGGTTGATTTTGGGATATTTATTCCAAAGATTGGTTCTGCAACTGTTAATAGTTGAACTGTGAAGAGAGGAAGTATTCAAAGTTTGGAGCATTATTTTCTTATTGGATGGTATTTCCTTTCAGGACATGTGAGGAGGTGTTGGAATGTTGGGTAGCATTAGTTGTGGGACTTGCTCAAAATAGTGGCTACCTGCCTTGTTTGTTATGTTCATCTGGCCTTTCATCTAATTACATACTGCTGAGCATGGATAATGTAGAATTCAAGGAGACCTTCAAGTACGTAAGCAAAATGGCAGAAGCACATGTCAGGGAGTGGTTTGATTGCACTATTGACTCTGTTTTTTTCATATGTTTTTTTCATACGTAAGCAAAACAGAGTGGTTTGTTTGTTATGTTCATCTGGCCTTTCATCTAATTACATACTGCTGAGCATGGATAATGTAGAATTCAAGGAGACCTTCAAGTACGTAAGCAAAATGGCAGAAGCACATGTCAGGGAGTGGTTTGATTGCACTATTGACTCTGTTTTTTTCATATATTTTTTCTACTTTTGTCTGTTTCTGATCTAAGGTATAATTTGTAAATTTTTCCATCTTGGTGATGTCTCTTATGTGGTATGCCAGGGGGTGTGATATGTTCTTGAATTCCTATCACCTATTTTCGTTGCGCTAACCTTTTTACGATTTTAAACAGTGTCAGGTGGTATCGGTTTTATATTGCCTCTGTATTCATTAACATCTTTATTTTTCAATTCATTAATATTGAAATGTAACATTGCTTTGACATGTCTCCCTTGTAGTGTGGGTCAGTGGTTTTGCTGAGACAAGATCTCCTCTAGGAGTTACTTCGATGGTGTGAGTCATATCCTGGAATGGAAGGCAAATATGTGATATGTAGTCTTTTTTGGGACTATTTTTAAATTGGTTGTGCTGTTTATATCAAATTCTGCATTTATATTCTATGATATATTTTTAGCTGTACGTAAAGGAATATGTGAAGTGTGCAGAGGTCATTTTTATTGGATCAATATTTTGATCATAGTTAATAATGATTTTTTGTTTTATATCATCTCTTTTTGGATAAACAAATAGTTTGCGACTCTATCGTGCAATCCAGTATGATGATTGGTATAAGGCAGTTCTATTGAGGTTATTAGATGATTGTAATAATGTTGTGGTTCTCTATCTGTTTAACTTTTTGCAACTTTTATCTAGCTTTGTGAATCATTTTGGCCTTATTTTTTTAAACTTCTCAGGGAATTGGTGCCTAGAACGTTTATGGGGTGCCGTTATTGTTCCAAGTTCATTTCTTGGTATTTGCTTATTTTAAAGTCAGTGATGATGTACTGTAGTTTAGCCTTGGACTCCGGTAGATAGGTTTTACACCCTTTGGTTTTGGTTGAGTTATCATATTACTTTTCGATGCTGTTTTGAAAGTTTTGCTTTTTCACTTTCTATATGCTTTTCAAGAATTTATCGTAGGACCGCTGTGAAGAAAAAAGAGTTTGAGGATTTCCGTATTCAGGATGCACTACAAGTTTCAGGTGGGGGAGGTATTGATGGAATCCTTAGCAGTCAGGATACACTAATCCAAATCAGTTATTAAACACCTGAAGAGGGGGATAGACTGAAATATGGTTTGGGCATATTTATTCTTTTGCTGTTATTCATTCCACAGATTTGTTATCTGAGCAATATCATTTTTTATCATTGGTTTTGAGTTCTCCATTACTGGACTGAGAGTACCTTTTCCCACTTCTACTCTGCTTTTATAGTTTATTTTGGACTTTGTTTGATTTGAGTGTTCTCATTTTCAGGATCTGATGGATATTTGAGCAATTAAAGATGAGTCCATAGTTTATGGTGTGTGGTGTAAGGTCATCCCTTTATCCATTTAGCTACTTCAGCGATATTCTATGTGGTTTGGTAGTGTTGTTTATTGTCAATTAAACTATTTTACTGACGTTGTCTCCATTTGTTAAAGAGATTGCAATTTTCACTTGGGTGCCATTAAATCAGCTTTGATTTAAATGCTTTTGTGATTAACAACATTCATTACTGAAATGTTACCTTGAATAACATCTTTGTTTTTCATTTCATTAATGTTGAAATGTGATATTGCTTTGCAATGTCTCTTTGTAGTTTGGGTCAGTAGTTTTGGTGAGAC